TCCAAAATTCTAACATTCTTGTTACTTGAACGTCATCTTGAATAAAATTTAATAAGCCAAGTGTGATCTTTTCTTCATTGAAATGCAAATAGAAGGAATCTGAAGTGATTTATTTTAAAACATAAAACCAGATTTAAATGCATTTTCAGTTATATCATGCACTTTTATACACATTATCGATACAACATATTTCGTTGTTTGCCATTTCTGTTTTTCAAGACTCTTTTCGCATATTAATACCGTTTTGGTATTTTTCTGTCAAAATTTCTCCGAAATATCATTTCCAGGTTAGGACAACATTCAACATTCAAAATATTTTCCCCTGTAAACATGACTTTACGATTCGAAACCAAACATTAAGCGCTGAGTCTCCACTTAATCTGGTCGATGATTGTCTTAATGAGAAATTAAAAGTGAAATTTATCTTTATTGTGTGTTTTGACTATAAGCTTAACTAGTGTCTTGACTGCATTGACCTCTGACTTGTCAAGTGGTCCAACTTCTGACCTGGTAAGGGGTTCGATTATTGACTTGACTACGGACTCGACTACAGGCTTGGCTAGTGGCTTGGCTAGTGGCTCAACTTCTGACTTGGCAAGTGGTTTGACTACGGGCTTGGCTAGTGGCCTTTCTAATGCCATGCCTAGTGGCTTGGGTGGCGGCTTGAAAACACTGAGTGTGTTACTGGCTTCTAACTGGTTACAAACTATTATGGCTGTTGCAATTGAGAGTAAAAACGCACTTAAAATTCCCACGACAATAAAAGTCTTTGAGTAGGATGAAGCACTTGTTGGACAGTTAATGCAGTGAGTGATTTGCCAAGAGCTTATTTTCAATGTTACATGATTTTTATGAGGATAGCCTCGTGAAAGGTGAACCACAGGTTCACAGGTTAAAGTTGAAACAGAAGTGAATCTAACTTTTGTGCATGGTGTAACCTCTTTTTTGGTTGCATCGAAAATTTCAATTGCTGTAAACTGTTGGTAATAAGAAATGTAATTGTAAAGTAGCAAAGTCAGTATTTGTTTGGAAAAGGAAAAATCGGCTGAAAGAATGATTGGATTTTTGTTTTGGGTGAATGTCCATGTTGAGGAAATATTAAAGTCTGGACTCAATAGAAGGGTAAAATTTACTTGAGTTGCCAGATTAACCGGTGTTAGACCATGAGCTGCTATACACCTGAGATAGGTTTCATTAAAGTAACTACATTTATTTGGAGTCTTTGACTTGCTCGTCACTAAAAGCAATTGAGAAGCAAATAGAGGCGAGAACTCAGAGCCAATAATAAGGATTGGATTCAAGGCACCAGCAAAGGTTGAACCCAAAGTGCCTTCAATGGTTGGCATGGGAAGTACACTAAGCTTCAATGTCCTCCAATATTTATCCGTCAAAGAGATCACGAAATCAAGAATCGTATCATTTACCGAGCCTTGGGTTTGATTAAACTGGGGAATCAAACACTTGAATCGGTGCGCTTTATCCTCGAAACTAACTCTATCACATTTTGTCTCTTTGTAGGAAAGGTTTGTTGTATTGATGTGTTTTTCATGTATATTGGCATAGTCGAGTATAACATTGCTTTGTTCCCCCATGAAAACATATTTGGTGTAATCTTCAATCTCTGGATCAATTACTTTTGCAACATTTGCTGTTATTTTGTGATCAACTAGTGTGTTTCCACACTTGATTGTCGTTTCAAGATCTAAAGATGACCCGAAAGTGAAATTATCAAAAGTTTCTGTTGTACAACTGACCATTGAATTCAAAATATAGCTTTGCGTCCAATCTTTATTCAAACAAAATATCCTTGCACCAAGAGAATCGCGAAAAGTGACGTTTAAGTCAGAAATTTTGAAACCTTCTGCTCTAAAATAAACTAGAACCTGTTCATTGATTGAAACGATCTCATTTGGTACAACTGCTACAAGTTCAATATTAAGACTTAGCTCCTCGCATAAAGCTTGACAATAGACACCAAACCAAAGATGAAATGAAATAAAGCAATAAAACTGAGCTTCCAATGAGTTTACACTAATCAAATTCATGGTGAACTTAACATTTTAAGCCAATCAACCAAACAAACTGAACACAAGATTATAAAATTGTAAATAAACATTCAATTGTTACTTTAAAATCTCAATCTCATAGCATCTTCAATAGCAACCTTTAATATCCACTTTTGGGTTTTGCCTAAACCAGAAAACAAAACATTGAAATAACCAAAACACCAACAAGCTTTTCAAAGGCAACATCCTTAATAGTAAATCTAATGTTTCGTTTAAATGGGAACAATTAACCTTTAATTGGGTTCTGGTTTTGCTCCATGTTTCACCATTTCATTGAACCTAGACTTGATTGGGTTTTGTTTTTGTTGATTTATTTTGAAACCTGGTTAAACTGTACCGGCCAATCTTATTGTAATTTAATTCCAACTGATATAACTTGGATTTCATTTGTTGACATTAAACCCATTGAAATATCAAGTGGAGGTGAAGCTGTCAAAATATCTTATAATACAGCCTCTACAGCTTTAACTTGGAAGGTCGATAAAATTGAATTTGAACTGGCCTCAACTCCAGGACCTATTATTAACTGCAAAACCGTTAATATTACAATGGGAATACAATTAATAATCAATTGTGATACAACACCAGTCAGTAGTTCACTAGATAAAAACTATGAATTCAACAGCTCTTTGAATCTGGTTGTCAAATTTGGATGTCTAGCTTCGCATTTTGATTACGATCCAATAACAATTTCAACATTTAATTCAAATAGACTGATTGATCCACACATTACAAACCTTCCTCCATTCATATTTTACAACCACACAACCATCTTTGAATTAGTTTATTTGGTTAAACATCCGCAGCACAATATACACTTGGAGTCATCTTTTACCCAATGCAATGAAACGCAATCAACTCCAAACAGAGTCAAATTCGCTTGTAAATATTTTCATAAAACCAAACATGAACTTTAGAGTTTTCAGTTTTTAGAATTGAACAGATTACTTGAGTTTCTGGAGATGAATGAGCTTTAAGGAAATCTCAACTCTCTCTGCCGTTTCCTCACTGGATTTAAGTCGAGTTCCATTGATTTGAATCCGTTTGAATTGACTTTACCTTTTTCTGGGCTTTTAATTTTACTAGTAATCAAGTCATTGAAATGATCTTAAACAATAAGAACAGTTTTATTGGAAATAACATGCATTTCTGTGGGTGCAAAGTGATTTACATTCACCTAACTATTGTAAACCTAAATGATTAAGAGTGTAAGACATATTCAGGCTGTTATTAACACTAAAAAGACACATACGATACGATCGATACAATAAGGTGAAAACGGATGAAAATTACTTTCTTTAAAATTTAGACTCTGTTGGTTTGGTTTGGACTTAAGAACTAAATCCATTGGTGCTTTTAAATAATCCATTCGATGGACAGTTTTTGAGAAAATCGAGCTCGAAGTTGGAACTTGATTGAGCTTTTGTACAGTTATGGAGGCAGATTTATCGATGAAATTCATTAAACTGGTGTAACTTTTCATGGCTAACAGGAAAATGCACTTATTTTAAATAATAGCACTTTTATTTTTCTGCAAACTAGATTAGTTCGATTTTCAATTAAACCGACTGTATTCTGTGACCTTAACAGTTAGTAAACTGGAACTTATTATTCGTTCATGAAAATTGTCTGCAAACATTATGGGTTGAATGATTTTTACGATTCAGTAATAGTTCTCTTGATTTCGGCCATTAGTTTACAAACTTCGAACCTCGATATTTCGAGAATAATAGCATCTACAGTCAGCATTCTTTCACCGACTTGAACCTTTACTAATTAAAAATCCAATGCATTGAAACAAATGTCCATTAGCTTATTTGGGTCATTATTTTTGGGTTTTAAATGCAAGAGAAACAACTTATTTAGCACAACAAACTCATATAAACCCATTTCTTGGTAAATCAACCATTTTTCTGGTTAAACTTGCAAATGCAAAGCAAAAAGTACTGCAAAAGACTCGAAAATGTGAATGCTGAAGTTCAGACTGGATAGGTTTGTAGGGACTTAAAAACTGAATCCATTGATGCTTTTAAATAACCCCTTTAATGGTCAGTTTTTGCGAAAATGGAGTTCGAATTTGAAACTTTGATCGCCTTTTGTACAATTATGGAAGCAGATTTTTCCGTGTAACTCATTTCGCTGATGTAACCATTGATGATGAATCAGAAAATGTATGTATTTTGATTAATGAACTTTTCTATTTCTGTCAAACAGATCAAGTTTGATTTTACTTTAAACCGACTTTCTTCTGTGACCATAAGAATTAGCGAGTTGAAACTTATTATTAGTTAATAAAAATTGTTATTACACAGTATGGAACTAATTATTTTTCCAAATTTTCAACCGTTCTCTTGTTTTTGGCCATTGGCCTCAAAACTTTGGTCCTTATTATTTCGAGAATGGTATTACCTAGAATCACCATTCTTTGGCCAAACATTAGGGTTTATTTTGTGCTATAATTGATTGAAATAGTAAATTATTTAAGAACCTTTAAAAGAGCTATAGCATCCCATTACTTATGTTACCAGATTTGAGCTTGATTTATTAAGTTTATAATAGTTTCTCAAAAACATATCTTGTGTGGGGAAAGATATTCGTAGCTCGTAGTCGATAGCTCAGATTTTATTCGGTATTCAATCATATTTTATTAAAGCACAAAATAAAATCAAATGATTGGCCAAATAGTGGTGATTCTAGGTAATACCATTCTCGAAATAATAAGGACCAAAGTTTTGAGGCCAATGGCCAAAAATAAGAGAACGGTTGAAAATTTAGAAAAATAATTAGTTTCATGCTGCGTAATAACAATTTTTATTAACTAATAAGAAGTTTTAGCTTGCTAGTTCTTATGGACTCAGAAAAAAGTCGGTTTGAATTAAAATCGAACTTGATCTGTTTGACAGAAATAGAAGTGTTCATTCATCAAAATACATACATTTTCTGATTTATCATCAATAATTACATCAGCGAAATGAGTTTCACGAAAAAATCTGCTTACATAATTGTACAAAAGGCAATCAAAGTTTCAAATTCGAACTCGATTTTCTCAAAAACTGTCGGCCAGAGAAACTTCAAAATCGCAGGATTGAATTCAGCTTTTATGTCTCTACAAACCAACAGAGTCTAAACTTCATTACTTACATGTTTGAGTCTTTTGTAGCACTTTTTGTTTTACATTTGCAAGCTTAACCAGAAAATTGATTTATTTACCAAGAAATGGGTTAGAATGAGTTTGTTTTGTTGAATAAGTTGTTACTCGGGTTAATCATGACACAAATAAACTAATGGTCATTTGTTTGAGTGCATTGAATTTTCAATTAGTAAAAGGTTTAAGTTGGTGAGAGAATGCTGACTGTAGATGGCTCGCGATGGCCACACTTGAAAATTGACTTAACTCTGATCTGTATTTGTTAACTTAGCCCTAACACTTACTGTCAATATTCAAAAAGCTGCTGATTATGTTCAAAGTCATTGTATAAGTTTAATACGTTTACAATGAAAAGTTTTGATAGAAATTTAATTTTCAGGGTTTTTAAATTTAAATTAATTTTTAAATAACACGGATTAGTCACAGTCGCTTGTAGTGAGTGAATGAAATTAAATTTACGTTGGTGCAACAACGTAAATGACTAATTAGGAAGAATATCAAAGTTTAAATTTAAAAAATTTGCTTCTTCTTTAAATTTAAAAGATAAAATTTCCCCGAATTGGATCCACTTCATATGGATGATTGTTCTTGATTTTACCAAAAAAGCCTTTCCCATTAAATTATCGTTTAATTTGGTCGAGATGTTCGAATAGAGAAAAATTAAGGAACAATAATCATGTAAAAACACCAATTACTTGGGATAATTGATTGAAGGTTTTAATTGCAAATTAATTTACTAAATTCCCGCTGTTGGATTAAAAGTTTTATTTCAATTTTTAAAAGCTAAAAACTGGTTTCATGAAAATGCTACGAAATTGAATTTATTTATGGCGATGGACCAAAGTGCCATAAAACAATGAAAAAATTGTATCCTGCAAGCATTCATCAGCTTGAAGTTAATGAATCACAAGGGGACAAGAAAAAACAGATTTATTTGTGAATATGATTCCTGTGGATGTCTTTTGACAACAAAACTAAGGTAATCAACCATTTGGAAAAAAAGTTCACAATTTCGTGTTCGATTTGTGGACACATAACCCAAACAATAGAGTTATTGCGAAAACATTTAGGTGCAAGAAAAGATTTCACTGCGACACATTTGGAAGTTAAATTTAAAGTTTTACAGAAACTCTTAAAGCGGTTCAAAAACAGACGGTCAGTGTTATTCCGGTCGATTTTAAAAAATTCAATTTCTACTCCGATTTTGATTGCAAAAACTTTTTAATCCCGATAAGTTAGAATAATTTCTCAACTGGAGAATTAAATTTAAATTGGAATTCTGTTCAACAGGCGATATCACAAATTCCGTCTTCAGTAACCAAATGTCCTATCCAGCTTTATAGCACTTGGAAAACCAGAAAATTTAATTTTAATTTATTGAACTTTTTCAAGTGTCAAGCCAGGCTTAATGCAATTTTAATAAAAACTTGAAATATTTAGTAGTCCAAGACACTTTAACGAGCATTATGAGTGTAAAACATTTGGAACCAAATGCTAGAAAAAAAGTTAATGCAGTTCAAGAGCTTCAAATTACGATAAACTGAGATCAGTTCTCAGAGACTACGATTAAGTTGTGAGTAAATTCATGCGATAATCAAGGTTTTTTCTCCTATTTCTGTTTCATCACTGAGGAAACCAAAATACTATTAACATCTCATTGGATTCGGAAAAGCCAGGAAGAAACTTTTTTAAAGTTTTTTACATTTGAAAAAATCGACTTTTTAATTTTTAAAGATCATTAAATATTTAATATTATATTCACAAAAATGATCATTTTTGTGGAGTACTGAGACTGGGTTTGTTGTCAAAAATAGAACACCTTTTGAATTTAAATTTCGTTTTTATTTTGGTTTTGATTAAGATTTGAATTCTCGAAATCATTTTTAGTGGAAATGATCGGTCAATCTCAATTTTTAAGAGACGCATTTAAGATAAGTAACGAAATGCAACATTTTTAACTTTAATCCAGGATTCTAATAAAGGGCAAAGCTCGTTACTTTTTACAGACAATCTCATTAGAACATTTGAAAGCTGCAGTTTTAATCGCGAATCGAAAATGTTAGTCGCTTCATTTTTAACATTTTTCATCTATTTTAAGACTTTTTAAAACTCTTTCAAATTTTCCATAAGTACTTTGCCACAATAATAACAGTAAAACCATTATATTTAACGAAATTTTATAAATATTTAACTTTTCGAGTTCGTTCGCAAGGCTTATGAACCGTGTACTCAAAAATGATCTGCAATCGTCACTAGATACATCAAGACAATTTTAAGTTTAAAAACCGAAAAGAGTACATATTTAATATTGCGGTTCCAAACTTCGAAGGTGACAATTAAATGAAGCTGGCAAAAACTCTTTGGAGTTTTCGGCAATTGATATCGAAGATCTCGCAACATTTATCACAGTGCAACAATACGATTCACCTTTGATAGATCGACTGGCAAATAGTGTCTTTTTCTAATAACGACAATTTTAAAATCGACCAAAAGGTTGAAATTCGGTTGAAATTTAGTCTCTATGAGTAAAGCAGAGAAAAGGGTTAGAGTTGCTATCCATTTTGTTTTATTCAAAGCGACAAGTTTTCTCAAGGAAACTCTTCTCGAAAAAATGTTCTCAATTTAAAAAAAGTTGAAATTAATTTTTCAAGCCAAATCTTGAAAGGCTTTTTTGATGTCATTAAAATTGCTTCATAAAAATATATTCAATTTCAGTCAAATTTTGAATCGTTTTTGGCATTTTGTTGAGCCGTTGACTTTGAAAATCTTATCTTGATAAATCATCTCATACATTACTTCAATACGGCATAAAAATTCAAATTTAAAACAAGTCCGTGTTACACTAAACAAGAAGTAAATTAATGTCATAAAAGACCCTTTTTAAATTATTTTTTAAAAAATATATTCGATTTTGATTGCGCTTTCTTTAGTTTTTTTAGCTTTTAAAATTTACTTCAATCTTTCTGTGATCAGGTATCTAGTCACCAATACCTTGGGGTATCTGAATAGCTCTTGAAGTTTTTTAAAATTGTTGAAACATTCAAATTGAAATGAATTCTGAGTCTCTGAAAAAGTTGTTTCGAGATATGAAATTTGTGGTTTTTTGATGTCAAAAAAGTCCCTTTTTAAATTAATTTTTAAAAAATATATTCGATTTAAATTGCGCTTTCTTTAGTACTTTTAGCTTTTAAAATTTACTTCAGTCTTTCTGTGATCAGGTATCTAGTCACCAAGACTTGGAAAATCTGAATAGCTCTTGAAGCTCATTAGACAAATGAGCATTTCATAAAACATTCAGAAGAATGAGTTCTGGTTCTCTTTTTTGCACATGGTATTCCCAAATTTGAATGGTTAACTCGAGATTTGAGGTCTTTTTTTGTGTCATCATGCGCGCTCTCTAAAGCTTTTTTAGCTTTTAAAATTTACTTCAATCTTTCTGTGATCAGGTATCTAGTCACCACGGCTTGGAATATCTGACTGTCTCAAGTAAAATATTTAAAATTGTTAAAACATCCAAGAGGAAAGAGTTCCGAATCTCAAGCAATCGACTAATGTCGCTTATATGAAGTTTTTAAAATTAAATTTCCTTTCTGACTCAAAGTCAATCACAGGAATACCAATTGTTCGAACAAAGATTGCAAATAACTGTTTAAGGTTCACCTTAATTGCTATTAAGATCTCTTTTGTGTGTAAGAGAACGTTTGCAACGACTTAAAATGAGAGAGGTTCCGGTATTGTTGCTTGGCAATCGAATTGTCCGGACTTGTAACGGTTGCACTTTAGTTGAATGTTAAATGCTTAGAAAATGAAAAATGAACCATTTAACGTTTTCAATGATTTTTTGTTCCTTCAATAAGAAACCATTGAACGGCCAATATTGCTGCTAAAAAACTGATCTCCTGATAGCGTTGTTTTTTTATCGTTTGATGGGTCAGATGACGAACACATTTACCATATAAACATAACGTTCTTTTCGACTTCGCCAGCCTAGAGACTGTGATCAAAGTAAAGAAGAATTTTAAATTTAAACAAAAGCTTTTAATTTCAAAGAAGATTCGGTTGAAACTAAAATATAATTTGAAATTTTCATGTGTTGTTGAATCTCAAACTAGTGGTTGTTCCTTTTCTTGGACCTTTTCGATGATTGTGCCATTGTACGATAATATTCAAGTGAACCCTTGGAATATTTTCAGGAACGTCTTCATGCGATTCAAGGAAAAAATTCAGATAAGCTCGCTAAAGACCCTAGATAAACTGTTCTTTTCCCTGTGACTATTACAAGATTTAAATTTTAAAAAAATGACTTTTAATTTCCAATGAAAACTCATTAAAATGGGCGAAGTTTATTATTTGGAAGTGCTAATAACTTGAGCAAGATTTGCTAAACGACTTTTTGAATTTCTTTTATTGGTTTATCTAATTCCGTTTCTACTGTGAGAGATTACTATCAGCGATAATGATTTATATTCAAATTTATTCCCGTGCTTTAATCAAAGCAGGTCAATCGGTCTAGAAAAACATTTAAATCTATTGATTATTGCATGGGTTCTGAAGATAGCTGAATGCAATTGAAATTTCTTAGCTATTAGAAGTTCTAAGATTTTTAAAACGAAAAAAAGTCATTGGCATAATATTGGGTCAAACTGTTCTAACATTAACCCTGCCAGTGATAAAACAAAGTCGAATCCTACTAATGTTCAAAAATAGTCGAATATTGTTGACCGAAACATAAAACTTGATTGAACGTCTATTTGGATAACATCGAAAATGTTTTTTTCAAAAGTCTTTTAAGGGTATAATAATTGTTATAAGATGCGTTTCCGAAGATAAATAAACTTTTGAAGGTTCGTAAAAAATTACTGAGATTAGCCCAGTGATAACTCATGAAGTCTCTAAACTTGAAATTTAAAATTAAAATTAAAATTCTAATGATTAAAAACTTGAAAAATTGCACTTTTCATTTCATGGACATTTGTCTTAAATCTAAATTTATTTTGCTGTCGTTTAAAACTACCGATTGAGGTACAATATTCACTGTCTTTCTTGACAAGGAAATGGATTTTGTATTTTTACTCAACAATATGTGAATTCAGATTTTTATATTGAATTTGCTTACAAAATATCTCAGTGACTAGATTATTCCTTCATCAGCTATCGCTGGGTTATGAATTAGTATTTGTAAAATTTAAATTTAAATGTCGTTTTAAATAGTAGCAAAAAAGGCAATTCAGCTGAAGATTCCGTTTAAGATTTAGATTTTGGAAAAGGTTTTTTTAAAAATTTACTTTTGAATTGTCTAATTTTATTATTTATTGCCATTTAAATTTCGAGTCTATCCCGTCTTTTGAACCGCATTAACACTCGACTGCCATAAAGGTCTAACAGTCGGTTTGGGTTCGGTAAAAGATTTTTGCAAGATTCACACAATTTTATGAACCTTAAAGTCAAAATCGAAATTCTGTTTCTATGAATATTAATACTTATTTTTTTCTCTCCCTCAATTAGTCGAGGATTTGATTTCATGAAACATTAAGCTACTAGTGAAGTCCTCAGTAAACTTATTACACTCCTAACATTTTCAGCAATTCTGATAAATGATAGTTGGCTTTTATGCAATCCAAATTTGCATCTTCTAAGCAAAAATTGTGTGAAATTGAAATGATTTTGATGTTGTTTAACAATTAACTTCAACCGAGAAGACCCTTAATCCAAACGGTAGAAGAAGCAGTGATTCAGAATTATCTGGTTTTAAATTTTTCTCAGGTGGATTTGAATGTTTTTAACAAAATGTTCAACATCATTAAGGAACGAATTTAATTTATGAGTCGATTCGACTCACTATAAATACTTCATCATGTCAGGATATATTATATTGATTTATTAATTTCATTAAAAACCAGTAAACTTTATCTGGTTAGGAATCTGATTGTAGAACCAAAAATCTTTAAATGCATGATTTTTAACATTTACGATGCGTTATTTTGAAATTAGACGCTTGGAATGATTTAAAAATGAAATTTTAAATTTAATTTGAAAAATTAATTACATTCTATGTTTCTGGTTAACTTCAATATTTTATTACAAATAAATGCCATTTGTAAAAGCCGCCCTTTGATTACAAACTGGTTAACTGTTGTTAGGTAACGGTTTTTTGGGTTGCTTAATGGCGCCAGAAAACTGTAAGTCATCTGTTTTCAATATGAGATTTATTCATATTATTCATCGTTTCTCATTAATCAGAGTTTAATTTTTTGTGACTCTTTGCTTGATTTTATTGTTTGTTTGGATTAATACTTGTATGGAGACGCTGATTAATCAATGTTTTGCTTTGAATCTTTGAATCTTCATGAAGGTATGGTGTATACACCTGATAAAACCTGATGTTTACCCAGTCTTCTTTTGGAATAGGATCTATTTGTGCGGCGATATTTTTTCACTCTTTTTGGAGGCCTTACATCTGATACGGTTGAATCGATTGAACTAGTTGCACTTCGCCAGACGTAATCTTGTATTCCTGATTTCACCCTCTCCATTGAACTACTTGTATATCCACATAACAGTATAAAGGCGAAACAAACTACAAGTAAAAAAACGAGAACGGTAATTATGAACGAAATTGTATTGAATTTCTGAAGTTCTGAAGTTTGAATGCAATAAAAACGAGTCTCCCATGAGCCTATTTTGAAAATAATGTAATCTGTCCAAAGTTCAATTGGAACTTTAGTTTGCGATATACAACTAATATTTTGATTTTGTATTGTCAGTTTATACGAACACGGGATGGCTTCATTTTTTGAAGCGTCAAATATATGAATCTCTGTTATATTTGCTAAGTGCGGAGCATAGTTGACCAAGTTTATCGTTAATTTTGCTGATGTGAGTGAATATACTGCAAACTTGATGAATGTTTTATCCATTGACCAGGATTTTGGTTCACAACTACTGGTGTGATTTCTTGATAAAGATTTGCATGGATTTCTTCATCTATCATTTAATAATAATTAGTCGGCAATTTGCCCAATGGAATGACACAAGTTAAACATTCACACATTAAATTACTCCAGTTATCAAATAAAGAATCTTCTCCTTCTTCAAAGTCAAGGAAGAAAGTAGCCAAGCAAAAGTAATGCTTATCCTATTGTTGGAAAGGGTTGGTTTAGCCCTTTCCATTCATTGTTAAAGTAGAAATTGAAGAAATGAAGACAGTCAAATAGACAGTCAAGAGAAAGAGGAAAATATATCTCACCATTTCTCTTTCCTATTTAGAGACATAAATTTCACTATACAGTCGACTACCTAAAATTGTCCCTTTATTTTGCGACGAAAAAAATGAGCGCGATTTTCAATGGTGATAAAGTTTTAATAAAATCAAGTTTAATTGATGATTCTGTGGGTTAATTTTAACAAATTTTGTTTATTTATCACTATCAACATATGATCAATGATTTTCAATTATTTGCAATGTGATTTCATGAAAAAATTGTTAAATTAAATTTTGATTCCTAAGCAATTTTTAATCTATCAAAGATGGGGCTTTAGTCGAGGGACTATTTCGAGGGACTGTATTACATTTGCCTAAATGCACAAAAAGCAACTCTATTTTCATAGTGAAAGCTCAATCCTCGGTTCATGGACGAAGTTTGCTTAGTACATCATGTTTTTACCCAGTGAATGAGATCAATTAACAGCAATTTTACAATAATTTTGACTATTGGCAATTTTTAGATAAATTTAAGTGGAAATAACTCAATCATCTGATGTTTTCTTACCAACTCTTCACTTAACTCTGCATTCATTAAGAAAAAATGAAATTGATTAAACTCTGTCCATGAAAATTCATTTTCTTTATTGAATGTTTTTTCCAATTTGACCTTAATTGTCGAAATCAAAATATTGGTTTAAAAAGCAAAAATTGAGTTAACATTTCTTCGAAAAGTAGTTGAGCAAAAATCTTCAATAAAAAGCTTAAAACCTATGTAACAATAAATGAGGTAAAAATTAAAAATTAGATTCACTCCTCGTCACCAATCTCTTCATCTGGAGCAGTGCTGGCTTCAATCTGTTTATAAAAATCAAATGCTGATTTAGAGACATTAGTAGGTAGTTTTCCTAAAAGTTGAACGAGATCAAAAGCATCAGCAGGATCACTAATCACAGGTATTTCTCTTCCTCCAGTTCCCCATTTGAATATAACACCAGATAGGCCTTTGAGAGCGCGACTTATAGATTGAATGTCTTTGCCGGCGGATTTTATTTCATCGCCCACTGTTTTAATACCATTGCCAACTGAAGCAAATTCATCGCCCACAAATTGAATGCCGTCACCAAAGGAAGCTCCAGTGAGACCGAGAAGAGCACCTTCAGTACCAATAATAACTGCCATGGGAGTAAGAAGAAAAGTTGCTTGTGAAGCCAAAGATCTTTCATGCTCGGATTGAATGAATTCATCTAGGGCTTGTCTTTGAACGATTGGATAAGTGTTGACCAAAAGCAATTGTAGGATAAAATTAAAGATGAACACAGATGGGAATAACAGCTTTAAATTCATGTTGAATTGCTGAAAAGAGATGAAAACAAAAAGGTAATTGTTAGTGATGAGCAAAAATTAAACACTAATGATTCAAGTCAACACTGTTAAGAATCAGTTTTCATTCTTAACTACCATTGGTTAATGTTGATTTGAAAAATGACGTATCAATGTGATGAAAAATAAAAGTGAAACAATGACAATTTGACAGCGAAAGGCAAATTTATTTAGATATTCATTAAAAATTCACAAAAATAATCAGTTTAGAAAGTTGCAACTTTGATTAAGTGAAAAAATTCGGGTGATAAGCTAATGATTAAATATTTACTATAAATACAAAAAATGACACACTCGAGGTGAGACATTTTCTTGAATCGAAAAAAACGATAAATTGTTGGATTTGAGCGGGAAATTAGTGGTTCATCCTTAGAGCTCTTTCCATTTCACATGGAATCAAAATTGCTTCAAAACACATTGAGGTGAGGAAAATTTGCCAGAAAACAATCTCGTGAATTTATGCTGCATTTATTAGCTTCACATTTAAGGCAGTACTTGATTGATCTTAGTTACGGATGAATCGTTGTTTTATACAAAAATATAAAATAATGTGAGTCATGATCAGGCCCATTTTGAAGTGAAAATGATAAGGCAAAAATCTTATTTTGTCTCGATGGTTGGATTTGCGAATGAATGTCATGATTGCGCACGTTGCTATTCAATTAAATGTAATGAAAATTACATTATTTTAGTTGATTCATTAAAATACAACCAGTGAAGTAGCTTTTCTAATTGTGAGATGGACATGATTCGCTCTGAATCAGTTTTATACAAATTGCAATAGTTTCAACAAAAGATAAATTGTTCAAATTTGCAAATAAAGTTCATAAGAACACAAATAGAAACAGAAAGAAAAATTCTGTCAATTTGAAGATTTAAAATCGGCATCAAATCGTTAAAACGATGGATAGAATGGTGTAGTAAACTTAAAACTTTTCACGTTTATCCTACGTGGTTCATATTATTGTAAGGCAATTGAAGTTATCCATTTAAAACATTTTTTAAATGAGTCGTAAATGGACATTAGCAGCACATGGAATTACGTAGATGGACGGGTGCAAGGTGGTAGAAATATGAATATTAGTCTTGAGCTCGATATGAAGTCACTTTTAATGTCAGTTTACTGTGGCGTTGCATGAATGTTTAAAATGTCCGAATTATTAAAATAGTATTTTGTGTAAAAGCGGTGGTGATGAAAAGGCGATGTCAATGGTGATGAAAAAATGGATAATTGTGACCAAGTTGGTGGTAATGATGGAAATAATGACACATTAAGATGCTAATAGAACCATGGAATGATGCTGATTACTTTGGACATTTGATAGATTCTTGAGATCTACAGTTGAAAGATTTAAGGAATTGTGGAATGTTGCGAGTAACAGTTTCCACTCGTAGTTTGCCTGGGAGAGTTTTCATAATCTGGAAATAGTTATCAGCATATCCATCTCTGACTGATTCGCATAAAGACTGGAAATATAAATAAAAAGAATTAGAATAATTCTAAATTGAAAAGTTTGAAGTTAACTAACCTGAGCGAAAGAAACATAAAATAGTTGGTCGTTGTACAAAGATAATCCAGGTAAAGGATGCTCTTGGCCCTCTAATGTAACGAGCTGCATGTATGCTTCATATGCAATTTGAAGAGCATCAATGTCGATAACTGTTTGAGGTAAGATCAGATCGATGTTCACCTATAAAAAAACGAAAAAAAAACAATGAAATAAGATAATATCATAAAATTATGATTAGCAAGTGGACTAAGTAGATTAAAACTTACCTGGTCTGAAATTGTAACATTATGCTGCATTAATTTTTCTGCCAAACAAGCAGTACTTGAATTAAGTGCTTCGTTAGCTTCCTCTGTAATGATCGTGAATCCTTCACTGAATTGGCCATTTCGGTCGTAAAACACACCTCTAAAACTGATGGCCTTAAAAATTTCCGAAGCAATATGGAAAGACAAAGAGCCATAGTTCATTGCCAAGGGAAAATCGTGTTCATATATCGGACTAGTCATGATTCCAAATCCAACATAGAGTATGTTTCCAGCATATTGATAATGGACTTCAGGTTCAAATGGTGAGAAAGGCCAAACATCAGTAGAAGATTTCAGTAAAGTTTGGAAAAGCTTTTTACGCTGAAATGAATATGCGTTTGATACAGATTTTATGAGGGAACTGTCGACAACTGCGCTTAGGTAATATTTCTCCATGCCTTCGCCATCAGGTAAGCCTTCAGGGTAACCTAATTTAACATTGAGCATATCGAGTTTATCTCTGAGTCGCTCACTTGTGTCACGATCAGTAACCCAGGGGAATCTAAAGAGTCTTTCTTTGATTTTATTCCTAACTCGTTCCAGAAGTTGTTCAACAGCAAGGAATTTGTGACTAACATCATTTTTATCAACAAGTAGTGAAGTCAAACCCTGTCCGTAAAATTTCTTCAAGGTTTCAACGCAGAATTCCCAACGTTCCTCCTTTTCATAGCTTTGTTCGACTCCGTTCAAAGATTTTTTCCACGCAATTTGAATATTTCGTACATCTTCATTCATGTAAGGAGCATACTCGTGGATAAATTTCCAAATCAAAAAAGTATTGATAACACTGAAAAACAAATAAATAAATAAATTAAACATTCATCAACGAGAAAATATTAAGCAAATCAACTTACTCATCAGCATAAGGTGACAGAATATTAACCAGTGATCTCAGGTACTTTTTATCAACAATAACCACTTGTGTATTGTCTTTGAAAGGTAAGTCGTTTAAATCGGAGTAAGTCTGCATAAATTCGATCCATTTTATGTTAGGTAACATGGCTCGTAAATCACGAATCTTTGTCCTTTCTAATAATTGTGATACATTCCAAGTATCACTCACGAACTCTATGAGTTTCCTTTCATAGTTAAAGATCATGTCGGCTGCCCGTTGGCCTTGAGCTGGATTCACTCCAACTTGTTTACATACTTCTAGAATATATGATCTATACCGCTGTTGAATCTAATAGATAAAATAAAAAATCATTAGAAATTGAATTGGGTAAATCATTTGTGAAATTCATCATTAGAATGTTACGAAACAACATTTAAAACAAAATATGTTGATTACTTAAGCCAAGCCTGTTAATTAACTAAAGTTTACTCATATGATTGATGGATATTTTAAGATCAATACAACTGAAAAAGTAAATTTAGTTAAGAAGGAAAAGAAGTAACATTTATTTCAACAAATAAATCAAAGTTGTTGAAATAATCAGTTAGTATCCAGGTAATAACAGAATTAAACATTACTAAAGATAAGGATATAAACATAGAAATCAGCCATCAAATCACTGAATAAAGGCATAGTTGTAATGAAATTAATTACTGATCCTTAAAGTGTAAATAATCGCACCTACAATTTATTCTCTCCAAATAATAGAGTGGAAGTATATTAGAATTAGCCTTTTCTAAACAATTTGTCATAGAAATGGGTAATCTGATGAAAATTGAAAAGAGAAATCACTCATTCAATCATTAGTGATCACTGATACAATCTTGACTCTGTCTCATAGAATGGAAAAGGTAGAGAAGGTCTTTATACCACTTAGATGATCTTTATAATCATCTTTTGTTAACGAAGTAAAACATGAGCAATTGTGCTTGACTGAATCGATCAATAACAATAAGTGTTTCTTTAAATCTTATCAATGAAAAAAGAGGAAGGTATAAGAAAAACGATACAATGATTTAGTACAAGTTATCCTTACAGATGAGATTTACTTTTTTGTGAATCATTTTTTTCTACTTCCCTGTGTCAGTGCAGGAAAACTTTATAATAACAAAACAACCATCAGATGAGATTGAACAATTTTGGCTACATTGATTGTGGAAACTCTGCTCATAACCTTCACTTGACAATAAAGTTTACAAAAGACATGAATATAAAACCGGTCTATCAGAATGAAAAAAAATAATAAACTGTGATATTAGGGTTGATAAATATAGACATAATGAGAAATAAATGGCTGAACATTAGAAGAGGTTAAAAAGTAACCCGCCAAAACAAATATAAACTTGAAAAGGGCAAAACTTCAATAATATCAAAAGGAGCTAGGCTCTTAAAAGAAACCAACCCTAATGTAACTGTCTTTTTGTTTAAACTCCGGGAGATGAATTTTCTCAAGAAGTAAATAATATTCCATTCATTGAAAGTCTTTCATTCTTTTTTTCTTTCCTTGAAGAGTATCTTTTCCCATTCTTCAAGATTGAAGGGAATACAGGTTAAACCAAGAAAGACACGAAGGAAAACTGATTCAAAGTTGCCATTGTTTCTAATTAAATGATCATAATACAGAAAAATTATCCAAAGTGAAGAGAGCAAATCAATTTCAAAGGTAAAGAAGCAATTGAGAAGATTTTGTAGTAGTTGAGTGAGATGGTCAGTAACAGGCAGGAAATGCCAAAAAATGTATACCTTTTCATATTTGGGGTTCCAATAATGTTCACGGCTGGGTAATCCAAATTCAGGTGGTGAAATCTGAAAAATAGAGAGAAGGAAAAAAGTTAAAATTCACTGAATAGATGAGAAAAGCCGAGTTTCAATAAGTGTTTTTAGGGATGATTCAACCATTACAGTGTATTTAATATTTAATTGAAATAAAGTTTATACAGGATTTCAATATAGACAGACTGACATCTTGCTAGAAAATTTTCACACTGTTTTAATCTTTTAATCAAGTTTTCAATATCTAGTTGTGACTTTTGGACTTGATTGTTTCTGCAAATTACCTCTCATAAACTGCATTTTAAGAGCAACACAATTTAAGTGTACTACTTGCATGTAGAACTTGTAATGTTACAATTGTTATCTTAATATGCTGAAGTATTCTCATAAATGTTTAGTCACTTTCAATTAATCTTATGGCTTATTAGTAAACTATCATGCAATGAAGCATACGACGATTAATTAACATTGAAAGTTATTTAAAAAGGTATGATATAAAAGCAAAAAGCATCAATATTTCTTCAAAACTAGGCTTGAGTAGAGCGACAATTTTCTAGAGTGAAACCTTGTAATATTGAAGATCAGGAAAAAACAAATATTATAAGGGAAATGAACTGTTTACCTTAATAGTTGGTGCAGTTGGATCATAATCATTGGTTTCAACAGAGATACGGAAAAAAGGAGCAACTCCATAGTCAATCTGAAGGTATTCCAAAACTTTATGCCAATCAAGTTTAACTCTATGCATAGGAGCCCAACCACCGAGTTTAGCAACCAGATAATCATCGACAAATTTCTTTGAATCATGATCCACTCTGTCAAGATCCATACACGTCTCATAAAATCGTCTCATTGTATCGAAACCATGTTTTTGATTAGATGCTGGCAACGTATGAAGTAAATTTAGAATCTTTAAATTGGTTTCATGCCGAATGCCATCTTTTACACTGTAAATTCCTCTTTCGGGTGGAATCTTATTATTTTTAATCCAATTGCCACAAGAGTAAGACCAAAAGTTTTCACATTGGTCATTTTTAAGATCTAAATTACTCAATGTGACTGCTGCTGCTTTAAGACAAGATGCGGATTCACATTTCATAGGAAAAGTTATAGTTCCCCGGGTACCAAGGATAATGGCTAGAGTAAGTACAACAAAGAGAAGTATAAGGACCAGAGCGGTGAGGACCAGGATAACTCGATAAAAATTTTCACTGATAAATGTTTTGGCACTGTCCCATCTTTCAAGCATCAACTGTGTCCGTGTAGACTCTTTGCCAGTAACTTCAACAGGTCCTCTGAGGTTAGCACCATTGTCACCATTACCTGGGTTATTAAGTTTGTCATTTTCTTTGGGTTCACTTTCATCACCACTGGCTTTAGCCATTTCTATTGGAGTTTCTCTCCCCTGGTTGCGAACACCTTTAATATAATCCAGGATGCCAGTTTTTTAATTGGACGGACTAATAAACACTAAATAATTTGTTAATTAGATGAATTTAAAAACAAAAATATGAATGTGGTTTTAGCTGCTGGAATTTCCGGTTTGAAAGACAGAAAGCCAAAAGAAAAATGCACAGAAAGAATTCACGCACAATCAGTCCAATAGTCTACCTGGCGCCAAATTCAAAGATTGATTGTCTTTGCTTCGCCCAAACATGAATGAGATGAACTTGAGTTTTATTGTTAAACAATAGCTCAAAAATCACGATTTTTATGCAATCTTCAGAATAGGCTCCTAAAGGCGTCAAAATCTACTGAATAGTTTTTGTTAAAGATTGGCCCAGACCCAAAATTTGGGATATTTTACATCAATAGAGGGCTCCAACACACTTGTCACATTTATGCAAAAATTGTCACAACTTGTCACAAATGGACAAAAAACGGGAAACAATTGATTTCTTTCAAATTTAGACTCTGTTGGTTTGTAGGGGCATGAAAACTGAATCCATTTGGGCGATTAGAAAATTTCTCTGTTCCACAGTTTTCGAAAAAAACCGAGTTAAAAGGTGAAACTTGGATAGCTTTTTGCTCAATTATGGAAGAAAATTTTTTGATGAAAATCATTTCACCGCTCTAAATTTTGATGGTCAACCAGTAAATAGTTATTTTAACACTTATTTTAAGGAATAAGAATTTCTATTTCTGTTCAAAAGGTCACTTCGATTTGGGGCAAGTTATTCGTTTTTAACGAGGATAATAGAGAATGAGCTGAAACTCATTTTTGTCGATAAAACTTACTGGTAAACATGATTGATCGGACACTTTTTTCAATCCAACTGTTGATAGATTGAAAAAAGTGTTGGATCTTTGAATAAGTTTCAGCTCTCTAACTCTTACGGTCTCAGCGAGCGACAAGTTTGATTAAAATTGTTACCTTTTGTACAGAAATAGAAATTTTAATTATTTAATAGCTCTAATGGACTAAATTTTTATGCTTCTACAAACCCTCCAAGGCTCAACACTCAACTCTTGATCTTTATTGATGTTATCAAAAACTGAAATGCTCGAGTTCTGCCTGCACTCCTTTTCAAATAAAAACGTCTTTCGACAGCATCAAGCACATAAAATTAAAAATATTTGAAATTTCATATCGAAAGCTCAGACTAAACTGTTTGAAGTAAATCTAGTGTATTAATATTTTAATTTGCTTGTTAGTCTAATCAAGAAATTAAAAAAAATATGAAAAAAGAAACCTCTAAACTTAATATAATCCCATAGATGGCGACTTTTGAAAAAAAGCCAACAATATAAACAGTTAATAAAACTGTTAATTAAAAGCAGCGTTAAACATTTCAACTTGTTCGACAGTTTTTTAGTTAATTCCATCATTTTTTTGTGGCAACTTAAGCTTAAATTGATTTTTTAGTTATTTTATCAACTCAACTCTCCTCCAATCTTAATTTAGTATATTGTTAACATGGATATGAGTGGATTTTCGAGAGACTCTTCACCCAATCAACAAAAACGCTTTTCTACTGGTTTAAAAATCTTCCAAAGCTATGCGGAATCAAGTAATGAGCCAAATGCTTATAATCAACTCGTTAATTTTTGCCAAAATGGAGATTTTAATGAATTTCAGCAAGTGACACCTCCGATGGCTGAAAATTGTAGCAATTGCTCTATTTATTTGGAGCAAATCAACAGTTTACACCAAGAAAATGATCTTCTGACACAGCTAGTCGGCAATCTCCGAAATCGCATACGAGACACTCAAGCTGTCAGTACATTAAGTCAAAAATTCGCTAATACTACCATTGGAGGAGAAATCGCGCGACATCAAATTACTAATGGTGAAATGGTTGGTACTTCACCCTTGACTTATAAGCCAAAAGAATTCGATGCAAGGGAGAGCAAAATCATAATCACAAGATTGACTTCTGAGTTGGAGTTTTTCAAAGCTTTGAACGCTAACACTGAGCTATGTTGGCTGAAGAAATTCGAAGATGCTAAAGCTGACAACCTAAAAATTACGAAAAATTTGGAAGATGCTCTATTGATGAGTCAAGAAACCATCTGTCAGTTAGCTAAAGAATTAGAAAATACCAACGCTGAGAAACAAGCAGCTATCAATAAGATGTCCAGTGAATTATTCTGTGTTCAATCCGCTGAGCATGTTAAGATAACTGCTCTGACCAAAGAATTTGTCGACTTTAAAGCAAGCAAAGAAGGCGAGATAGATGATCTAAAGGACACTATAACTGATCTAAACGAGAAATTAGATAAAAGTAAAGATGAAATCTCCAATCTTGAAAAGGAAATTGAGGAATTGAAATCTCAACACCAGAAGACTATTGACGAATTAAACCAAAAGCTTGACCAAGCAGAAGAGGAAAAAAAGGTCAACCAAAACCACACCAGCAATTTGCTTAAAGAGTTGACCATGACCAGACTCAATTGTCAGATAACAATGTCTAAATTAACCAAAGAAATGGAAAAGGAGCATAATGGAATACCAGAGTAGTTAACGAACATGATGTTGATTTTGAAGCATCAAAAGTTAACTTAAATTCCGATGACTAACGCTATATGACGATCCTTCTGCTTTTGATTCAAATTGATGTTCAATATGATATTTTTTTAAACCATCTCCTTATGATCAATTAAACAGATGAACTACAATTTAATGAAGTATTGTTTATTAAAAATTGATTCATAACTTCATCACCCTGTTCACTTCACGTTTTTAACGATTTTTATTTTTTGTCAATTTTCTAAACTTTTGAATTCTCTTATCTAAATTTCCAACGTATTTTAATTTCTCTCAAAATTACAATAAACTGTAACCTTGTAACCAAGGATTCTAAATTTAAAAAAACCTTTTATTTAAAACTCAAAGCTTATTGATTTGCTGTTAAATTAGCAGCAGTTCATCAATGGTATCACCATTGGATATTCATCTTAAATGCATTTGATTTGTCAAGGCATTTAATAATCCCTTGACTTTATTTTTCCGCGGTAACTTTTAAATCATAGATTCTAATCAATTTTGAGTATCGGTCAAACTTTGAGGATGTTAATCGGATGAATAGAGTCTATCCGATAGACCTACTTGTTACATATTTATTTGTAAGTAAATTTAAATTACAGAGACCGTATGGTTGAACATAATGGTTAGATTATAGTCTGATTGAATATTTGATCCTGATTTTGATCTTTACAGTATCTTTTTTGGACTCTTTCATAGTCAATCTGATTGGCTCAATGTGGTTTTGATTTTTTTATCCTTTTTGCATTGATTTGTATTTCCTTTACACGTTTAGTGGATGGTCAATTGTTTGAATTCAATCAATTTAGATATTTAGTTAGATTTACTTGTTACCTTGTCGAACGGTAAGCTATCAATTAAATCTGAACGCTTCTAATTATTTTCTTCCTTTCTGTAGATTAGCTCGGCACCATGGACTCAAGTATTGAAGCAGCGGCTGATGATTCTTCTGACGAATATACCTCTTCCTGTGAATCTGGTCAAGAAGATAGCCTTGGTGATCTTGCAACTGATTTATTAACCCTCAACTTAGATGAAACCAACAATTTACCAACTAGTTCTAATCAAAATGAATCTAGAAATGAAAGTGCGCCAGATAATCAATGCTCTTGCAATAGTTCTTTATGTAAGTTGGAGTTGATTTGTTATAAATACGATTTGAAAGCAGTAGAGAACGAAAAGAGATTGGCTACAGCTACATTCAAGTCTGAAATAGCCAAAGTGAAAAAGCAATACTCTCATGCTTTATCTCGATTGAAAAAAGAGACGAAAAAAGTTAAAGATAGAGAGGAAACGATTAATCAATTAACCCAAGCTCTGGATGGATTAAATAAAGATTTGGATTCGATGCGTTTAGCAAAGGAAACTGCTGAGACAAATCTAATCAAAATGTTACAAGAGCTTGAATTGGATGCTTTCAGCTATGTTTCGGAATTGGATGCAGTCAAATCGCAAAACGATGAATCGGCGAGAAAATATAGAGGATATATTGGTGGTTTGAGGAAGAAAATTTCTCGGCTTAAAGGAAAACTCGAAGAATACGAATAGATTGAATTATCTCAATGATATACCATTACTTATCTGTGATACACTTATGCCTTGGTCAAACTTAAATAAAGTCCCATAATATAAACGCATCCAGTTCAAAGAGTCAACAATTATTTCATTGTTGATCAGTGAAACCCAACACACAGCTTTGCCAGTTTGAATGTTCAATATTTGATATTGACATTTACAATTTAGTTGATTAATTTTGATCGGAACAGAATTGTACAGAAATCTGAGAAGCTGTATGATGTAAAGTCTGAATTCCGTTCTTGCAAGATTTAAACAATTGAAGATTGATTGAATTACCTATTAAGTGCAATTTGATTTATTGATACAATGATTTAATTGGAAATACAGTTGGTATAGCTAATACAAAGGTCAATGTAATAGTAGCTAATGAAGAGATTAACTTGGACATATCAAACTAAATAATCTCATTATTTGAAATCGGAATCACAATTTCCTAAGAGTAGATTCAGAATCGACCTGCACAATAACAGTTTTAATATGTGATAGAGTAAAATATAACCGATTGACGCTGGAAGCCCTTGAATGTTATTCGTTATGAATTATGCAAAGCAGATACATAGAGACTCTTATGTGATCTAATGTAAGTTATCCACTTGATCCAAGTTTTTGGGCAAAGTGAAGACATTTTAAACCAGTTATCGCTTGAAAAATTTTAGTTTTGTTTCCAAATACATCTGTGATTTCGTGACAAAATTTTCACATTTTAGTGTAAAGTCGTAAACTCTGTATTGTTTCTCAAAAGAATTAGCAAGTCAGTTAATATCTAGGGAAATCATTTTCACAAAGATTAGTAAAATGGCTAGCCAAGTCTCAGAATTTGCGAGTCAAATTACAAAACTTGAAAATGAATCTTGTTTTTCTCAATTGTTTGATCATTAATCGACAATATTGCAAGCAAAACTGACTAACATGTTTCTCTGTTTCAAGCTTTCTTAAACTCAGCGAAAATTGCTGAAAACTATTAACTATGTTTTCACTTTTTGTTATTATAATTTATCATTAGCCCAATCAAATCTTCTCTTGTTTCAATCCTACTTTGTGTTTCAATCATTCCTAACAATATTACAGGACTAAATCTTTTTCAGTTGTAAGATGTTATCAAAGATACTCTAATTTGTTATTGAAGCTCGAGTTGCTAATTAGTAATCCTTTTGAAAAAGAAGACAAATTTTGCGACTTCACACCCGATTCGGGCTACCAAAATGTGTCCACAACTCTCTTAAACTCGTCGATAATTGCTATATTAACTCTTTATTAGCCTATTTTTTCGCATTTTGTTTCAAAATAAATTTTTGAAACAAAATCTATTTATCTTTTTATTTCCAGTGAGAGATGGCGCTCCCGTTAGAGCTGATACTACGACTGATCCATATTTGATCTCTAAGTATCTATTGATATTCTCTTTTCTCTTTCTGGTTGAATCAATTTTGATTATGATTAATCTCGTTACTTAATTTTGTTTAATAATTTTGTTTTTTTGTGTGTATCAGATCGGTAAGTTACTGGTCTATTTCATTAAGTTCAACCGTTGTAACAGTATTTTCCCATGGATTTCATAATCTATTTTGTTTTCCTCTAGGCAATCTCGTTAACTGTGTTATGGAAATCATTGAGGAATCGCCAGATGGTTATGATTTTGATCGTCTGTCTCAAAATTATGCTTCATCGTCTCTATGTGATTCTGGATCTGAAGGAGAAGAAGACTTTACTAAAACTCTGCTTTCAGTTGATTTATCAGAATTCAATGGAGCAGATTTTAATGAAGCAGAATTTGAGTCTGATTCCAATTTACTTGATATACCTGATACCTGCCAAATTAATGAAAATACTGATAACTATTTCAAGCAGTGTGCTGAGCTGAAACTAAAAAATGAACTTCTCGCAAATTTGGTCAACAACCTTCGAAGAAGGCTCAAGCATTCTCAGAAAAGATTATTGGCGGCTGAAACTGCTCCAAGTACTGATCGATCGACACGCCACCAGTGCTCCGATTATGCCTGTGGGGAAAGACGTAACATCATTCGTGGTTTACAGCATGAACTCGCCTCTGTAAAAGCAGAAAAACAAAGTTCGTTAGATAGGTTGTCTAATGAAATGTTACAAATTAAGAATCACATTTCAATCGCAATATCCAGAGTTAAGGAAGACAAGACAAGTGCCACTGCTGATAAAGATGAAACAATCTATCAATTGTCTACCGGAATTGATAAATTGAACAAAAATTTGGAATTGATAAACTTGGAAAAAGATTCCACTGTATCTAGTCAAGCTCAAAATGTTAATCAGAATACAATTTTGGATGTTAATTCCATTCGAGTTGTTATGAATGACCACTTTACAGAATTGTTGCCAAGAATGAAAAAAATTCGTAGTTTACCTCTTCATTATCAACGTAATTATATTAATCAATACGCATCATATTCCCTTTGTGATCTCGGTCTGAAACCTTGGTGGCATGCTGAATCACTAAATTGGAGGGAAAACCTTCATGTCATTCAACGAGCTGCTAACCTTAGTCTTGCTGAATTACTTAACATACAAAATATCTCTGCTTGGACACCAGTGGCTTTATTAGGGTTCAAAAATCCCGTTGAAAATTATCTCATCCGAGCCTTAATGACCCTTATGAAGCACAAAGCTTCTCCTCAAGACTGGCCAATTTTGAGAGATTTAAATCTTGATCCTGAAATATACATTCATCCTGATGTAACTAACATTGATATTGAAAATATTTGTTCAAGACGAATCGATGCTAGTATATCTTCTGCCACTACCATTCATCTGATGGTTCGATTGGGTGAAGGTGGCTGGTATGTTACCATATTACAAGATTATCATGTATTTAAAACTTGGTTGATTAGTGATTCCGATTCAATCATGCAAACTGTAATTACTGGAGTTTCTCTCATGATTAATGTTGTGAATAATCTTATCAAAGGAGTTGTAATTATTGGCATACCCGATATAATTAATTTTGATCTCCCATCATTAATAACATCTAAAACAATTCTAACACTTATGAAAGATATCAATATCGACACGTGGTTTTGGTTTGTTGATACAAATTGGAGGACGACCAAAAAGTTGAGCGCATTTTCCCTAGAAATTACGAAAGCTTTGGATACAGAAGAGTCAGCAAGATTGAAAATAAGGGAAAAAGTGAACAGCCTGATACAAGAGATTTGGACTTTTGAGCGTCCCTTCATTTATCGGTTCAATCCAAATCTAAAGCCAAAGATAATCAAATATCATCGCATTGGAGGATATACTTTTAAAACTTTTATTAATGTGTTAACTAAATTATCTGTCGACTTTCAACGTCTTCCATTTTGTTGTAATGCAGATTTCCCTGGACGAAGCCTTGATCATTTTCTTGATGGTTGCACGGTTTCATATCCTGTAACTGAGGAACTTCGTAAAAGAAATGATAGTTGGTCATTGGACACAACAAAGGCTGGACAACGTCTCATCGTGGAAACACTCGGTATGTTGACTACAATTTGTGATCCTTTTTGCTAAATTCTTTATTTTATACAGATTTCATTAAGATTAATTACTTTTTATGCAATTTGACGGATAATTTTTTTCGTTCAATTCAATTTCAACAACACATAGTTCAAATTTTTGTTTTCTTGCAAAGCTTTCTTATTTGAATGCTTCAGTACAAATAAGATATTTTTTTTTATAAAACAAAAAATGATTCAATAAACTTGAAAGGAAACAAATATTAAGCTAGTTTTTTTGCCATCATTTGATATTTGCATTTGTTCATTCTCAAAAATTTTCTTTCTCCAGTTCGTTTGAAAAATTGCAATATTTAAAATTTTCTTTCCTAAAGCACTTATATTCAGCCATTTAAGTTTATTGATATTTAAATTGAACTCATTATCAAAGTTATAATCATTGCCCTATCCTTTTCAATAAATTTTCATGTTCATAAAACAACCAATTTTTCTGCAATAAATCTTGAACCAATGATCTACTTTGTAATAAAAACAGTCTCTATTTATTTCTTAAGTCCTAATTCTAACATCGATAGCTAAAAGCACAATATCGAGCAATGATGTAAACTTTAGTTCCAATTTTTCTATTTTCATAAGACACGTTGATGAATAGGAAATATCCTGATTAGACATCGTTCTGGTGGATTGAAAATGATTGCTTTACTTCAATCTAGAGATGGATTTTTCTTTCGTAGCTTGTTCGAATGTTCAAATACCATCGCATTTAATCTTCAAACATTATTTACAATTTCATTGCTATATCAAGTCGATCTTTCTGAGATTGCAGACCCACTCGATGAATGTTTTCATTATCTGATTATTAGCAACCACAAAACTTATTCCTGATCATCTCTCCAAGAACCATTGATTTCATACTTCCATTATTCTGAATCGACACAAAAATTATTGAACAAGCAATGCTGACATGCAAGAAGACATGATTTTTAATTTTTGAAAGGTTTGTTTTTATAATTACTATTGTTCTTGTTAATTGAGTATATTAACTTGTTTTGTAAACAATCATAACAAATTTGATATCTTTGCTGACGTAAACCATCAAACTTGATACAATCTATTATGAAAGAAATGTTTCTTTATCTCCTCTAAATTCAATAAACCAAGAGACTCGTCCGATAAACAGGTGAATAAATTTTTCTTTGTTGAAACTGTAGCCCCTGAATTACGCTGGGTTTGCCATGATCTCAATCGTTGCACGAAATCTTCAACCTTTTCGCTTTCTCCAGTTCTTGTATAAATCCTTATGATTCCTTGATATTCAAACTCTAGGCCGCTGTAAGATCCTCCAAAGACTTTGGTTCCGATTTCAATTGCTTTAAGATAACAACTTTCTGCTTGCAGATACAATCCCATGTCATAGCTGTACAGTGAAGCGAGAAGCCCATAAGATTGCGCTACTTCGTAATCATCTTTACCGAGATATTTTTCCTTTATCTCAATCGAAAGCAATTGGAAAACTTCAGAGTCTTCGTATCGATGCATGCTCTGATACAATCTACCCAAATTAGAATAATGTTTGGCTGTTTGTAAATTCTTTTCCCCGAGAAGATTTTTGGTTATATCTAGAGCTCTTCGATGAAGCCTATGAGCATCCATCAATAGTTCAGTTTTAGCAACAATATCGATGGTGTCGATGGCCATTTCTTCAATAATTAAAGCTTTTATTCTCAAAGCATTGGTAAGTAGATGATGATCTGGAGGTAACAGAGTTTCCAAAGACATTTTGGCGAGTTCAATGTGATGCAGGCATAAATCAAAGTTACCAGTTGAATATTCTTGGATATAATATTCAAAAGCTAAATCTTGACGAGCTAATGCTAATGGTAAATTTATACATTGTTCAGACAGAGTGTGAAGACCAAAATATTGTTTACGAAAGTTGAGAGCACTGAAGTAAAGTCTGACCGACTGTGTCACTGAATCAATGTTGTGATAATAGTAGCCCATGGCAATAAGAAGGTCACCAACAATTGGATGGAAACGAGAAATGTCTGAGAAATCACATTTCTCGTTTATATTGAACTGTTCACTAGCAGCCAGTAAAGCTTGTCTTAATAAATAATCTGCACTTTCAAAGTCTCTTTTAACCACACAGGATCGTCCCGCCGTTAAAAGTATTTCAATTAAAGATATTCTTGGCGTCTGATTGGAAATGTGTTTTAAAGCTCTGCAACTCCACATGTAGGCCTCTTTGTATAGACTTTGAGCAACAAATAAACAGGAAAATTGACTGTAAGCTTGAGCAACATCAAATTGGTCCTTAAGGCTTTCATAATTGTTGACTTCTATCTGGTGGAGCATTTCCCTGTAAAGTTCAGTGGCTTCATTGAAACGTGAATAAGCTACAAGAGATCCAAGTAAACGAGTTTTGATTCGAAATGTCCATGATTCAACAGATAAATCTCCAATATCAATCTCTGGTAAATAAAGAGTCAGGCAAGTTGATAAAATTTTTTCTCCTTCAACATACCATCCAGCCTCTATAAGGAATCCTGCTAATGCGAAACTTCTTTTCATTGATCTTATCCTATTCTGTCTTAGCCCAGTCTTATCATGGTTGGTCGCCTTTTCAGCCCTTTCCCGAAGTAAGGCTACATCTTTGGTCGTATGTTTGCACAAATCACCGGTTAAATTTATTCCTTCGTCCATTAACCGTTGCAGCAACATGTGAAGCGCTTGTCTTTGACCGTTGTTAAACACGACAAGATTAATAAAATTGTTTACATTTGATAAATACTCTATTAAATTATTCCAACGTTCATTCATAAACATCTCTAAATATAAATCGATTTGAATATGGACAGGTAAACAATGGAGATTATAGTGAATCTCATCCAGATTGGCCACTATTGATTTCAAACAAGTGTTATATAATTTCGCAGAGCATTCATAATAACATGAGGCAGGTAATTGTGAAGATGATCCAGAACATGAATTTTTTGAACGACCCGACTCAGCGGCATTTAGTTGAGACATTTTGTAACACAGGTTTGAAGTCCAAAACGGTCAGAAGATCACAAAGTGAAGGCTCAAAAGACAAATATAAAGATGTTGAACAAAGCACAAAAAACAAAGGATAATAAAATTAGTTGTTTTGATGTATTTTTTGTTACAGTTGCTGGTCAGATGATAATAGACAGTTACTTTAGGTAGGGTCTCACATGTTGTAATTGCGTTTGAATACGTCCAGCTTCAACCTTTTGAATTACTCACTAGTTCAATATGCATATCTTCTGATAACTAAACATGACAATTGCTCTCTCTTTTGATCCTCTTTTTAATCATAATTTTCTACCTTGAGAACTGTTTAACAACTTAACTGTAATTAAAGTAAATCAAGAAAAAAAGGATAAGCTATTCATTTCTCACTCTTCTATTTTCTCTTCTGACAACCTCTTCTTGGAAATGCTAGAATTAATTTGATTACAATTCAGCGCGTAGATTGAAAAAGCAAACGCTGAAGAGTTAATTGGGTAAAACTAATTAATAGGTTTAGTTAAGATAATGATAATGATAAAAATTATAGTTTGGTCAGGAGTTGAATGAATGAAAATCAAACCGAATCGACCATTCAATCTAAATAATCTGTCTTCATGACTTATAATGATTTCATTGGTGAAACTCCATCTCGATTTGATTGATTTCAGGTCTTAAAACAATAATTTTAACTTTAAATTCGTTGATAGAATCATTGAATGCTCGTATTATCGTTATTTATTTGCTAAACTATCATGTTGTTGTATTAAATGCCATGTTTATTAATATTGATGGTTTTGTGCTTTTTTCATCTTCCCTTGTTAAATAATATTTCTAGATATGTAATAGACAAAAATATGGCTTGATTATTTCAATTCATTAAGCCAAATGGTTCAATTATTCATTAGTTTTTAATCAAATCTGACAAATAACATATTTATAGTGTATAAATATTGCTCGTGTTGATAAAAAATCAAGTTAATCATGAAACCTTGAGTAAAAATTTCCAGTAACACTTATCATGACAAGTTGTTATTCAATATCTGATGGTTCACATGTAATTTTACCATTTTCATTAAGATGTATTTATTGAAACAATATAAAAATGCGACTTGAATCTTATAAATAATTTAGTTAATTACAGCAAACAAATTGGTGATAAGACTTTGAATCTACAAAAATCTTTGATTCCAATACGACAATGTAACAAACATTTAGTCTTGAGATTTCTGAACCAATTGATTGGCCAGTTGATAATAACTTATAAACCAGTGAGATTTGATCTCCAAATTGACCTTTAAAAATTGATGGTTCGGTTAAAGATTGATTCACTGAGAAACTGATCCATGATAAAAACATCTTCTTGAAGAACACCTGATGAGCCTCTGGATACCAAAGATAAATAGGATATAAAACTTGTTTGTCCAGCTTTCCGAAAATAAACAACTAATCAATTTAAACCAATTAAATATCCACATTTACATTGTAATCATTTATATTATGCCATTGGAATAACATCCATAGTTGAGTTTGCCTTTGCTGGAAGTTTGTATATCTATAGGAATCAGGGTCACTCTAGCGGCCTTTAATGACAAGACTTTTCGATGTCCAACACATTTCTTTGGCCACTCAAATATTTCTTCTTCTGACTGGCATTTCCACCGGGCATATTCAAGGAAACAGCATGGTCAGTTATGAAATTATCTGCATTGTCACTCTTTGAAGCATCATATGGTTCAGGAACATTGGTTTGCATGACTCCTGGTTAACGAAAGCAATAACATTGTAATTGAATTTTCTTAAAAATGTGTTGACTTTGGTATTTACCTGAGAGTCCAATTGAACTAGGATCATAAACATGTAATCTGCCGTCTTGTTCAACGTTTTCCGAGTCCCTATCAGTCATTGAGTCGTACTTGTCTAGATCCATGTTTTGATGACAACATGTGTCACCATCCATCTTGTGTTTTCTTGTCTCCGAGAAAGAAACCTCTTCACTTAAAATGGTGTCTACGGTTTGATTGGCCCAGTCTTTATCAACATTAGTCCCATAAAATCGAGTAGTTGCTTTACTGGTAGAAACGGGTGCCATTCCGTCAGTGAACTGATTCACCGATCGTTTGAGCGTATTACTTACCAAACGAGAGGGTAACATGGTTGGTTAATTTTGATTGATGACTTTTAATTGAAAATTGTTGCTTACTGTTGAGGGTTAATTAGTAAATTATTGAGATGGACTTCTAGAGGTTAAATTTTAATAAACTGGTCAAGAGAAAATTGAAATAAATGAATGTTTACTGTTGACTTCACTTGAAGATAGGAGCCTCTTGAATGAGGCAAACCAAATAAAGAAAGGTATAATATGAGGAGCAAAATGTTTACACGGACAGCTAAATCCCGTTTGACCATCACTCGTTCAGTGAGTGATCTGAAGAGTAGAAAGAGGGGAAACATGAAAATTAGTTTGAATACACATGACTTTTCTTTAGGAAAATTCATTCCTCTATTGAAAGTAGTAAAGCCAACAGTTCAATAGATTTATCAAAAAATCTCAAGGTTTCTGCAGTTCGGTCAATTTGAATGCTAATGTCGAGTACATGATCATGATGGAGAAATCGTTTCTTCCAGAGTTTATAAACTTGAATAATGAAGTAAAATCAACTGTCTACCTCATGCAACGATCACGAGATTGGTAATGAATTGAGTGTTTCAATGACTTTAAGAAATGAGGATATGCACGCCTCTTTACAATTGAACACGTAATAAAATAAATAAATACAAAGCTCTGTTTAGCACTCATTCTGAGTCCGATCAATAATTCCATTGCACTTCAATCAATTATTTCACTGAATGCAGTCGAGTTTTAACCAAAATAATAGTCTCTGAGTTGACGCTGTTTGTATGATTAAGTTTTTTAGAAATAAGATCAGCTTTCACCTTAATGTAAATTCATAGATATTTTTTGTCGAACGAATTCCTTATTGAAAGATTAATCAAATCGTTGGATTCGACTTTGTGCCATACACCACATTCCTCATTGACTAAGTCCTTGTAACTGTCATATATATTGGCTGGCTTTAATTTTTGTTTAAGCTGAGTTGGGCGAGGAATTAATAAATGCCACCAACGTTTTGGTGCTTCCTCTTCAACTGGCTCTTTGAAGTTTTCATAACACTTGGCACATCCAGAACATGGTTTTGTATAAAGAATATCTGTAACAGCTGGAATACTTTGAGAAGATAGTCCCTTGAAATATCAGCCATACTCTGGCTTTCTCGCTGTAATGCTTTGAGCAATGAGACGTGAAAGACAAGAAATTTTATGTAGTCTTTAAACTTGCATTTTCTTGTTTTTAATTTGATGAACCTAATTTAAATACTAATCTTTAAGTTATTTTAATGATATTTATCTAATATTTTCTACCGATTCCTGCCTTTCTGAGCTTTCTTCAAAGTCGTTGAGTTATTTCACTAACTGGAAGGAAACTAACTCAAGGAAAATTGTTTAACGGTGTAATTATGGATTTCCATTGATTAAGCTTAAATGATGTTTCTTTTATTCTGTTATTTATTAATATTTGCTGTCAACTTTATTTCTGTTTAAAATTGAAATCAAGAATTGGAGAGTGGAGCAACAAACTGCTCTGGTCTGAGTCGTGGAAACCTAAACGATACATGGTTTGGCGCCTACGGATTCAATCCAGCTCATGAATTTTGCAACCCATGTGTAGAGACCGGGAACATCTGGAGATCCACAGTTTGTCCAAGAACCAGTTACAATTCCAATCAAACTGTATTGACTTGAATTAATTTTACCTACCAATGGTCCTCCTGAGTCTCCGGGGCACGAATCTCCTCGAGTTTTACGGTTGATTGCACATATTTGAGTATCAAGTAGCTCAGGAACTTTTTTTGGATCCATTTTACCTGAAGCTATTTGTTTATCTACGAAAATTTTTCTCTGTTGGTCGCATTCATCTCCTACAAGATGATGACAAAAGGTACATATTATGTATATTAACCAAAATTAATGAAGCATTTAAATTAGTCGTCAAATGTCTTTGTTTCAGCTGGTAAACAAGCAAAAGACAAGTATAAAAGACAGCTTACTTGGAATAAGGTCAACCTTTGTATAAAGTAAACTGCCACTTTCAGAACCAGAATCGTCAATTGATCCATACCCGGCTATTTCCAGTTTATCACCAAATGCTAAATTGACTGTTCGACTGATACATATGGGTTTAATTGCTGGTCCAACAGGAGATTTCAATTTGATGATGGCTAAATCGTTTTCCATGATCCAATCATGAGAGTAATCAAATTTCGGGTGAATGAAAAAAGTTTCACTTGGATTTTCATTTTTCATGCGTAAAGGCTTATCTTTTACATTAAATGAAATGTAAAGATCTTTCATTTGGACCATGGTTTCATTATCAAGGTAAAGACAATGAGCTGCTGTCAGGACGTGTCTATCATCGATTAAAACTCCACCACATTCATTGTAAAAAGCATCATCTGGAGCGAAAAGTCTAAAGGAATAAAGATGCCCAAAGGTTAACCATTGGAATAAGTTAGCATCACAACTATTAAATTACCTTAGATAAGCAATCCAAGGAAGTTTACTTTTCTCGATTGGTTCACCTTTGTAGATTCGAGGTTTCATGGACAATTGAAGATGCTCTGAAACAATCAATAATCAATGGATCAAGCAATTATTTGACAAGAGACAAAAAAGTAAAGAGTAAAGAATGTCATAAAGCTAAATATTTACCTGCTAAAATTTGGTTGAAAATCAAACTGGACCACAATAAAATAACATGTTTAGCACACAATTGAACCATGTTGCTGATTGATGCGTTGAATGATAAATAAAATTTACTCGGCTGAATTGTCATTGAATAGTCAGGATAATTTGTAACATCTGGAAGAGTGCATAACCTATCAATTTATATCGAACAATTATCAACGCAAATCATTTTGATCATACCCTACATAGATTTAATTTAATATTTTATATTCAATACTTAACACTTGCTAGCATGAATTATTATTAAGACAATCAGTGCTACGAATCGAATAGATAATCAATCTGATTTCAATCTAAATAGTTTAACACGGTAAATCTCATGTCAGTAGATAATGACAGGGAAATCGGAAAAATTAAAATACTGTACTCAACCAGTGCTGATTGTTCTGATTTCAGTGCAATGCAAAAGACTAATTTATACTTTAGCGGTGTGAAAAGTCCTGGACTGAAACTAAAAAAGTTGCTTGAATGCTTTAAAATTTATATTTTCCTACTTCGATTTTGCTTCGATTACAATCGATTCTCTTGTGTTAATAGCAAAAAATATTACAAAATTGTTATATTGAAATTTATTCAATCAACACTGACTATTAAAGAAATGTTCAGAAACATAAAACAATTGAAAATCAAGGGAATGAAATCTGTCCCATAAGGTGTTTATATTCCATCGTTGATTGACGTTTTTCCAATTTTTCGTAAACAATATTGTATCAGATCTGATTGATCGACGTACGTTATAAGTGAGGACAGTCGATACTTAAATTAACTCTACTTGTATTTAATGTTACCGTTTAATATTTCAGTGCAAAAAGGTGGAAAAATCGACAAGAATGAATCCAAGAGATAACCTTTTCTAGTAAGAACCATCTCTTCTTAGATAACCAGTAATAGCCTCATGAATGATCCCATCATCGCCAACAATATTGACTCCATCAGTATTGATAGAGTAAAATATTGGTAAAATAGATTTATTCTTGTGGAAATAGCCATTTTACCGCAATCGAAAGCGTCCGAACCACAAACATATTTAACGCAGTCTTTACCTTCAATTTTGATTACATCAATGGCTTTGGCTGTTTCTTTAACTATGGACATTGATAAACGTCCAATCAAATCAATGTGTTCAACTTTGTTTCTGATTCTACCTTTGAATCAATCAACTTTAAACAGCTTAACCAAATTCCTGAATTCCGTTTACCGACAGGAATGAATCCAAGAGATAACGACCTTTTCTTGCATGAACCATCTCTCCTTAGATAACCAGTAATATCCTCATGATCCCATCACCACCAAAAGTAATGACTACATAAGTATTGCTCATTACTTCCATATAAACTCTTACTTAACCCAATAAAAAATCAGCTGTTGCAGTATCAGCCATACTCTGGCTTTTCTCGCTGCAATGCTTTGAGCAATGGTTTTAATCCTTTACTCTTTGTTTTGTGGGCAAAATTAAAAAATATTTCAACATTTAATTTTTTTGTTCTGGTTTGATCATTTTTAGTCTCATATTTAAAATGTGCACCTTTTAGTTAACGGTGGTTACTTTCTAGTGCTTTCTTCTTCTTATTATAGGATGTTAACGATTTTAACGTTATCAGACGAGGATCAACCATCCACTAATTAAATGCTCTTGATATTTTCAACTTCCAGAAGTTACATTCACCCGAACAACGGATCATAAATCTCAACAATAAGCTGTTTATATATTTTTTGACAATTCATCTGTATTTGGAGCTGGTTTCAATTTCAACATAATTATCGTTTTCTCATAAGTTAAATTTACGATGGAAGAGGAGAATCTGGCCGTCGCTATGCAAAGTCGTTTGTATGCATGTCAATTTGCCAACATTGCGAATATGGACGATCCAGATGTATGGGAGTATACAATGAGACGTGAAAGACAAGAAATTTTGCCGGGAATTTATCTTGGACCCTATTCAGCAGCCACAAAATCTAAAAGAGAAGAGCTTTTTAAAGATGGTATTACTCACATTATTTGTGTCCGAGATGAATCTGAATCTAAATTTATAAAGCCCAATTTTCCTGGTGAAATTGATTATCTGGTTCTCAACATAGCTGATAATAACTGCCAAAATTTAATTCCTTTCTTTCCTAAAGTTAGAGATTTTATTAACAATTGCCTCTCTAATGGTGGTAAAGTACTAGTTCATGGTAATGCTGGAATCTCTCGATCAGCTTCTCTTGTCATATCCTACATCATGGACGTGTCTAAAACTCCATTTATGGCCGCTTTAACAATGGTACAAAGTAAAAGATATTGTATTCACCCTAATCCTAACTTTCAAAGACAGTTAATGGAATACGAACCAATTTTAAGTGCTCAGAATGTCCAAATGAGAAGCTTTACTCAAAAGAGAGGTTATGAATATTCCGAAGACATGACTAATTAGGATTGATCAGAATCTGATTATGCTTAATTATATCACCCTGACTTAATGAAACTCATTTTACTTCAAACTATTTTTTTCGAGCATTTTGGTCATTTGGCATTTTCTCTTCTCATTCGCACCATATTTTGACCACATTGAGGAGTTCGCTAATTTCAACTTTCATAAGAACCCTTTAATGACAAAAACCATAAATTAAGAGCTCAAAATTGATGAAACTCTGTGATTATCTCTATTCTAAGCACCAGTCATAATATTTTTCATCTTTGACAATACTACATTAAAGGAACTTGCGTTTCACTCATTACAAGCCTCACAAGTTAATCATGACAAATAAATTATTCTAGTCTAAGGTGCCAACACTGAAGAAATTTAAAGTTTGGATTAACCGAATGACCAGAACAATGTAAAATATTAATATTCTTAATCACTAGTAATATTGAATTACCTCTTATTTAACTGTCGGATTCTTTTTCTTGTATTTATGTGTGACTCTTCAAGTAATGTGATAAAATTTTTATTCACTGAATCAACCTGATTGTCATTTGAATTGGTTCGGGTTTTCAGCAACCTGGTGTGTCAAAGATCTTTGAACAATTGATTTCAAACAGACTAGAATCTCGTACTGGAAAACATCGAGATTTAACAGTTTGATTAAACAGGGAAATCATAGAAGGATAATGGACTTTTTTGATGTATGATGTACAAAGGAACTAGAAAAATCGTAGCAACATCATTTGCTACATCATCATCATCAATATTGAATTCATCTAATAAAGCCAAATGCTGTGGATGCCAAAACATCCAATGAATAAGCTTCAAGCAATTTTTCATATCAACTGTAGGATTTATCTCAATTTGCTAGCGGCTTTCTCCAACCAAAATTGAACTTCATTTGAAAATCGAGCGACTATTTTTTTGATTGCCAGTGGTAGACAAAGGTGTCATTATTTTACGAAAGCATTTCCATTCATCGTTTTCCAATTTTTTTGTTTACACGGACAAATCGCTGCGTCCCATTTGACCATCACTCGTTCAATGAGTGATTTGAAGAGTAAGAAGAGGGAAATTAGTTTGATTGAATGATCATGATGGAGAAATGGTTTCTTCCAGAGTTTATAAACTTGAATAATGAAGTAAAATCAACTGTCTACCTCATGCAACGATCACGAGATTGGTAATGAATTGAGTGTTTCAATGACTTTAAGAAATGAGGATATGCACGCCTCTTTACAATTGAACACGTAATAAAATAAATAAATACAAAGCTCTGTTTAGCACTCATTCTGAGTCCGATCAATGATTCCATTACAAAGAACACAAATCTGATGAATCCTATTATGTAATAAAGAAGATGTACAGATGTATTGAGTTACTTTCAACAGCAAATGATTTTAATTATCATTATTGTTCTTGTATCTGTCATCTTTTCAATTCGATTCAAATCATTTCAATTTGAAGCCTTCACTAAATAAAAATATTTGGTTTGCAGAGAAATAGTTCAACAGAATAACAATTTTTCCGAGTTAACGCTATTTATAAGATTCAGTTTTATTCGAAATGAGATCACCAACTTCGAAATTAAATTATAAATTATAAAATAGTTATAATAATTACTATAATTTAACTATAAACTGAAATACGATTTGGAAGAAGAGAAAGCAGAACACTTTGCGCTTCGTAGTTTTCTCTGTCAATATTGAACTTCAAGTCTTGGGTATCTGGAGATACAACATCCGAATTTGGTTGGTCTGTTGTTAAATTAATTGATATATCTCGTGCTTCAATTTTTTGGACATTGCTCTTGAAGTCATCTTTTTCTCGGAAAATATTTACACTGAAAGATAAATTGATAAGTTGAATTAGACATTAGCGTTTAGTATGTCTTATGATTGAAGATGATTTACTTACCCATCTTGAATAAGGGATTGTTTGCTACAGTCTTCAACTTTATGTAAATTCATAGATATTTTTTTGTTGAACGAATTCCTTATTGAAAGATTAATCAAATCGTTGGATTCGACTTTGTGCCATACACCACATTCCTCATTGACTAAGTCCTTGTAACTGTCATATATATTGGCTGGCTTTAATTTTTGTTTAAGCTGAGTTGGGCGAGGAATTAATAAATGCCACCAACGTTTTGGTGCTTCCTCTTCAACTGGCTCTTTGAAGTTTTCATAACACTTGGCACATCCAGAACATGGTTTTGTATAAAGAATATCTGTAACAGCTGGAATACTTTGAGAAGATAGTCCCTGAAAATGGGTTAAATAAAAAATAACAAAGGTAAATATTATGTATAAGAAATATGATGGAACCAAGTTAATGAGAATATATATTTACCTTGAATAATATTTTCTTAGATAATGGATAGTATGGCTTTATTCTTGTCGAAAACAGCCAATAAGACTCTGCTGGCTCTAGATAATCAGCTAATTTACCGAAATCGAAAGAGTTCAAAGCATAAACAGGTTTACCACGGTCTTTACCTTCAATTTTGATTACATCGATAGGTTTAGTTGTTTCTTTAACTATGGACATTGACAAACGTCCAATCAAATCAATATGATCAACTTTGTTTCTTATCCTGCCATTAGAATCAAGGTCCACTTCAAACAGCTTAAACATTCCTGAATTCCGTTTACCGACAGGAATGAATCCAAGGGATAATGATTTCTTCTTGTTAGAATCATCTCTCCTCAGATAACCAGTAATAGCCTCATGAATGGTCCCATCACCACCAACAATAATGACTCCATCAGTATTGCTCATCACTTCCATATAATCTCTTGCTTGACCTAATAAAAAAGCAGAAGTTTCATTAGATAAAATAAGGAATGGACGGAATGGACGAAAATACCTTCGTGTTCAGTTTCGATCAAGCTACATTTGATACCAGCACAATTCAAGATAGGTTGTGCATAACTGAAAAACAACTTTTTTCCTTTCCTTTGATTGGCAACAGGATTTAGAATGATAGTAAGATGTTTCAATTGTCTCTGATGATTCCATGGTTGATTTCCAAACGAGGCAGCCTCTTCGCAATATACTCTCATCAATTTATTTATTCTGTAATAGAAAATTCAACCAGGTAATAAATTTAAATATAAGAGCTGTTATTGTTAAAAAATTGCTATGATCTATAGCTAGAGAACTATTACAGAATATCAATCTTACTTTATTCTCTGGTCTATTAGATGGACTCCATAAGCAGCTACACATGAGAAAAAAATGGATTTCTTCCAATTCTCGCGAAGGGTTTTAAATGGTTTCCACATGACTGCTATTAAATCGGAATCGAAAGAAACAGAAGGATAAAAATTGAATTAGATGAACATATAACAACTTATGAATATCAAGTCATGTTAGAAACATGTGACTGCAACTGTAAACAAACAGAAGAGCAAAAGCAGAATATTTGTCATATTCAATCCTGGACTCTTTTGATTCAAAAAACGCTTTTGTTGGACTTTCAAAACGGTTTCATGGTTCAAAATTAGGCCCATTTAAAGCTTTACGAAAGATTAACAATTGAATCTAAACCTTTTCTTCTCTTATAATCTAAACAAAGATGATTTATTTTGTAGTTTACTAATTTCACATTGATGAGAAATATTAAAACTTACTGGACTTTTTGATTTTCATTGATTTATAAGATTCTAGACAGTTTAAGATTATTCTGAATGAATTAAAAATTCGTAAATAAAGGCTTTTAAAACTAAAATTTGAACTATTACACAACTAAATGGAATCTGAAATTTCAAAAATGCTTTTAACTTTGACTGGTTAACTTACCCCTGAGTTTAACACATCAAATTGAAGCTGAAACCATTCAGTTTTGATTTAGTCACGAATCAAGCAAAAAGTTGAATGAATAATTGTTGATAAAATTATTTAATTGCAATAAAACTATGGACTGATCTTGGAAGATGAATGTTGGTAAACTTCAAGCAGGCCGCTTATCATTCCTAGCTTTTTACTGACCACTAGATGGAAACTCTGCAATCTGACACGATATTTGTTAAATTTTATAATAGGTGGAGCTGAAGGAGCTGCATTTTCTTTGGTTTGTTCATTGTATACATTTTTATTTTATTTGCTTAATTTTGTTAAAATTCAATTTTGGTGACCATTTTGTTTTCAATCAACTTGTACCGAATACCTCTTTGTCGGGTAAAGGAGGTTATACCATTATTTAAATTTGATTTTACCAAGAGTATCATCGTTGAGAGTATTAAAAGAAACAACAGCAACAGTGGTGGTGATTGTGGAAGCGTGTTAACAAGCAGCAGCAGCAACTATTCCAGAAAGAAAGGCAGTAAAAAAAAGAAGATGCCTATGCCCTCCAAAAGTAGGATTTACTGTGATGTCAATACTCACCGGCCAAGGGATTATTGGGACTACGAAAGCCATGTAATTGAATGGCAAAATCAAGATGATTACCAATTAGTTAGAAAATTAGGGAGAGGTAAATATTCCGAAGTATTTGAAGGAGTAAATATCACCAATAACGAGAAATGTGTCATTAAAATATTGAAGGTAATTATATTTCACTTTTTTTGGTTCTTTATCTTTCATTTTCGGGCATCTTTTTTTTTCTTTACCATTGTTCCTACTCCTTTTTTTTGCATTCACGTTGAACCCTCTAATTGATTGTATTCTTCTCCCCTCTGCTTCTCTTTCTTTCTCGATCAATTCCCTTACCTTTTCTCAACCTTTGTTCCCTTGTTTCTGTTGAGTTATCCACTAATCTGTTTCTAGGAGAAGAAAAAAAAAGATTTTTCATTAAGTGTGTTATTCAGTTCACCGACATTGTCTGATTGAACTCACTCTTCGCCCCCCTGACAAAGAGTAAAGACCCTGAAGAAAAGCAGTATGAAAAGACTAAGGAAGAAGGTGAATTCAACTTGTAAATACGCTTGTTAATTATGTCAAATTTGTTCCATTAATTGACCTTCGAAGCTTAATCAAGCACATGTAACTATGTCCGAAGCCACCTTTCTTTAGCTTATCTTTTACTAGTTGTAGGAAAGATAGAGTTACCGGCATAAAAGCATTCTGCTTGTGAATTTAGTAGACTGTAATTGTCATAGACCTTTTATCTTGTTCAATAATCTTATTCTGAATGATATTTAACATTTGATATAAACACACTTAACCTTAGACTCAATGCCTTTTATTTCCATAAAATGCAAACGTTTTACTTCATCCCTCTTCCATTTCTCACTTCTCTATCCTACTATTTGTGCACCTTCGCTTGTTCATCCTTCATTCATGTCAGCTTACTTTTGATTTTCTCCATCTTTGGCGAGCACGCCTTTCCTTTAAATTAATAAGACAATTCAATGATAACTATTTCTCAAATTCTGTCTCTTTTAGCCTGTCAAAAAGAAGAAGATAAAGCGAGAGATTAAAATTTTGGAAAATCTTAAAGGTGGGCCAAATATAATCACCCTTCAGGCTGTAGTTAAAGATCAAGTGGTATGATATAACTCTTATTCATTTTAAAATAAATTCATTGATATTGTTTATGCGTATCACTTTTCTTCCTCATTGTTGCATACAATATCAAAGTTTTTTTGTCACTCATATTAATCTGTTTTCTCCTTCAATTCCAGTCTCGGACACCTGCATTGATTTTTGAATATGTTAACAATACGGATTTCAAGCAACTTTACCAAACATTAACTGACTTCGATATAAGATTCTATCTTTACGAGTTATTAAGAGCATTGGATTATAGTCATAGTATGGGAATTATGCATAGAGATGTGAAACCTCACAATGTAATGATTGATCATGAAAATCGTAAATTACGCTTGATTGATTGGGGTTTGGCTGAATTTTACCACCCTGGACAAGAGTACAACGTTAGGGTAGCCTCAAGATACTTTAAAGGCCCAGAACTCCTTGTTGATTATCAGATGTATGATTATTCATTGGATATGTGGAGTCTTGGTTGTATGTTAGCTTCAATGATTTTCCGTAAAGAACCTTTCTTCCATGGACATGATAATTATGATCAACTTGTTCGTATTGCCAAAGTACTGGGTACTGAAGAGCTCTATGAATATTTGGAAAAATACCAAATTGAATTGGATCCTCGCTTCAATGATATCCTAGGAAGACATTCAAGGTATCGTCACTTTTCATTTTACTCACCTCACCTTGTACACGTATATTGATAATTGTGTACCAATCTTGAAACAATTACTAATTTCTTCATTTTTTCATTTATTTTATTGAAATGTTTAGAAAAAGGTGGGAAAGATTTATTCACGGAGAGAATAGTCATTTGGTTAGCGCGGAAGCCCTCGATTTCCTGGATAAACTTCTTCGTTATGATCATCAAGAGCGACTTTCAGCATTAGAAGCCATGGATCATCCGTATTTTTTCCCTGTTAAAGAAGCTCATGTTCGAGCACGACACCTCCAAGAGACTGGACAACCCCGATTTGCAGCCACTGTAAGCGGTAATTCACTTGTAACCATTAAAGATTTGGAAGATGCTTGGCGTGATGTTGATCCGTTAGCCAATCAATAGTCAAACCAAATGAGAAAAAGATCGATTTCAAAATCTCCTTTAAGTTACAGTCTTTCTTTTCTCTCCTTCCTGCCCTTTCTCTTTCTGTCTTTCATGATATTTCTCAACTCAGCACAATTTACTGACTAGTTTAAAATATTGTTTAATTGTCAGTCTCGTTCTCATCCAATCATGATATTTGTATATTGGTTGCTTCTCCTCCCCTTTCTTCATCCTTGCCCATTTTCCAGCTGATGGTTGATAGACTTTTTTATGAAAACAAAAATCTAAACAAAACAAATCATGTTGTCTTTTTTAAATTACACGGGAACAACAATGTTGACCTGATATCCTATCACTGAATCCCTTTTGATGGATTTATATACACACTTAAATGAAGATGATGATGATGATGATGATTGCGATGATTGTTATGGAGCAGAAAATCAAAAATACAGAGTTGTCTTGCTTAGATGGAAATCAACCAAAATAGATTTTATATATTAGGAGAAATAAATTAAATCTTAAATAGTCTCTAATCAAATATCTATCAGTCTTGACTTATGGAATCAATATAAGAATGAATTTGATTAATAAATGAGTTATTTTGACTCAAGTCAATTATGGAATTACGATTCTTGCTCTTGAACTAATAAAGTTATGAATCAAATTATGTTACCTAAATTTTTCATGAATCGATCCAAGTTTTCCTTAAATGCTTATTCTCATGTTTAATCAAATCTTAATTTAATTGCAATTTTATATCAAACTTGTCCCATCTTTAAGCTAACACCATAAGACTGATTAGACTTTGATCCTAATGACTGTTTGAAAAACAATGCTTGTTTTGTTTAATCTTAAATCTTATTTACTATCAATTTGATTCTCTCAATTTAGCAAAGAATGATTTGTTTTGGTTGTAAATCATTTGAAAAAATGTTTATTTCAAAAATATCATCAATCAATAATGAAAAAGCTGATTGTTACTGTAAAATTAATCTTACTTGAAACATTTTATAATCGATTAATTAAGATTGTAATTTTTCTCTCTAATAATTTTATCTTGGTTAATGACAATTAAATCAATGCCCATCTTCTTTCATCATTTGACTTGATCATTTCTTTACATTAATTTTCGTTCAATACTAATTATGTTTATCTGATTCTCTATTCAGCTTCAACAGACTCAACCAGGATCAACGCTGTCTCAACCTCTTCAACAATCAAGACAAACATCGGAGTCATTGGTATCAGCTGATCCACTTCCATAATTTTCATTATTATTAATATTATTATTATTGATACCTTTAATCAACTACAGTAATGGTCAGGGTTAAGTTAACAAAAAAAGGGTCAGACTCAAGTTAATTTTTAGGTTTCGCCATCTCGAGCATATTAAGTTTGTAGAGATAAAAAACAATGCGTTAGAAAACTGAACAAAATAAGTTCAATTCTATTGATACTTTTATTCATTGTTAGACTATAAAAAAATCTCCGATTCTGTTAACTTAAACATTTAGGTAGCAAGGGATAGACGCACCTTGAAAGCTGTTGCTGGCCGGTCCACACAAGCAAAAAGTTAACTTAACCATGACCACTACTGTTCCAAGTGTCCATCATGTTAATTGGAGAATCAATCGATTTAACCTTTTTTTGTCTTAATTGTATTAAGCCTACCTTTATTTAAAGCTTCACCAAGAAACAATTGTGAGAGTGGGATCGAGTGAAAGACAAATAACAAGATGAATGGAAGAGCAATAACAGAGTGAAAGAAACGAATGAAGAAAAAAATATTGTAAATTAGCCCCATCATCACTGTAAACGGAACCCAAAATATTAAAACAAAAACACAACACAACACAATTTTTTTAACCTTGATTGTATCAATTCAAATGTTTCTCCTTTTCTCATCAATTAAAGTAAAAACAACGAACTCAAATTGTTTAATTTTAACACTACCAGATGGTACTTCTAGTCGTCTTGATTCTCAAAAAAACTTATTTCAACAAATTCAATAAAAAGCAAACCATTGGAAAAATCAAACTCAAAAAGTCAAAAATCAAAGCCTTAAGACATTTTACTATGGACTATCATAATATATTGAAATTAGTATTCATGATCCTACAAAAAGAGTTGTATCGCCGTCTTATGTTAGATTGATGCTTGATTTATAAAACTAAATGGTTACTCAAACAAAAACCTTGTGTTAGAATAAGAATCATCAGAATATTCATTATTAAATAGATTAGCTCAAATTTTCTTCGATATTTGGTGATATTTGTTATAGAACGTAATAAAATCTAATGTTTGGTCAAAGAATGCTGGTTGTAGCTGTCACCAATCTTAAAATTTTGAGGCTTGAAGTTTTTAGAGCAATGGCCAAAATCAAAAGAACTGTTGATGAATTGAAAAAAGTGTTGGATCTATCATGTTAACCAATAATTTTACGGATAAAAGTGGTTCTCAGGTCATCCTTTATTAACCGTTATCTCTAGTTAACCTTACTAAAAGCGAATAACTTATCCGAACTCCTGTAAAAAACAGAAAATTTCTGTTCCCCAAAAAATGCATTTTCTGGCCTGCCATAAGTTAAGTTACAACAGGAAAATGAGTTTCATGAAAAAATCTTGTTCCATAATTGAATAAAAGGTGATCTCGATTTTCTCTTATTTGATTCAGTTTTTATTCCCTACGAATTCACAAAGTCCCAACTCAAAAGTCAGATTTTTGCATACACTCCTTTACCAAAAATAATTGATTAATTATGTTATGATGAAATGATGAAAAGTTGTGTTTTGTATATCTGAATCTGAATAAATTGAGGTTTTGTTGAACAAAATTTTATTCAAAGGTTGATAGGTTTTATTTATTTTGGTCGAGATTTATGTTGAAAGTAGCTTTAAACTATTGAATATTTGTGGATCTAACATGAAACTTATTTACGCCTAAGCTCATTTATCATGTCATCACTTTGTAACATTCAACTGCGGTTTCATTTGTTATTCAGATAAGCTGACCAAAGATTCCATTTGAATCTTTCCAAAGGTTTCACCTTTTTTTATATTCAAAGATTTTCAATCCAAACTGAATAATGATCTTGAATTTACCATGAAATGTCAAGTAAAGTGTCAATTTTGTTGTCACTTTAACCATTTTTTATGTTAATCAAACTCCACTTGATCTACCAATTTTTCAACATCAACCTAATCCAGTCTATTAATAACTGTTATCAACAATTGAAAGCTTTTCATTTCTCATGAAAACAATTCAATTTGCCGAATCCAATCAAAACAAAATCAAGAATCAATAAGCAAACAATGACGATTAACCAGATCAACACAAAGTGTAAAATAATGAAATAATTGTCACAATTAGAAAGGTTAATAGATGACCAAATAACATAAAGACACATGAAATTGTAATTTGATTGTTGAAGTGAAAATAATAATAAAAGCAAGAGATCTCAAATCACACGCTGATGTTGTTGATTAATACCGATTAAATGTAAATGTAGATCAATTTAATTACATTTGGATGATTAAACACACAAGAGTGAGGAAGCTGGAATAGGCTAATGTTGAAAATGAAGTAAATGTTGAATAAACCGTTGGAGTTAACAAGTGATTGAAAAGCAAACAAAAGATTACATTGAATCAAATGAAGGTTTACAATGGCAAGACAACAAATGGAAACCAATGGACTAAGCTCGGTTGGAGTCATCATCTTCATCATCACTATCATTTTCATCCTCTCCATGAAGATGATCATCTTGTACCTTTTTATGGTTGCCTTAAAATTCATTTTCAGATCTCCCGTTGGTTTGGTATTAAAAGTCCGCTTCTTTAGCATCAATCTTCCCGAGAAGATGAAAAGACTGGGAAGAAGAAGAAGAGAGAAGAAAGAGAAGATGAAAAATGCGAAACAAACAAATGGCACTCTTTTTCATTCCAATATTGACCCGAGAAGCTTATGTTGATATAAATGTATACTTACTTTGGATTAAGTTTCACAGATGAACATCATCCTTTGGTCATAATCATCAGTAAAGGCAAGAGTAAAGAAGTTCATGAAAACTTGATTCATGTTTATCACATTGATAAAGCTTAAAGGTGATGATGATGATGATAGGAATCATGATCAGTTCATGTGTTTCATTATTTTCCTTAAATCCTTTCTTCTCAAAGTTAAACTCAAATAAATGGCTTTCCATTTCAATTTCAAACCTCACTTTTATTGTTATTACACTTGACTTTTGACCCACTCTGTAACCAGATTCAACCTTTCTTATAGGATTCATTGGTTCACATCTTCATCATTTCATCAGGTTTACCTTGAGATTTTTAATGTCTATTTATGTTCACTTAAGGCTTCAGTGTTGAAAAGAGTTGACTCTTTAATAGGGTTAAAATTTGCATGTTTACACTTTCATTTTGAGCGTGAATATTTTAATGTTAATGTCAACTTTGATTTACTCATCAATCAAGCAACAATCTTACACTTGATAAACACAACAGCTATAATACAGTAATGATAATAACAATAAAGCTTGTGATGGTTAACAGTGATAAAGAGAAAGCCTTGAATTAAATGATATAAAAAAACCATTGAAACCATTATTATTTAAGATTAAACTGGGAATGACTCCCTGTTGTTTAAACCTTTATCAACGGTACAGTTTAAATCTTTTTCTTGGTGAAAAGTAAGATTATGGAACAATTAAGGCAAAAGGCAATCTGAAACAATCAATTAAATCAGTCAAATTGATTCAAGTAAAGGATCAAAATTTATTCCTTCAAAGTCAATACAAATTAAGGCTGAAATAAGGCTCGAGTAAATTTCAATCAAATTTTATATTCAAGAAAAATTTTAAAATAAAATGTTCAAGGATTTGAAATATTGAAATATAAGTTTAAATGCTCAGAATATTGAGAAAATTGAAGTTTTCTCAGTTTTCATTTCATTCTGTTTTTGAAAAGGCTGTTTTATTTGGACAAAAAATGACATTATTTCATGTTTCGATTTCTGCAGAATTTTCATTTCTCGAATTCAGAGTTTTATTTAAATATCATCTTTTGAGCTTTTCATTATCAAGTTGAGGCTGCAAATTTTCGTCCAGTCGTTTCGAGTAAATTCCAGTTTTAACTTTAAGCTGACGATTGAAGCATGTTTCGACTTTTAGTGAATTCCAATTTTCGATTAATTATGTCATTTGCTGGTTTTTTATGCTCAAAAATTCTAGTATTTCTGTTCAGATCCTGAAGTCATCATGGCAAAACTATTGAACTTTTCCAAAACGAAATTTTTCTCAAAAAAGCACATATCTCAACCTCAACCATGTACGGACGAAAACGATAATAAAAATTTGTATTTCCATTTGTAACCAATTATTTCGATTTTTAAGAGTTTCGAGTTTCCAAATTTAGAGTTACGATTAAAATATGACCTTTTAGGTAATCAAAATTCTCGAATTTTTCTGCTAAAATCTTGAAGTAATCGTGAAAAAAGTATTTTATGGATTCGACTTTTCAGAAACTGAATTTTTCTCTTTATTTGCTCAAAAGTTCATCTTTATCGACGAAATCGAAAAATCAAGACAAAACTATTGATGGAATCAAATTACATTTAAATCAACGATAAAATACATAAATTGAAACAAATTCAATGGAAAGAGAAAATTGAAAAAAGCTGATTCGATCACTAAATCCTATAACCATGAAGATATCTTGAAATTTGCAGAAAAATTTCACAAAATTATTGAAATAATCTCATGTTGCGATAATTTTTGTTGCCAAAGTTAATGAACAAATTGTTTTCCAGTTTCTTCAACTAACCTTGTAAAGTGAAATTTGTCATTCAAAGGTTGATCTACAATTATCTTGGCAAAATGGTTATTATTCAATGGCGATCATTTATATATTATCATTAATATTATTTACTGTTCAACTCGATTCTCACCCTCAACTTACCTGTTGTTGATGATTGTTTACGCCAAGTTATAATAAGTTGAAAATGGTTTACTTTATTTTACTGGTTGCTTTACCTGAGTTTAGTTTTAAAATGTGCTGAGACGATTTCATGGCCTAAAGCAATGGTAATGTCTAGTCACGATTTGTTTCTCCTTTTTTCATCCAAATGAATCTTCCTTTTCATCTTCTCTTTCTCTCATCCATTATCATCTTCTGTCTCTTTTTTCACCATTATTATTACAAATACAGTGAATAAGTGCCAACCTACCAAAGGTCACTTCGCTCGTTTCATTGGTTAACCATTTTTTTTAATATCAAAAAGTGTAACTTACAGAGAGAGTGGAAAGAATGGCAAAAGTGTCAGATTTAAAGCAGGTAACTTCACGATTCATGGTTAATCAAGAATCAACTGTTATCCAGTGTTTACCTTTACTCGTGATCCATTAACCCTCAGTTAACAGTTAACAAGTCAACCTTTAACACTTGACCAACTCTTAACCTTTTCACTGTTCATCGTGACTACCTGTTGTTGCAGTTACTCTCAACTTTTACCTTCAACTTTTGGTCAAACTTTTTTGTTTCACTTTTCGATCAACACTTTGCTCATTGGTTTGTCAAAGGCTACTTCACTTGGAAAAATGTTTCAAGATTATTCAGCTTCAAATGAATCAAATGAATCACCAAATCAGGTTCTTGTTCGTGCAGGTAAGCAGTTTCATTCATTAAAAGTAACATTTCTCAATCTGTTTACGCTACTTCACTATTTCATTGATGCAACTCAACATTGCAACACTTTTTCAAGTTGCTCATGATGAATTTAGAATAAAAAGATTCAGCGAAAGAAGAAAAAATATCGAAACTTTCAATTTTTCATTTCCAATTCTTACATTTTCAGAGTTTCTTTGAATAACCAAAACTCGAAAAATCAGTGACTTTACATTGAATAACAATATGTAAATCAAAGTCAACATTTGACTTTTGTTGAGGTAAACTTGAAGAGAAAAGTAAATAAAAGATTTTTCATTGAAACTGATAATTGATTAGCATAGTCAATATTGTCATGATAATAGTCTCAACACACGTGGCATTTTTTATTAGTTAATTGTAGTTACATTAATTCAATTGTAATGATAACAAAGATGAGAATCGATGTGACAAAAAGAAACAGTATTCATATCAATATTTGTGAAAATCTGCCTTTTCCAAACAGTTTCACCGATAAATCCAATCAATTATTCATCATGATTAACAGTAAATAACAGTTAATCATAAATCAATTCAGTAGCCAACCAAGCCTAAAAATGATACCAAACCTATTTTTTGACCAACAAATGTTTTACCAAATGTTTCATTGAATCAAATCCCAACTAATCACAACTAATACACAAATTGATCACAAAATGTGTTAATTAGCTTTTTCATAAAACAAATGAAATTAAAAAAATCCTTGATCAACAGTGATTACTCTTGATTAATGTAACACTTTTAATTAAAAGAAGGCAAATGAGGCAAAAAAAGTAATCTTTTTAAATGGCATTTTTACAAGTGAAAATGTTCAGTGAAAACCTTCAACCGGACATTGAACATCCTTTCCATTAATGCCATCATATATCCATGGTTGATTAAAATGGTATTATTCAGTAAGTCAGATACACACCCAGAAGCCTGGAAGGTAGTCGTGCTTCTGTAGAAGCATCATCGTTGATGATGCACCAGAAAAAACTCGGAAATCTTGAGCCGGACTTTCACAACAAAAGTAGTAAATAGGACCAAATGGCCGCACCTAGTTTCTAACCCTGACTCCCTCTCATCCTCATCATCATCTTTTCTCATTCTTATTCTCATCTGCTAACTATAACCTTGCTGCCCACTTCTCATTTCAATCTTTAATCAAACGCTAGAAGAAGAAGAAGAGAAAAGGTAAAAATAATAATAACAAGGGATATTATATTTGAAAGTAATCTGTTAACTAATAAGTCGACATTCTGTAATGGTAATAATAATCATATAAATTGATCAATTCTGTTGAACAATTTCTTTCTCTTTCTCTCTCTTCTACTGCTTCTGTCCTGTTTCAGTAACTCCATATTGTCCACACCTTAAAAGCCTTAAGGCCAAATCGTGACACAGGTAACAAATTTTTGCCTCCCCTTTCAACGCAAAGGGCAAACCTCCCTCTATTATCAATGCTTCAATTCATTTAACAATCATTTTTACCTGTCTTTTGGCTTTTATTCACATGGTAAACCAACTCATCATCATTATCATCTATCAGCTTTTAATACATTTATTTACATTCTTTAGTTGGAAACAAAAACGATATTAACTGAATCATTATTAAACTCATCCAAAATCACTTTTCATTAGTTATTTAGGTTGACCAGCAATAGATGAAAAAGATCGTAACAATTAGTCCAGTAATTAGTCTCAATCTTTTATTAAACTCAACTTAAGATCTTGAGTCAAGATTCTTGACATTTCTCAAATCAAATAATTTTGATTTTTCATTGAAATTGAAAGTCAAATGTTTATTTTTAGCTCATTTGGACAATTTGTTTCTGATTATTTCCTCTTCAAGTAAAGAGATGTTTTGGTTTTTCAGTTTTTAGATTTTGATTTTTTGGTCAGATTTTAATTTTATAAACTTGAAGTTCCCTTGAAATATACATGTAATGATTCTGGTGAATCGATGTTGGAATTGAAAGGAAAATGTCATTTTCTGTGGTTTTTTAGACATTTATTTTTGAGTGTTTCAAAATTTTATTCAATGTTGATTTTATGGTAAAATGATCATTTTTTGAAAATTTTCAGATCCATATCTTTGGGATTACGTTGACATAAACAAATGGCTGGATTGGATTGAAAAGGAGTTTATCCTTCCTCCGATTGTAAATAAATCATACTTTCCTGACAATGGAGCTCAATTGTGTTCAATGAATTATTATGATTTTGCCAACATAGTCATTGACAAGGAATCAACCAAAATTTTGTTTGACAATTTAAATCATCTTAAAAGAGGTAAGAATCATTAATAACCCTCACAATGAACCATTAACACCTTTGTTCATCTTTTGTTTTTCCCATTCATCTCACATTACCATAAAGCCACATTTAACATTAAATCACTTGTCACCTTTGAAAAATTGAAATCAAAATTGAAATCCTCATCATTATCAGATTAACCTAAACCGATGATAATTAAGGTTCAATTGTTGCAAAAACACTTTTTATTCAAATCATGATTTCCATCCAACAATCATTAATGAAAACAAATGAACAATTGAATGGAAACAAATTGACTTTAATCCGAATTCATTTCTTTCTCAGCCTGTGGACATCAAGTCGATGAAGATGAAGACGACATAATTGATTGGCTTTTTTCCGATGATAGCTCAGGTAAGCCATTCAAGCACCTCTCAAGACAACCTTTTCATCAACATTTTTGATGCAAAAATTTTCTTCAAATATTTCAATGTAAATGACAAAGTAATTCATCGGTTGATCATTATCCCGAGCATTTCAATGAATCGCCTGCAGTAATCAATGTTACCAGAAGCAATTGAAATGCTTATCTAGTTTGTATTTGTAGGTGCGGAGTCACGATCAAGACCACTTGACGGAAGCTTAGATCGTTTTGTGTCGTTCATAGATTAACTTATTGTTTAAACTGTTTTCTGGCTGTTGATTAAAACCATTATAATCAAGAGCCGGACGAGTTGCCCAACCTTAAAAAGTTAAACTACATAACTCGATTATTTAACAATCGTGATTCAATAATATTTAACTAATAATGTACTTAATTATCATTGATAACAATATAAGAGAGAATCCTGTTTACATGGAAATTGCAATTTAACATAATTTAACCCTCAATGTAAAGAGACTTACATGGGAAGAAAAGCAGATTTCAAAGGTAAATCATATTGAATGATTAACTGTTAATATCAATATTTATAGTCGCCTCATCGAGTCCTCTGTTTGACTTTCATTGTTACATTTACATTTTATATGCTCCTTGACCTAACACTATCAATTACAATGGGAATGTGAATTATGATGACAATGGTTGACTGGCGCGTGTTGACATTATCCTCATTATCATTGTAATCTTGATGGTCGAGGTTCTGGGACACATCAGCATGAAAAAGTGAATAATAATTCCTCATCATTTTAATCAGCCTTAATCATTGCCAGTATCATTTTGCCATTAAAAGGAGGAGCGAAAAGCAAAAAGTCGAAAGACTCTTTTATAGACTGAGCAAGTTTATCATCATTTAAGTACATTATTATTATCATTGAATTTGGTTTAAATTGTGGCTTTTATCACTTGCTCTGATAATTTATTGCAATTGATGAAAAATTTGAATTTCCAAAAGGATGTGCAATTACAATGAGATGAATAGAGTGACAATATTTTCCCATTTGATTTTTCAAGTGATCTTTTAAATGATATTTTCAATGTTGTTTTAAACGATCTTTTGGATCGACTTTCAATTGCTTCAGAGTTTTATGTTTAATGTTTATTATGCTTTACAGTCAAGTATCAATTCAGGATGATTTTTATCATGTTGATTTAAGTTCCAGCAAAAAAAAATGTTCCTTGAAATGCTTTTTCATCCATTGATAGACTAACATTTTTTGCTCAATTTGAAAGTGATCTTTGATAATGAAATGTGAATAGGAATTAAAAGGAAGGAAAATAGTTAAATAGCAATAAAGTTTCCATCATGTTACCCTGTAAATGGCGATGAAATGGTTTGATTCAAGTTGAACAATGAGAAGGTTGAAAGAGAGAAGGAAATTGAAGAGGAAAGATCAATGATGACGTCCAGTGGTAATACATTTCCTACAAAAGCTGAAGAAGATGGAAGAAGAAAAAGGAAAAAATGAGATTTCCTTATGAATCAGTAAAATGATAATGAACAGTTTGACTAACATTTCATGAGCAGTTTTATCTGGAAAATTACTATTCTATAGGTTAGACTCATTCCATCATTCAGCTTATCTGATCTATAGATGATGATAAAAGGTAGAGATGAAGAGGAAAGAAGATGAAGAAATGCAAGAGATTGCGCTTTGATATTTATCGCTATAGATGTGAATAGTGTTGACCATTTTTTGTGACTCTTTCAACCAATTAACTTGAGTTCCTACGGAAGCAAAACATAGACTTTTCAACATCCTTTTTCCGTTCAACACTTTTTTACACTCTCATCTTTCCTTCTCATCTTTATCCTCATCACCTTCAATCGTCTACCTTTACTCGATTTACTTGTTTTGCTTCCGTTTCCATACTTTTCTCTTCTTCTTCTCCTTTCCTTTGCCAATCATCCTCATCATCATTACGTGTAATCATAATTTGAAACAAATGAAAAGTCAATTTACTTTGTTGACCCTTTAAAGGCATCGCCATTGTTTCCCTTCATATTTCCGGTTCTCCCCTGTTTTATAACCATTGTTACCTTTAGTATCACTTTCATCCTCATTATCTGACTCTATTTGCTCATTTCAACTCTTCTCTCGCATGTAACCTCATCTTGTAACATTAAACTTCCGTTCTCAAAGTGACCTCGTAACGACATGATATATACCGGAACCAAGACAAACTATCAAGTCTCTGGAAACTTTACATCTTCCGGTTCGTCCTTTAACCCTTCAAAATTACCTTTTCACTTTTTTTTTGGTCAACTTTTAGTTTCGCTTTTCATTTTTGTTTTACTTTTACATTTTCATTTGGAGTGAGTTTTTGTTTCATTTTTAATGTTGTCTTTAAGTTTAACTTTTTGCATTTATCTACCAACTTGCATTCAACTTGATCTAATTGTGATTTGTTTTGTTTCGTCTGGTTAGATGGTAATACTTATACGGACTCTTCAAGGAAAACCAATTGGCCTTCACCGTTGAATGTACAATCACTCAACTCGAGTCCCAGTTTCAGCGAAGCCCAAAACAGTCCAACATCTGGTAATAACTTTACAGTCCATCAATCGGTTCCAGTGTCAACTAACCTTTCGTTTAACAATTTATCAGGTTTCAATCATGTTCTTGTTAATGGCAACTCTGGAGGAATCACAAAGCTAAATGGCAACACTTCACCTTCAACTGATCCAAAGACAGTTTCATCTCAAGGTAAACACTTTTCCCCATTTCAACTGTTGAACAATAATTACAATTTAGCTAAAAATTACGGTCAAATTGTATAGCAAGAAAAAAGTCAATCTCAAAATTGCTATTATTTAGTCTTTTAATTTAACTTTCAATTTTGTCTCTCAATCAGTCAAATCACTTGAAATGATTTATAACTTGTGACAATGAAATGAAACTGTAATTAAATTGAGTTGAATCCTACTGAGGTTTGACTAAATTAACATCAGCTTTTACTGTCTTTCATTGTTTCTCTTGAACCTCAAACCTTTCATTTGTTTCAAAGCAAATCAAATCATTTTAGACCTGATAAATGACATTTGGTGTCCATTGAATCATTATCGAACCTCATGATTCTCAAATTGATGATTTTAATCAGTAAATCATGTTGGACGCAGAATCTTAACAGTCAAATCTGATCGTTTTTCACTTTTCCTTCCACTCTTTTGTTGGAAACATTTTTGTATAATAATCTATTTGTCAGATAAACTATCAAAATGTAAAGGTTAAACGATTGTTAAATTGGGACAATATTGAACCTTAATGGTGTTAAATTGTTTTATCGTTAACTTTAATCACCATTTTGGTCAACATTGAAAAATAGAAACCATTTTTCAAATTCACCAACAAAATCCCCATCAACATCATCAATCACAGGCAAAGATTCACTGAACAAACGAGAAAATTTAAATTCAGTTTAACCAAAACCTTAAACACAATTGAAAGTTGAATCTAAATCTCAATTTCATTTCCAATTTCCAAGTTATTTATCCAAATCAATTTAAGTCATTTAAATGATTCTCATTTGTTGAATTGAAACAATAAATTGACTTAAAATTGGACAATTTGTTTCTTTGCCTTTTCATTTCACTAATTTAAACTAAACTTTGAAAAGATTAATCGAGTTAAAATTATCACCAAGTTAAATGACGATTTCAAGTGTAGATTAACAATTGACGATAATAATCAGTGATCAATAATTCTGGGCCTTTGGTTCAAAATAATACTCTATTGTTGGGAGGAAAAGTAGGAAAAGTGAGAAACTACAAGTTAATCTTCTTTGGGATCTTTTTCTTATCATTTCTCATTTATTTTGGATGACCAAACCTTCCCTTCTCTCAGTGTTTTAAGTGATTATGACCAATGGACTAGGTTAAAGTTAATTAAATGAGCATCACGTTAGGTTATTTAATCATTGATTTGATTCCATCGCTATCTTTGAAAGAAGTGTTTCTCATGAAAATTTTCACTCCATTTTTCTTCTCTGATTTTTCCATCTTCCAATCATTACAATTAACAATCAGACTCTTACAATATACTATCAACAGCCAGCACCAGATTTGCATCACAAGGTAATAAAACCATTCAATTGATGCATGTTCAACTCAATGTACAAATTTAGATTCCAATTTATTTCCATCCAAGTTAGACTGTCATTAGACTTTAATCAACAATTTACTGATTTCCTCTTTTCTCTCGTTTTGTTCCCATTCATTAGGAAGTGGACAAATTCAGCTTTGGCAATTCTTGTTGGAGCTTTTATCAGACAGCAACAATTCAAATTGCATTGCTTGGGAAGGTACGAATGGCGAGTTCAAATTGACTGATCCTGATGAAGTGGCTCGACGCTGGGGTGAACGGAAAAGCAAGCCCAACATGAATTACGATAAGTTGAGTCGCGCCTTGCGCTATTATTATGATAAAAACATAATGACCAAAGTTCATGGTAAAAGGTATGCCTACAAGTTTGACTTTCACGGTTTAGCTCAAGCTTGCCAACCCAATCCAACAGACAGTTCATCAGCTAGTTATAAATATCAGTCTGAACTGTTGTTAAGTCCAACTGCAGCTTATCACGCTCATGCAACCAAACTCAACTCGTATCTTGCTGTTGGTGCAGCGGCTCGCACTGGAACGATCAACCAACACCACCAAAATCATCATCATCACACTTCACTCTTTACAAGTCCTCCTTATTGGTCGGCAGCAGCAGCAACCAACACTTGTAATCCATTGTATTCAGCATCCATTAGCCATCATCCACATCACCCTCACCATCCTCACCACCACCACCACCATCATCATCACCATAGAGCCAACTCATTAGGATCTTATTATGCTTAATTTACATTAATTTTTCTTCTTCATCGCTTCTTTTGTTTCATCTTTTCACGAATTTCGTCTTATTGATAATCTTTATCCCGGTCAATCTTTGGATGGTTTAATCTTTAATCCAATCCTTTGCATCTTTCCTTGATCTTTATCTTTGTCTTTACGGGTCGGGATAACTGCAATTTATTTCATGGTTAATCTTTATTTTCATCTTTCCTTTGATTCCATTTTATTTTCCATTCATAGTGTTTTTTATATTTGTAAAAAAGTAATATTGACTGTTATCAACGACAAGATTCAATTTGAAATCGACTAATCAGCAATTACAATTCAGTCAGATTAAATCCATGGTTAACTTTTTTCTCTTGATCCTTATTGAAAATTAAACAATTAAAATATAAATTGAAAAAATTATGTTAATCAACATTTATTTGCATAGGTTCCAAACCTTAGGTCTAGGTGTCAACAATTTTCTATGCTTATTTGGTTATTCCAGTTGAAATAATTAATCGTAAATTGATCAGGGAATACAAATTAATAGCATTATTACACGTATGTTTAATACATTCAACCAAATCGTGATTGAAATTTATTAGCAATGACAAATATCAGACAGAATCAGCAAATTCATTTGAACAAGCTCTTGAACTAAAACTGAAATAACACTCGAGAAAATATTTACGTGTATTAGCGGTTAATTTTTGTCAATCAAAAGTTCAGTTGATTAGAGAAAAATGGTAAATTCAGCAAACAATTCCGATAGAAATTAGAACCTATAGTAAACTTTAATTAAAATAGTAACCTTTAATTAAAATACTAGTCTAATCTTCAATGGGAATGAACGGAGTGTTGAACTTTGATTGAAAATAATAATATGATTTGATGATGAACCTCATATTCACTAATATCAAAATTACAATTTAAATCAATGTTGGAAACAAAAGAAATAAAATGCTGCTAAATTTGGTTAACTTTCAATTAAAGATGAGTTTTATACATGAGATTGTGAATAAAAAATAGAGTATATTCAATAGTATGAAAACAGTGAATACTTAAAACTATGAAACAATTTGATGTTACGTAAAATGCCTAAATTATTTGCACAATTTAAAAATGTCACAAAACTCTACAAATCAGAAACAATTGATCTGACCGTGAAAAAAAAGATTTGTAAAAACACAATTCAAGAAGCTTCTTTCCATTTGAAGATTCTGGAATCATGACTCTATTGCTAATATCGATTGGTCCCATTTGTGTGATGATTGCTTCCAATAAATAGAGAAATGTAATTTTCTAATCCTAGTTTGTCCTAATCAACTGTTCATTAAAGCACACATTTCATTGTTATCCCGGTGAAAAGCGAATGATTTGGCAGGAATGTAATAATTACGACGATGTATCCTAGCATTGACTTTATCCGAGTCAATTTGTTCGTACTTTCTTGTGTTGTGTCTGAAAAATAAAAAAAATGTAATGAGATTGAGGTGAATTTATGAATTACATGAAGCTACATAATCTTTAAGACAACTTACCGAAATATCAACTCAGGTTGATGCATTTGTAGGCAATGTTTGAAAGGCAAGTTATAAAATTCAGCATCAGTAACCAAATCCATTGATGATGAACCTCCAAATGCAAATTTTTGTGAAATTTTCGTTGTTATGTCACTCGTCAAAACAGCTTGAGATCCTTGGACAAGCAAAGATCCTTTTGCTTTAACTATGGAATGAGAATTGCGGTTCCAAAGAGATATTTGAATTTCTCCAGTCAATTCAAGGGAAAGAACTCCTCTAACTTGTTGCTCCAGGACGAACCCATTGATTAAATTATATCCATGTTGGTGATCTGAGACTAACAGATTACCAGAAAAGGCAGTTATCGGATCACTAGCAGTACCAGACCAGACATGACCCATTAGCTCTCCTTTACCACTGAAAAAGGTATAAGGTCGAAGTTGAACACCAAGAACTTTCAAAATCATCCCAGCAGATGTGGTTTCTTCTTCACTACTTGACCCATCATCTCCAGCCAAACTACCCAAACCTCTGGCAATTAGACCGACTGTTAAAATGTGTTGAGGTTTACTTGTATTGCTCTGGAGTTCAAAAGAAAATGCACTTTCTTTCAAAAGTCTTGCCTTGCTCAGCAATTCCATGGTGATTCCATAGGAAGCATTCATTGTACCAGTTCCTCCCATTACTTTATGAAATGAAGCACTGGATCCGTTGAATCGATTTGAATGGAGAAGCCAATTGGCAGGTTTTGATGTTTCATTTCCAGTTGATCGACGGTGTCTCAATGCTCTATTCCACATGAGAGTAGACATTTCAAAGTTGTCAAAATGTTCTACCTCTTTTAAAATAGAATTGACTAGTGAATCATCTTGAATGTAATGAGTAGCTATTTCTGTAGCAATTATTCGAGAAGTTGATTCGAGTTTTTCATTCCAGATTACAAGAGAAATCAGTGTTATGAGCTTTTTAAGTTCATCTTCGGTTAAATAGTGTTTGATACAAGTAGACTCGTTGTCATGGATTATGTTGCTGTTACACTTGTCAAATAAGTGATCGAGACATTCCTTGATTGATTTTAAAGCAGCAACTGATTCTTGTCTTGCTTTTAAATTGATTGCATGGCCACTAAGAACTTTTAAAGATAATTTCAGATTTCCTGCGTTTCCAAAAGCATGTAGTAAAGAAACCCGACATTCGGTATCATCACAGTTATCCAATTCCGTTGTAATTAACTGAATTATATCACGATTATGATTATCTACGTATGAGTTGATTTGAAGAGTATTATACGCTCTTAAAGCGGTTCCAAGAGTCATAATAGTTGACCATTTTAGCTTGTTAGATCTCCAATTTGGAACATGAACAATTTCCTGAGGAAAGAAGAAAACAAATTAATATCTGAAAATTTGCATTAAAAATATCTATAGCTTACTTTGAGACTGCTTATAATGAATTGAAGACTAGATAAAGACAAATCACTAGATGATTGCGTAGCAGTCAAACAAGAAACAGAAAGAGATGATAAAAATCTTTCACAAATGTCCAAATCTTCATTGCGAGGTAGATCAAGGAATTCAAAGGATGCAGACAACGATTGGTCAGTTCGAGTACCAGCCATGATATCCAATAAGGAAGATAAAACATCCTTTTTTTGCTTCCTTTGTTGTAATAAATTAATGATGTCTTGTTTACTAGTACCAGGACCTCCAGATCTAACCCGATCCACAAGTTTTAGGTAAGCTATAGACGCTGGAATCGATGCCATTTCAGTGTCACTCATGTGCTCTTCATAATCCTTTTCCAAAGTCTTCAATGTCGCACAATTATGACAAGTTTGTTGTTCCCTTTGATATAATAAGTGATCCTCGATGTAATCTTCACCCAGTGATTCAAAAACACTGCTGATGGCCGGTACTGAACTTAATTTTGATTTTGCTCCTTTCTCTTCGCGATTCAGTTTCAATGTGAACCTATTGTAAGTACAAAATGATAAAATAAGAAATAGAATCACTCAGTTAATTTAAAAATTCAAAATTTTTCTGTCAAAATACCAACCTTGAGTGTAATTTTGAGTATGCAGTGTTGTAGATGCGAGAAATCAATGAAACATTTTGCCAACCAACACTTTCCGTAACAAGAGTATGATCTCTTCCAAGATTTGTTGATATTGACCATTCGTCAATTATAAGTGGACTCATGATGGGCTCTATTTTATCCGTCTTTGATGAATAAGATTGTTCAATATCTTGACCTTTTTTATTCCAGGTTACGTCTTTACTCTGTGGCATAAATAAAAGATAAACGGAATTAGAATCAGAATCAACTAAATTCTTTGGAGAAATAAAATCAAAGAAAATTGTAAATAAATTAATAACTTACATAATTTGTCTTTTTAGTTCGTAATAATGATACTATGGCTTTCTTAAGATTAACAGAAGTAATAGATTCTTTGTTGTGGCGGTAAAATGATTTAACAATTTGCATGTCATTTGAATCAACTATATGAGCAAATAATGGATATGAGTGGTAGTTTGTTGATCCATAACCGGGTCCACGAACTGGTTTACCGTCATGATCAAGATAATGGCCCGTTGAACTTGGAGTAAAATCAACTTTAATCACATAATTTGTTTTATCTTGCCAAACATTTTCAACCAGAAAAGTTCCCTTGTAACCAAAAGAAACTGGCTCTTTACCAGTGTGATCATCGTTGTTTAGCATCAGCATTGTCCAATAATCATAATAGTATTTTACATTTAATTGTAATCCATGGCAAAGAACCATTGATGGAGCTGGATGACAGTTGATTAACCAGCTTAAATTGAGCAAAAGAATCTTGAGTAACATGACTATAATTTGATTCATCTTGATTTGGTTACGATTAAAAAAGATCGAGTAGTAAATTCAAAGAGTCAGGTAACAAATAAATATTCCAAGATTGTCTAATATCTTTAAAGTTGAATTGCAATTGGTTCGATTTGGCATCAATTGGCTTTATAACAAATGAATAAATTAACCTGTGAAGAAGAAGCAAATTGGTCAGATATTGTCAGTTATTGATTCAAGAGCTAACAAAAGTACTTTAACAGTGTTTGATACTTAAATTGCCAGCCTGTACTTATAAGTCGTTAACATTCAAATAGAGCTTCAATTAAAATGCTTTTCAATGGTTTTACACCTGTATAACAAGGATCAATCTGCGTAATCCTGAAGTCAAAAAAATTATCAACAAGTGAGTTCTCATGTGGCTATTTTCAAACTCTTAACAGTTTTTAAATTATGATGAGTTTCACTCAACATATTATTTGGAAGCAAAACAACCTCAAATTTGAATGAAAACCTACTTACTTTGAAATATTGCTTGAATTATGAGTTTTATGGATCTTCACATTATTGAAATATTAACAAATTAAAAATAAAGAGCAACAATTTTGTATCAAATGTTGGTTACTTCTTGAACAGCAGAAAGGTTGTTATAACTTACTGAATTGTGGCGTTGATAATGTTGAGACCGTCAATGATTGTCAATGGCAACTTTGATGATTATTTATAAGAATAATTTGATTAGAAAAGGAGAAAATAAATGTAAGAAAAATTGCATTATTAGCAATGTAAAACACTTGAAATCACTTCTTGTAAGTTGTAACTTATAACATTTTAATATCGGACTCTGAACACAGACAAATCATGATACGATTTTCACCAAACCACATCTTCAATTGACAGATCTACAGTCAGGTTAAGCATGATTCTCAACTTACCTAAAATAAACTGGTCTTATTAACGATGTTTGTAGAGTTGTTTGCAATGGCACAAGAAAAAATTGGCAATTAGTCATTTAAATAGGAGTAGATCACAAACGGTTAAAACAAAAGGAATTGAAGAAAAGGCAAACAATTTTGACGTTAACACAGCAACATAACTTAAATTGAAAACATCATTGAAAAACCAACAAGAAATGAAGAGGAAAAAATGATGTTGATGATAAAAGATGATAACCAAAGATGATGAGAGAGAAAGTAATGAGCCTAAGGTGTAAGAGACCGGGATGACAGGGTATGCAGAAAGTCGTTCAACAAGAGTCAGAGTAGAGATGCAAAAAATCCAGTGATGATAATGATGATCAGGTAAATGGATATTTAAGAGAAAGAGAAATAAGAAGAAGAAGATAGTGAGTCTTTTAAAGTAGCTGAGGGGTGACGAGAAGAAAAGAGAAGAAAAAGCAACAAGAAAAATCAAAGAAAGTTAAGAGTATGGATAATTGAGATTACCTGATACAGTTGAAGATGTTGGCTGGTGATGTGAAGATTAGGTTGCAAAAAAGCCCATTGGTGAGTAAATATTAGAATAGATTTACTAGAGTTGACCCAATAAAGATGTTCAATAATTAAATAATTGATCAAATAGCATTAGCTGATTAGCAGAGAAACGGCCATTGACCTGTGATGAAGAAAGAAAAGAAGTGACCTGATCACTGACTACTTTGAGATAATTCATCTCTTCTCTCTTCTTCTCTCTTTACCACTTATTCAGCAAAGTTCAAAGACATTTTTCTTTTCTCTTTCTTTTCTCTTTTTATTTCCGTGAATCTCTTTTAAACTAAATCAACTTCAATCATCTTGGTTTCCTTTTCCAAGCGTCACTTTTCTCGTTTGTTGTTAGGAGACACAGTCTCTATACTTACTCATTCATCTTTCATATCCATCTGCTTTAAATGAATCACTTCCAATCACTTTGTTATTTATGATTATATACACAGTTTAATCATTGATCATTATCAATCAGCGAAATATTTGTTTTATCCATGATCATGTCAGGGACAAGAGTAAAAGCTGCACCAGGAATGCTCATCACCTCCGAACTTTACTTTATTGATTGCCGATTTTATCATCCACCGAAAGACTGATTTCAAAAGAGCTCAATTTCATTCCAATTTGTTTACTTTTTAAAAAAGTTACAGAACTTTTGACAGATTTAAGTTACTTTCCCTCAAAAAACAGATCTAAAGTACAACTTGAAGTATCAGATCCCAGGATCCAGAAAAGTAGCGCGCAAATCAAATTTTCTAAAAACGTCAGGTTTTAGCAAATTGTAAATTTTTTAACCTTAAATTAGTAAATTACTTGAAAAAGATGGACAGGAATATTAATTTTTTTTAACATAATCTTGTTTAATTCAACATTCTTGTCATTTACAACATTTTAGGACACAATTCATTGCTAGAGTGTTACATTTGAATAGAGTTGTGTGTGAATGATAGTCATGATTATTTTAATCAGAGGTAAAGATTCTTTGCATGTTTGATAATTTATCATTTTCACAAGTTGAATCGTTGAAACACCCATCTATAACAGAAATTAAAAATAAAAAATAAGCAACAATGGTTTAAGTGAGGATGGACACAGATACTACTTACCCGAGTTACAGCAAATACCATTGGAAGTACAGACACCTTCGCCTGATGAACATAATTTACCTGGAATTTTACATGGAGTTGGAATCAAATTTTCAGCTCTACATGGAGAGGAATAGTGATTATTAATCAAACAACCAAATTCTGTGCCACAACATATATTTGGACTAACACAATGACCACGATTATCAGGACCACATCTAAGACACTAGAATAAAAAGGATGACAAAAGTTGAATTTATTTGTTTAATTTGTTAAAACTGAAATTTGAATAAGCTTCGGAATAAACTCACTTCTCTCATATGGTCAACATCACCGTGAGATCTTTTACCTCCAGGTGGACAGTTGGTAATGAAACAAGCTTGGCTCGAATGAAAATTAAGAATGAAAGTTAACAGGATAAATGAGGCCAACATTTTGAATCGTCTATTGTTGACCAACTGAACAGTTCACTACTCTATTTATACTTGTTAATTCATAAACTCTCTCCTTTCTCTCTTCATGGTCACTTTCATCGTAATAAAACATGTTTAAGAAACAATTCATCTATCATTGGATTAACACAAAACAAATAGTTTCTGTAACAGTCCATCACTAAAGATGACAGTTGAATGGAGATTAAAAGATGTTAGCTTGAAATGGGTAAATGTTATATCTTATTCATATTTAAATATAATATAAGGTTACATAGAGCTGCTAAGATATCTTAATTGAGCTGATAGTAAGAATCTCATAGACTCAAGATATGATGAATCAGCTTATTACTCAAAGCCCGACAATAGTTGATTGATTAAACCATTAATTATTAATTTCTTGTAATTCCCTTTACCGAATCAACAATGAGAATGGATAAGAAATAACATAAAATTTTAATTTTGTTTTTGAATATTATATTGGGCGTAATATTCATTTTTGTGTTTTGAAAAATTGACTTGAGTTGAGATTAATCAAAGAGGTAAGAGCATATTAACTTAAACATGGTAAAATTGAAATTTAGCTTCGCCATTTTAAATATTCCGTGAGGCCATTCCAAGAGTATCACAAGACTGTTTAATTACATTATTATTATTGTATTTGTTTTTGATCGGTGTATCTAATTTGCTATTTCTCCGAGTAAGAACGATTCGCAAACCATTTCGAGATCTTAAAACCATTTCTCCACTGATTATGAGCTTGTCGCGCTGGTCAACTGAGTGAATAATGAAGTGGCTCAAAACTCTTGCCAGAATTGCTTTCTCCTCCATAACAGCAAATTTTTGTCCAATACAATTTCTCGGGCCAGCCGAGAAAGGTATATAAGCATAAGGATGACGGCCAGATGAATTCTCAGGCAAGAATCTATCAGGATCAAACTCTTCGGGTTTTGGAAATGTTTCTTCATTGCGATGAAGAAGATAGGTAAATATTGCACATGTCGTTCCTTTTGGCACTAAATATCCATCTAAGAAATCAAAGACAAGAGTTTTATTAGAAAATAATAAAAATTAAATAATAAGTGTAGTTGCTCTTACTTATCATTGTATCTTCGGATAATTCACGTCCAATGAAAGGAGCAACAGGGTAAACTCGCTGAACCTCTTTAAGAACACAATCTAAATATTTCATCTGTTTCAATTGTTCAACCGTGAATCCATTTGTTTCACAATTGTCATAACTTGATTCTAAAATCGCATCGATCTCGTCTCTGACTTTCTCTTGAATATCTTTGTACAAACCAAGAATATACAAAGTCCAACTAATAGACATTGCGGTTGTATCATGACCCTGAAAATAAAGCAGAAATATATTAAAATTTGAACTTGAATATAAATGAATATGTAATATATTTCTTGATACTAAAATTGATAACTTACAGCAAACATGAAAGTGTCAACTTCTTCTCTGACATCTTCAATTGTCATAACATTATTTTTCAAATGATGTTCCATCAACAAATCAAGAAAAGCCATTCTTTTCGTTTCGTACTTATTTTCAAGTTTATGAGTCTTTTCATTCAACACATCTTGATCTTCAGTCAAATGTTCCTGTGACTTGCATCCATTTTCATGCGCTTCAATCCACTCAGCTTTACGTTGCTTTATAACTTTCATGGTAAATGTTTTCATAACATTTAAACATCGTTTATATCGTCTTCCATGGGGAGAAATAGCAAAAGCCCAATCTGGCCATAACCAGGGTCGACTGATTCGTATCAAAAATAATTCACTAACTTGATGAAGACATGTGACATATTCAGATTCTTGAGTTTGACAATTGACTTTTATTCCCATAGCAGTTTCACAAATGACATCCAAAGTAGTTAAAGTAACATAATCCAAGATATCGATTACAGATGACTGTCCAGATTGATTATCTGTCAACTGGTTGAGTTTGTTTATCAAAATTTCGGCATTTTCATTGATTATGGGCAAGAAATCATTTAAAATGCGAAAATGAAAAGCTGGAGTAAGCAATTTGCGGCGAGATTTCCACTTATTTTTACTTGAAGTAACCAAACCAAGACCAAGCCAGGGTTTTAAGAAGTCATATTCAGCAGCCTTTTCAATCAATGAGTGACTACTTAGAACAACCTAAATGATGTTTAAAAGCCCAAAATACATGAATTATTAGTAATTTTCAAAGTAACAAATAATTATTAGCTTAAAAAATTCAAAATAAACTTACCTCAACAGCTTCAGGTGTGAAAAGAAATACAAAAGGCCTGATTCCAAGCCACATACTAACAATCCGTTCTTTACCATAGATGAGAGGAGTTGAAGTCAACATTTGATAAATCACTATTTAAATAAAAATTTAAAGAAAACAATAAAGCAATCAATAAATCATAGCAAAATCTGTACAATATTTAATGGTACAATGCCAATTGAATTTTATGAATAAACTTTAATCTAAGCAAGCCTGAGACTATAATCAATCAAGTATTGAGCTTCAACAAGAATCTGATGTAAAGTTGAAAAATGATTATCAATGTCAATGAGCGGCGACTTGACAATAAAGTTGTTTAACCTATTTTTTGAATGCATTTGCGAATCAATTGGACGATATTGAAGAATAGACTTGAAGCGTTTCAGATCGTTGTGTTTATCAGGTTACAATATAGCCAATTGAATCTCAAGGCTCTTACAGTTTTCAAAGGTAAATAATTAATTTAGTGTTAATAACAAAAAACAACACAATATTTTTAAGGCAACAAAAGGCCTGATGAGGATAATTTCCTGTTTCCAACTGTGATTTCAGGCACCAAAACCAATAAGAAAAGTGAAGCTAAACAAGTTCACAGGAAGAAAAATTGACGAATTGAACTTATCCATCAACATTGAACAATCAATTACACACTGAATGAGTTACAGAAGTTATTTAACAATCAAACAGCATTATAATGGCTCTAAATAAACAATAATAACAATTGAAAGTACCAATGTTTACTCTTAATTTAATTCTGGTTCCACAGTTGAATTTTAAACCAAGAAAAACATAATCATGAAAATTACAGGTTGATATGTGGATATTTTTTCAATGAAAACAGCAATTCAATGAATAACAACATCTAATTGTGAATACAACATCTTCCTACATTGGTGTATTTTTTTGGTTAATTTGTTTTCTGAACCATTCTATAAACATTAATTTTGCCAGCTTTTATTGAATCACTTAAGTGATTAATATTGTTAATTTGATTAATTAAATTACGGAATTATTGAAAGAGTGAGAAATTAAATGAAGTTTCCCTCAATGAAGCGTGAAAACAGTCTTAAAATGATGAACTCAATTATTGAAGTGTTAAAGATGAAGATGAAAATGAAGTGCAATCCATTTTCAACTTGAATCAAAACAATCGATGGTCAAGATTAATGTTTCCGGCTTTTTATTGACGAACAATATTCAGATCTTGAATTAAAATACTACAAGTTTTAACCTTGTTAGAGAGAGAAAGAGAGAAAGAAAGAGATGGAAATGAAATAAAATTAATAAACAATAAAGTTAACAATCAATAAACGGCACTTGTAACAAGACAATCATTAACAGTGTTGACCATTACAAACAACAAAAGACTTCTTAACATCAATGAATAGAAATCGAAAGTGTTTTCTTGGCCTAATTTTGATTGTTAAGGGTTAAAGGTAAATTAAGGGTAAACTATGATGGACAGTTCCTGATTATGATGTTTCAATTTAATGGCTGTACTTGGAGTACTTCAAAAATCCTCGGAAAGATAACACTAATTTGATTTCTTTTACTTCCTAATTGAAATTGGATTGAGACAAATTTTTATTTATTGGTCATCGCTACAATTAACAAGTTAACCAATAAATGGATTTGTAACAAAACAATTGAACCATCAAGTAATAAGAAGTAATTATCAACACCTTGAAAAATAGCTTCTGATTGTTGACCAAAACTTGTCCAGTTTCTATGAAATATTTGAAAAAAATTGCATTAAAATGATATTGTCTGATGTTGTTGAGTATTTTGTTGATACATACAGCTAGGTGTAACTAAATTAATTTTAAGAGGACCAATTTATGGTGAGAAATCAATAAAAACATAAAATATTTTGGTTTCAAAGAAAATAAAAAATTCTGATTTTCTATTTGCTATTTTCAGTTGAATCTGCATCAAAACAAAATGTTATGTTGCTTCAAATCAAGGACAGTTAACATTGTCAATAAACAATGGAAATAGTTGTTCAAAAATTAATCTCAACAAGAATCCCATGAAAACTAACCAACCAAGTATTTGATAGACAAGAATTCTTGAAAATCTTTACATGATAAGTACTAGATTCACATGTGGAGTGAAAGTCAATAGCTTTGAGAAAATGACTAGAAGCGTATAAATAGCATGAGTACACTTTTAATATGGGATTTGCTGTTAGATTTGGGTGAGAGATGAGACCAAAAGTTTACTTACAGACATAAGTTCCATAAGGAAATTTAACTTTATCCAATTCCAGGACAATCTTTGCATGTCCAAGTAACCAATGACATGGTGGACCAGGAATCTTGGCCATTAACTGACAAACACGACGCCATTCAATTAAACGGCGAATCACAAAAAAACTAAAAACAGAGGCAACCAAAAATAAATGGATTGGTAACAAAGAAGAAAAAGAAAGTGTTAACCGATTATCCGAATCCAACCAAGATGGCAACAAGTGTAACATTGTCACCGTAAAATATCCCAACTGTTATGACTAACAAAATGAACTTTGTTATCAGACTTAACTAATGATAAAAAGATAAGAAGAGAAACAAAGAAAGAGCGAAAGTGAGTTAGAGAGAGTGAGAGAGAAAAGACGATTGAAAAGATTGCTATTGTCTCGATGATTCAATCTCCCGCCTTATTTACTTTCACCTTTGCTTTTTTTGCTTTTCCTTTCCCTTTTCGTCATCAACATTTCTTGTTTTCAAGCTTTTAAACTAAGGGCTGAACCCGATTTTTTTCAGCAAATGATTCTCTTTGCTGGAAATGTCCATTTGACCCAATTCACTGTGTTTACTCTGTTTTCTCATTCATTATATTCATCAAATTCATCATATTAAACATGCACATCATAGAGACATCATTAATGTCAATAGTGTTTATTCAATGTTAAAGATTTATTCTCTGATTGCTTTTTATTTTTCTATTTGAACAGTCTTCCTCTTCTTCTCTCCTGCTCTTTCTATTTGTGCTAATCTTGTCCACCTTATGCTAAATATTTCCACTATTAATGACCTCAATTATCAACTGACCCATTGAATTTGGTGTTATAAGTGAATATGTGATGAAGTGATCGCATCATCAACCAGTGGGAAGCTGTGTTTGGAGTAACCGATGTTCAGTGTTTTCATTCTTTTTCAGCTAAATTCAGCTTCATATTTAGATTTTAGCTCTAGTTTATCTTAATCTTCATTTGAGAAGGTAAAATTTAATGAAGAAGATGCTGATAAGCTGAGAGAGGTAAGCTACAATTTTCAGTAGCTTCCTATTTGACTTAAAAATGACCATTTAATTTGATTTGCCAGTTTAAATCATTTTAGTGTGTAGGTAAAAACTTTACAATGCATTCAATCTGATTTTGATTGACAATATTAATGTGTGAACAATTTCATCATGTGGATCATCATTATTGGCAGTTTTAAGTAGGGTTTTGGGTGAATTATTGTTTAACCAAGGTTAGGAGAAATTTTAAAATGTAGGATTGAGATACCTCATTCATCATTAATTGTTAACAGTTCCAAATATTGATAAAATTTTAGCTTTAAAAATGCATTTTTCATGCAATTTAGCTACCTAGTGTAGATGAAAAAAGTATCAAAAATTTTTGATCATAAGCTTTTAGTCTAATTTAAAATTAAACTTTTTGAGATTTAACAATTTGCTGTGCTCGGACAATAAGCTAGGAAAGTGAAATCCTTCAATTTTTGATGAATTGGACAATTATATGATCAAATTAAGTCTTAATGGCTACAATTTAGCACAACTTTGTGTGAATACAGGAGTTACCTCAAGGAAACAATGTTTAGTTAGCACTAACAATCGAATCATTAAAATCTCTACATTTCCAAGAATCAATCATCAATTTTGTAATTTTCAGTTCAGTAAAAAATTGTCACAGGAAATCAAATTAACGATAAAATTCAGTTCCCAATCTATTTCATATTATATCTTATATTAGTAACTACAAATTAGGGTTTCAGTTAACGCAATTTTTAGGTCCATCTTTGGTATTTTATTGTTTACAGACATGAATAGGTAAGTTATTCAAAGATTTGTTGATTATGAAAATAATTTAGTCAATCATTAATGAAATTTAATTCTGTACTTTCAGAGCCATCTTTACTCGAGCGATTGAACTATAACATCAAAGGAAAAAGGATTAAAAATGTATTTACGGGATTCTAAACTAATCTAAACTGGATTGTATCAGGTTTATGATTTTCATTTGATTTGTTTCGCGGTCATATTTTCGCAAGTTCATAAGCTGATTGGTTATATTTGACTTCAACCATGACTGACCCATCATCTCAGCCACCTGGGAGGCTCGATATTAAAGAGGAGGATGACAAAAACTCTGCGTCCTCTTCTAATTCTGATACATCTAGAGATTTGTGTTTGATTAAATCAGATGAAACCTCTGAGATTCCATTTGAACAAGAGCGGTCAATATCTATATCCTCGGTCATGTCTTTAAAATTTTCAGATTTAGAAGATTCGAAAAGCAGTGGTACTGATAGTATTCAGTCTACTCCTACTGAACCACCGGCTTTTACTGAAATTTATTCCGCTACTAAACCTAATGCTACTTTTAACCCTATGGATGCTACTGCACTTATGGTTCCTATTAAACCCACGACTCCATCCGAATCTTTAGCCACGACTGAATCTACAGCTCCTACCGAGCCAACGGTTTCTACTAAACTTACAACTCCTTCTGAATCAACGGTTCCTACTACACCTATGGCTCCTACTGAACTAACAGCTCCTACCAAACCCAAAGCTCCCCCCGAACCTTTTGCCACGACCGAACCTACAGCTCCAACTGAATCAATGGTTCCCACTAAACCTACAGCGCAAGCTGAACCTTTAGCTACGTCTGAATCAACAGCTCTTACCGAACCAACGGTTCCTACTAAATCTATGGCTACTACTGAACCTGTGGTCCCTGATAAACCTACAGCTCCTACTGAGCCTTTAGCCACTACTGAACCTTATGGCACTACTCAACCTTATGCCACTACGCAACCTTCTGCTACTACTGAACCTACGGTTTATGCTAAACCTTCAGCTCCTACTGAGTCTTCTACTAGTAATGAACCTACGGCTCCTCCTATTGATACATCGAGTTCCAAAGAAGTGCAAAAAAAGCGAAAAAGAACAAGGTCTAAAAGACGACCAAGATCTAAGTCGTATGCAGCTCCTAGACGAAGTCCGCGTCTTAAAGCAAAACGGAAAAAATCATAATTCAAAGGTCCATTTGATGCATTTACAGAATAGATTGTTACGTTTATTATTGTAAAGAGAGTTTGTTTATCCAATCATATTAATTTATGATTGTGCATTAAAGAAGATTTTTATCAATCATTCGTCAATTCTTTTTTGTTAGGAAATTTTAATGCATCGATTGGGAAAATTATTTTGACAGTTCCACAGTGGAATGCGGGGATTTGTAACAAACGATTAATTAACTCGTACAATTTATTGATGATTAACTATTACCTGCTTCGTGACTACATTGTGAATTTTTTTGAACTAAAAATTGGAGACTTGAATTACATTTGTAATTCAAAGCGCAAGTGATGACTTATATCCTTGACCCAACCTTAACTTAAAGGTTAACTAGATTATGAAGAGGCCATTTAAAACTAGAGTTTGAATGGTAGGCTTTCTTAATGTTGTTATAAGGGAAGAGGCGTGAAGATTTGTTGAAGAATGATGAGGATAAGATGAGATGAAGAGCAGAGATGATACATAAAAGTTTAAAGACAAGCAAATAGACAATAAATTGCATTATGAGTTAGATAATCTCATTATGGGTTAGTTTTCATGGTGAATCATTATTTAACATCAACATGTTGTAAAATAAGTCAAACAAAAAAACAGAAAAAAACAAATAAAATTAAGAAAAGGTCTAAAACATAATGTAAAAATAATCTCCAGTTAAATTTGATGAGAGATTAAAAATGGCTATAACCGATTGCCTAGAATCAAGTAAGAAATCAGTTATCTAGAACAATTACTTGGATTCATCAGCATTGGTTGTAATTAAAGCTAAAAATAGAAATTCAATCCCGTGTTTGAATTTTTTTGTTAAATGTTGATTATTCCCCTTAAAGTGTTGACATTACTGAATTGCCATGAGACGAATAATGTTCCTTAAAGTTACCAGTCCGCCTAATACGAGCGTCAATCATCTTAACTGGTGCAGTCTTTAAATCATAGGCCTGACCAATTTTGGCCATTGTGTTGATAAAGCAAGTCGTCAGATTCCATCTCCAACCCAACTCTGATGTTGAATAGTCCCAGGGAAAGGTGTGATGATAATTGTGGAAGCCTTCACCAAGTGCACCAATGATTACATATTTGTTTTCTCGAGCTCCTATGGTAACATCATATGGACGATTACCCCAAAGATGAGCCACAGAATTAACCAGCCATGTAAAGTGGAGAGATATACAATAACGAGCCAAACCGGCAAGCATAAATGCATTCCAAAAAGACTCATTCCAACAGACAATTGGAATTGCTGAGGGAATAATTATACAACAAAGAATAGCCAATGGAAGGAAGTAATTTTTTTGAAACCGAACCACCGGGTCCTCTAATAAATCAGAGCAATCAACTAAGCGTCCCTTATTGATTACATCAGGATGCTTTTTAACACATAACCAACCCATGTGCGCAAAAAAGAAGCCTCGATTGGCATTGTGTGGATCTGCGTCCGTCTCACTGTACGTATGATGAACTCGATGATCTCGACACCATTCATAGATATTGTTCTGTAATGAAGAAATAATTGAATAGAATCAGTAAATTTGATTTATTGATGGCAGTCAAATCCTATAATTATCATTGAGTAAACTCATTTGTTGAATAAGCTTAAGTGAATCTTTTAAATTGAAATGAAATTGTCTGATCAACGAATGATTTTACCCATTTATTTAATAACTTAAAATTTTCATTCTTCCGTATTAGGCTGACTTTTTATAAACAAATTATTGTAATCATCCAATATTTTGAGTATATTATTATTCATGGAAAAATGGCTAACTAACGTCAAAATGGAAACCAAACACCAGTCAAGCTGATAATGTTTTTTATAATAATAACCTTTCAGCTATTGTTTGTCATTAGATAATCTAAACGTAAAAACAATATCAAAATATTAACTGACTTTCATGACAGTAAATATTGATGTTGATAATTAAACGGAAATTATGAATAAAACCATCTTGATCAAAAGCTAAATGTTGTTGATTGACCAATTACCTGTCCACAAACTGTTTGTAAAATTGCGAGAAAAATTCGCAAAGGAAGTTTAGCTTTGTAAGCTCGATGGGACCAGAGACGATGAGCACCCGCTGTAATACCCAAACCACTGAAGGATCCAAAGACAAATGCTAAAGGAAACAATGAGAAAAATGAGAAAAAAAGAGTGAAATTATTTTGCGAAGAAGTTGAAAATGAAAGGAAAAAGGTCAATTTGTTAAAGACATTTCGCTATCTAACAGAAACAGGTTATTTGAAGATGAAAGAGGAGAAAAAAAGAATAGAATTGATGCCATCATGAAATAGTAAAGATCCATTTTTGGCTGAATATTGGGTTATGCACTGTTAAGAGTTCTTTGTTGAACGTTTGAAGTTGTGAGTTGAATTCACATTTTCATCACAATTATACCTTACCATCGACGGGTTAAAACTGTTACTCTTTAATCTAATAATTCATATACTTGAACCAGGTAAAACTAATCATGTTTGAAAAACCTTTCACTTTTCAAATGATTGGAAGAGATGGTATCAAATAAAAGGAGAAAGTTGAACGAAAATGTACTTCATAATGGCCTCACCTCAAGCCTCATCGCTTCCCTTGAATTCAAATTTTGAAAAAAACAAATAAGTACTTGAGTGTCTTGCAATTCAACTTTGAGTTGAATGATAAAAGCAGCTAATTATCAATAAACTCGAAATGAATTTATTGAAAATTTGCGAAAAAAGTGCCTCCAATTTATTTGGAATTGAATATCGAAAGCTATTGAATATTTTCAACCGGATTTCACAATTAACTGCAACTTTTATGGGAAATCAACAAATTCAAATCTATTGTTAATTTTATTGATTTCCAAAGAATTGCTTATTCTAAACTGTCAATCGCCTCATTAACTGGATGAAAGGGAAATATCGGTAATAACCAATTCAAGACGTCATTTTTTGAGTCCGCCAAAAATGGCGATTGAATTTTAAGTTATTTTCAAAAAATGAAAAAGTCTGTCTGAGGATGTTCTAACACTCACAAATAAATCAAATCAAATAATTGAATCAAGAAGAACAATCGGCAGACTGAGCAATCATTTCGAACAGGAGCTTTTCAATGATTGAAACGGAACCACAAAATGGTTTCACTATAATCTTCAAACAGACTGTACCATCATATTTGTGGATCCTTATAAAATAGGAAAACTGAAGATTTTAATTTACAAGATACTAATGAAGGCTATTTCGAAGCTATTAATTAATTAAAGTATCCTTCTAAAATTAATAGGTAAATAATCGATAGATTAATGATTGAAATACTACAATGTTTACAATCAAAAAACTATCTAAAAGTCAAAGAGCTAAATTAATAGCATGTTTCTAACGGTTAATGAATAAATGAATGGCATAGGATTTGATTTACGAAAATTGAATGTCTGGAAGGGTTAACTAACTCTAACACTGATGGATTTAATTGAAGAAACCAATTAACTTACCGTAAGCCATGGTTAACCAAGGAGGGTTAGTAAACAATTTGAATAGTCCATAAACAAGTGAAGAGTGTAGAATAACAAAGGCAAAGACATTTCTCCATACAATTACTTGGGTTGGTTCTATTGGCGGGTGTTTAGTTGATTCTGGTGAGGTTTCAGGTGATGTTGACCATTTGGTTGGTGTTGAGGAGACTGTTGGTGATGTGGTGATTGATGGTGTCGATGGCGATGATGAGGTTTCTTTATTAGATCGGATGGACATTTTTCTTTCAGTTAGATTCTCATTGATAATCTCACGAATTCTGTCAACCTCATTCTTTGAATAAGTTTGAGTGATTGATGTGATGGCAACCATGTTTAACAAACAGAATTGATAACAAATTTGTAAATCCTTAAATTATTGGACAAGAGATGAAATGAGAAACACAAAGAATAACATTTTATATTAAAACGAAGACAAAAGCAAAAAATTAATCAATTTGTCTGCATTGGTGGGAAACAACAAAATGTCTGGTAAGCCCTCTAACGAGAGTAAAGGTTACTTAAATATTGATCCAAAAATCTTTGATTTTCAAACTAAATCACAAATCATGATCATACTTACCTTTTTGATTGTTATAGTTGATTGGTAATATATATTAAATATATTAGTTGAAACTACAAATCAAATCATAGATTAAGTAAAAAATGATTCAGAATGGGTTAAAATAAAAATGAGCGTTTAATCTCGTTAAAACTTGGTGAAAATAAAAATGAATAATGGGAAGGTAAAAAAATTAGGTAAGTTGAAAAAGTTAATGTTGATTGTTCGGATTGAATTTGATTCTCAATTGAGAAAGTCTTGATAGTGATTTACTATTGTATTAACAAAACAACATTGAGCACACAATCTGCTATTTCAGGTTTCAAAGCAGCAAACAAATTTGGTTAACACCACCTCCAACAAGAGACAAAATATTGTGAATCTATTTTGCACCAATAGATTTCAATAGACCACGATGATGGTTGAAGATGAAAATGATGATGATAAAGATGATGATGGTGAAGATGATGTTGCAAGACAAGGTGGGAATCAACTGATTGTATTTGGAAGAGCTTGAATGGATCTATTATTATATTTCAATAACTAGCAGTAACTTGATGTCGATTGATTCCACCTTTCCTTCAATCCGGTATTGTAAAGACTCCAAGAACCTTTTACAGTAAAAAATTCATAAATTAATCATCCTCCTAATCGTCATCACAATCAACACCATGATGGACATCATCATTGCCATAATTTATCCGAAAAAAATGTCCATTAAATAAGCTGACAACAGTCAATGCAAATGAACTTTTGAGACATCAGTTACTTTGCTGGTTAAAAATTGATTAACTTTCTTCTTCTTCTGTCTATTTTATCTTCTCTTTCTTTTCTTTTTGTTTCATTTTCTTAATTTTCTCATTTCTCACTGTCTTCATTATCATCACCTCATGACCAACCTGTCTCAAGCTTTGCTTTCAATGAAAAATGGTCAAAGCAAAGCAAACAGAAACCATTATTTTGGTTGTTGCTGTATTTGTTTGGTCTGTATGGTTGCTGCCAGACAATTTAATTGATTAAATTGATAGTAACAAATCAACTGTGAATAGTAAATATTTTTTTCACCTTTTCTAGTTAAAACGCATTTTCATCTTTATATTTACCTGTTGACTTTACAGTTGGACATTTATGGGAATAAGTACAAGGCTAATTGTTTTCAGGTATAAATCAAATTTGGAAAATTTCTTTGCACGGAAGAAACATCAAGTCGACAATCAACACCAAGCCTAGAGACTAACGACCAATATTTATTCAGTAGTTAATTTATGGTAAAAACCTCAATTTTTGTAATATTACACATTAATTTATTATTCACAGATTCGCCCACCAATGATTCGGAATTAAGTACAAAGTATTGAAACCAGAAATGTAAATAAACTGAGACTTTTAGCGAGAATCAAAGATCGAAATGGCGATGAAAATGAAAGTTATTATATTGATCAAATAAATGGTAAAAATTGAAACAGCAAATGAAAGTGCATTCAAAATGTTTTCCATTTTTCATTTGGTAAACATTTTCTGGTTTCTTTTGGGTAAAGTTAGGTTCATCTGGTTTTTAAGGTTTGTATTGTTAATTGTCTTGTTAATCATCCTAAGAGTCTTGGGCTAATAATAATATTATCACCGACAAAACAGCAAAGGATAGAGACAAGAAGTGGCTCAGAAGATAATCAGAAGATCTTAAACCAGGATTACATCAGAGGCTATATCTGGTTTTAAGCTGCAAACAATGGATTAATTTATCCTTAAGCTTTATCAAAGCGTTTAACATTTCAGATCCGACCTTTGAAGATTAAAATTGCCGACTGTTAATCCTGATTCACAAGGCGACAATTGAAGAGCGATCCAATCAGAAATGGATATTTCAAAGTCGCCTGAAAGTCTCGTTTGTTCAAATTGCTTTCAAATCATGGTTAAAGTAATTTCATTTTTTGTGGTTAAATTGGGCAAATTGAATTGATAATTGAATTGAATTACTTGACCATTGAATTATGTGTTTTTTTACAAGGTGTTTAATGGTCAGTCAATTTTTATTGTCAATCCTTTTCTCTCAACATCTTGTACTAATTTGTTTCGCTATTTGCTTTGTAAAAAGCTTCAAGAGTTGGTCAATGATTAAATCAATTGTTCAAACAAGAGTTAATGCTGTAATCAGTTCCAATTATTGTACAATTTAAACACTTTCACACCAATTTGAGTTAATTTCAAGTGTTAACTTGATCATTATCACAGATTTTATCCTTGAAAATAGAAAGAGTTTAAACTCAAATAGACTATCCATTAGTTAATCAGATACATCAGTAATTGAAGTGAATTTACCGGAGAAAATGAAATTCAACAAAAATGGGAATTTCAGCTTCAATTGAAAACCAATTTAAACATAAAAGTTGAACAATGTAAATGTGAGCCCAGAATCTATACAAATTGTAAGTACAAAACTGACAATTGTGAGCTTTAAACGCTAATCTGTACTTGCTGGGCCTACAGTTTAACCTAAACATAACAATCACACTGGAAGCTCTTGTTGAGTCAGTTTACCAGTTTCCCATCAACCTCTTCCGTCTTCTTGTCTCTGGTAACATCATCTTTCCTCTTTCATCTTCATCTTCTTCCTCTTTCCTTTTCTCTTTCACTGTTGATCGTCTTTAAAAATGACCAAAAAACAAACAAGTAAAAGGCCCAATTTTGTATGCATTTTTGCTTCTCTTGAGTTTTTGTTGCTCTAAAAACTGCAGCCCAATCCATCAAGTTGATGTTTCTTACACTTCACTTTCTTCATCTTGTTCATCTTTTCCATTTCTTGCCTCTCTTCATTCATCTTGGCCTTTCCTCATCTTCATCTTCAACTGTTTACCATGTAAAACAAGGACAACTTTGAATTGATAACTTAGCCTAACATAACGTTTGATTACAAAAGTATCAGTATCAATAGCAAGGTTTATATTGAGGTTGCCATTTCAATTAATCAACATTAAGTTGAGTTGAATATAACAGATATTTCAGAATCCATTGAACACTTGAGATGAAAAGTGTTTAAGATGAACATTTTCATTCTAATTACGATTATTCCTATTTCTTGTCTTTCCTACAATCATTCAATGAATGCTTCTGATTACTTTGGAAATATCATTTCTTGAGAAATAAACACGAGGAGAGACAAAGGAGAGGATGACTGAGGAAGACTATCTAAAGATGTCTATCTGATGATAAACAGCAATGTTTACTACTTTAGTGAACAATTAATCACAATTGGGTTCTTTATTTTACTGAGAACACATAAATGTATATAAATCTTGCATTTCTCAGACAATTTCATATCAGATAATCAGAAGTCAAATTATTTACATTTTAGCTTTTAAACCGAAAGAAAGAATCGTGAGAATTTTGATTAACTTTCACTAAATTCAGTCTTTATTTACAATCAGTTTTTTTATGTTTGTTTGATAGTAATATTGGTTTTTATTAATGTTATCAATTACATTATTACAATTACTGACATTATATTACTTTAATCTTTACGATTACGATTCATTATAAGACAATTTTTACAATATAACCTTAGAAGCGGCTTTTTTGGTCTCTTTTTTTTCAATCAAACATGACAATAATTTTACAAAGTTATGCACTGAAGGACTGAAGGAAATATTTACAGTGAATTAGATCGAGGATGGCGAGGATGGCAATGTTACATTAAACTTAATTGTCTATAATGACAGTAATGAGAGAATGAGAAATGGCGAGTGAAAAGGGAAGAGGAGAGAAGTAGAAATTGAATGTCACTAACAATGAGTGAGTTTAAAAAAACTATACAGAAAAATTTACAAATTACAAATGTTTTGCTGGTGAAAAATGTCAATTTTCATCAAACTGTGGTTTCGCTTCCACGGTGATAATAGCGACCTCGACTGTCAAGTGTTGCCAATGATCCTACCGGAAGAGTTTGATGACTGTTGGGAATCGCATTTGATGTTAACGACTTTTTCCAATCTTGTTTGGTAGAAAAAGGAATTTTTGGTGCTGACATCCATACCCAGATTCCGGTCATAATACCAGCTAAAAAAGACATGAAAATTTTCAGGGACATGACCTCTACATTGGGTAATTCGGAGCCCAAACTGGAATACCAAGCATCTCGGTAGAGATATTCGTAAAAGGAAACAAATAATAGGTAGGAAGAGATGACAAAATAAATGATTTGAAACATTGCCAGACGAGTCAACCAACCGAGTTGTTCGGTTAATTTAGGACTAGTCCAAACAGTTTTTGATGATAAAATTAATGGGTGAGAATTGTGAGAAGAAGCGTTGTTAAAGCTGATTTTTTCGACTGATGATTGATAACTACCATGACTTTGAACAAGAGGTGTGGACGTTGGATAGATCTTCTGGTCTGTTTTTTTACAATACTCTCTGACAAATAAGAGGAAAATAAGCATTCCAGTGCCAAGAAAAAATACATAGGGTGCGATCACGAACATAAGCAATGCGATCTGATCATGATTGCCAACATAACAGATACCGGTTAACTCGTCAGCGCCAATATCAAATTTGAATAAGATACAGGCAGTAACAAGTAGAGGTATCCCCCATGCAGCGCTGTGAAAGTAACTGGAAAAACTTTCCAACCCTTTACAAGACCATTGATGAGTTGTAACGTAAAACAAGGAAATTGTTATCATGAGCCACCAAAGTAAACTGGAAAGGCTTGAAAAATAGAGGAGAGCGAAAACAAGCAGACAATAACCGTTTTCATTACCATTTTGGATAAGAAGAGAAGCACGAAACTGAGGCTCATCGTAACATCCAACTGAATTTCTGCCTATCAATATGCAGAACAAATGGGTTACACTGTAAAAAAGATAACTTATTCCCATGTAGACTATCATCTTTTCAGGAAATTGAAAGCGACTTGGATAAGAGAAAAATGCAAAAATGGCGTAGACTGAAGAGGCTAGGCAAAAGGTGGACCAAAATGCTATCCAAAATCCTGCAAATTGTTTAGTTGATGAAAGGTACAAAATATCAGCTAAACAATCATGAACACATTGAGTAGTATTGGAACGAGTTGTAACTCTGAAATATTGTTGGTGAAACTTGTAACCACGACAAGGGTCTGGAATAGGTGAAGGAAAGCTGGAATAATTCAATGAAGGTGAACGTATGAGTATTGTTGGTGTAACAACATCAGCCGATTCTGAGCCATAAACTTTATCATGGCTTTTATCTTGAGCAAACGGCGGTTTAAAATCCAATATTGGCTTAATCTTCCGTACATTTGCAATTGATTCAATTTCTTCTTCTCCTGGACCTACCATGCACATAGTTTGATTGTCATTAGCTGCTGGAAACAAGCTACAATTCATGTAAGATGGCCAAGCAAAGCCAAAATCGTTGAGTATCGGTAAACACCTATCACGTACAGTTTCACAAAAGGGTCTACACGGTCCAATTGTTTGAACAATTTTCTCGGTACACATAGGAAAATAAACTGAACACAAAAAAAATTTCAACTGAGAGGAACATCGGAATTTAATGAGAGGGTCAAACGTTTGAAACGTCTGCCCTGCTTCATCTTGAGTCTCATGACCAGCTGAATTTGGAAAACCCGTAACATTATATCCAATCTTTTTACACGATTCAAATTTAATCTGTTCACAAGTACGAACCGGAGGTGTTGAAGAGACGGCAGAATGTGAAGTCAATAAAAGTAAAAATATTATGCTCACTAAAAAAGGATCATTGACCATGGCTTAAACATGAAATTTTGATAATAAAATAAGTTATTAAACATATGAACTTATACCATTGGAGAGAAAAAGAAATGGAATATTTACTCAATAAAAAGGAAAGATGGGAAATGATGGTTGACGATGGTGATGATAGTGAAGATGAAGTGAAGAGATCCTTTTGAGAAGTAATTGAGATCAAACACATCAGACCAATAAGTCTTCAAGACTTTTCATGAAATTACAAATAGTCATTTTCATGGAGAAAAAATTGTAATTAATGTTGAATAAAAATGGAAACTTAGGATTAATTAAAAAGTTAGTTAAACTTGCACAAATCTTTGAAGACAATGGTAAAAGAATCTCACAAGAAGACAAAAACTTTCTTATCCATCTGTTTATCTCTGGTCATACTTTTTTACCGCCATCTAGCAGGAGAGGAAAGAACCATCTAAAAACCAATAACTTAAAGGTTTAATTTGAGGTTCAAAAGATAAATCTTAAAGACTCATCTTAATTTTAAAGATTAATTAATAGTCTACTTAATTCAGTTATTGATCTAACATCTTTGAGCCTTTACTTTTACCTGAAACCTTTACTATCTTCACCTCTGTTCACCTCAAGTTCATTATCACAATGGAAAATAGATTTTTGTTTCTCAAGTTACATTTTGGCAAAGGTCAGTGAACATGTAAACAGTTACCTTTCTTTCATCCTTTTCAATTTCTTAACTATTGTGATTCTCCAGTGATTCTGTGATCAAAATGGATCTTATTTTCAATTGTATCATTAATCTGGCAATTGAAGCAAAGATTAAAGCATAAGATACAGCAATTGAGAGGTACTGATGTTAGTAAGGGACAATGCCCACCTCAAGCGCTAGTTGTCGCATTATTACTGTGATTTACCTTTAATTTTAATCTTTCATTTTTTTGTAAAAAAAATTAAAAATAGTTTTCCTATTTAATTTTGATCAAAATTTTTCTGTGGTGCCCTCCAGTGGGCATTGTCCCTTCAGGTTCTCTGTACCTCTTTACTGCAGTATCTTATACATTAATCTTTGAATTGAAGAGCTATTAGGTAACACTCGATGTCTAGATAAACATTACATTTAAGTGGTCATCATGTGTGTATGTTCAACTTCTTGTATTCAGCCTGTGACCGGATTTTTATTATCATTTGGTTTGACTTTTGATCTTTTTCAAGGCTAATTTATTGACCAACTTGCTGATTATAAGGTAATTATTATTTGTTCAAGGCTTAATTTTGTCTGATAAGATCTGTTAATTCATGTCAAAAGTGGCAACTCTGTCGTATTGTCAAAAGATTAACATGTGAAAAGCCAGACTAAACAAAATTAAGGTTGATCATCAGATTAACTTGCAACTTATCTTTTCAATGTTGTTATTTTTTACCATTTCCGTAACTTGAACACCTACCAGATTACCCTTTCTAACCGTCATCTATCGCCAGTTTTCATGTTAATCGCAATTATTACACCAAAATTATCGTTTGTTTCCTTCTAGACAAGCAACGTGTTAACAAAAAATTAACCATGTAATACTTAGAAAAGCCTTTAAAGCTAATACTAAATCCTATGTTTTGTTTTCCCTTCTAGGTGTACGTTAAGTAAACCCAATTGTACTCTCAATGAGCTGATAATACATGTTGGCCCTTGTTAACTAACAATGAATTTGTGTGGGAAAGATTAAAATTGAGTTGACTTTTGGATTAAACGCTATTCTATGCTGGAAATAATGTTGACTTACATGTGAAACTTGACATAAACAAGATGATGATTTAACTTAAAATCAACTGATCAACCAATAAGTGTTTTTTAATCGTTATTAGTGTCATCCTGTTCAACATCATACTTGTTAACATTACCCAATCAATGGGAATGATAAAGAATCATTTAATGTTTTCTTATTCTTCAGAAAAAAGAAAACAGTTTGATATTTGAAAGAAAAGTAAAACTTGACGATAATGAGGGAAAAAGTGAAAAAGTCTGAAGCGAATGATGATAATAATAATTGTCGATAATTTTCTAATTGAGTCGAGTGGCCATCTAGATTACTTCTTATTCACTTGCTATTATCAACATCATCAAACACTCACCATGTGCAACAAGTTATAAGATTCTTGAAACAAAACTATCAACAACATATTGTTACTGGCAACTCTTGATCTGAAATAATCAGGCCAATTATGTTAGATTTACTATTCAAAGACGACAAATGGTTGAATAAGATAGTCGTAGAGACTGACTATTTAAGTCTATCAAAGCGGGGAATCTAATGTGCGCCTTTTGCCAAAAGGGTACGCAATTTGACAATAGATTTAAGGTCAATTGTGTGGATAACAATAATCTTTTATTTGATTGCTTAACATAAAAGATGAACAAGAGGCTCATTGAGTTTTCTACCTTGTTCAAATTACTGTTAAATGTTACTTTTGGATTAAGCAAATACAGTTGATTAAATTCACAGTAAATCTTATTTATATCACATTGAAGGAAATTATCAGCTCATTATTGGTTGCAAAAATGATTGTCAGAAGAAATGAGAACAAACAAACTCGATGATTATAAGTGATTAGTTCAATAATTATAACATTTTAACAAGTATTATGAACATTCTGTTGAAAGATTAACATATTTGATTCAACGAGTCAATTGATTAACTGGGATGTTCAATTTACAGGCAATCAAAGATGATTATTTCCAAGAGCAAATTGATTTATAATTAATCAAGACGAATGAGATTCTTTCAAATTAAATTACCAGTCGATACTAGTTTTCTCTTCAATTAAATGGAAGAAAGGTAAGTCAATGGTCAGCAAATATCTCAAGTTTTCAGCTTTTTACTCCAAGAGGAAATATCGGTCCATTTTGGAGGCGCTTGATTAGCATTCATGGAACCCCAAGCTCCTGAAAGTTGCGGGTTTGATCCAAATATTTGAGAATAGTGAGCAAAATGATCGCCTTTGGGTAAAGTACCAATCGGTGGTAGCAAATCGAGACAAAATTGACTGTCCTCTGGATATGTACGGCAAAGATTGTTGGCAACGGAAGAAGCAAAAATAGCACCAATTTTTTTGCTAACTGCTAACGCGTCCGCACCACAAGTGGACAAAATGATGTCTGAGGTACATGCAACCAGACGATTAAAGGCACAGCAACCACCAGTAATTTGAGTCGTTTCGTTGACCAACGCTGCTTCCAGGCCAGCCTGATAATCGTACATACAATGTCTACAAAGCATTTTAGTTGATTGTAAACAATAATATGAAGCTGAATACTTATTTTTCCAGTGAATTGCCTCGGGTGGGGAACATAGTGAGCTAAAGGCAGCATCATTTTGTTGTGTCATTAGTTGAATCATAACTAATGCTGATGGGGTTGAACATCGGTGCAAATAATCTTGCCGACATTGATAGCTTTCATTGAGAAAGGCACACATACGGTCAAAAACATCACCAGGAGGCATCATTGGAACAGGTTGAGAGAGTAGGATTAGATGAGATGAGCATAGATCGAAGTTGCGAAGATGACATTCACAGGAATCTGTTGTCGTGGTTGGCAGGGACGAAACATTGTCCGATAAACAAATTGTGATTGATACACAAATGATAGAAATAATTTGAATAAAAGAAACATTGAAATAATTTAAGAACATTTTGATAACCGTTTCTTTAATGGCTACCTTAACTCACCCTTCTTTGTCTTTCTGTTGCTGTGGTGAATAAGCGCGAGAATCATCTGCAATCTGATTGGCTTGTGAATTAAATGATTTCAAGTTGAGAAGGAAAATCAAATTTTGACAGATCAATTGATTAATTGTTTTATTTTTAACTCACAATTACACAGACCATAACAATTAAATGCATAATTGCTGATTTATCACTGACTGTTAACCAGATTATTGGCAATTTTAATTGAACAAAAGCTATCCCATGTTGAATTAAATTCAATGGTCAATTAATGTTATCTCAAGCCTTTCAATCAATCTCAACAATTGATTACCAGATGAGTACAAAAGTATTCAATTGAGCGTCAACATCGCAATTAGATCCTTTTTTTACCTCTAAATCAGCAATTAATAGTCAATTTTATCACAACAAATTGATTGCTAAGATGATCATTAACATGATAATTGAATCTCATAACACACAAGTTGAATTGTTTTGGCAATTCTTTGCCATTGATTTTTCACTTCTATTTGCAGTTGCTATGCCAATTGATTTTAACCAATTGTTTTAATCATATTAATATATGGTTGAATCAGTGAATAGATGAATTGTATGACGATCATGATTACCTGGCTGTTAATAAGTAGCACTGATAATGATAAAGAAGGAAGTTAATTGTGACTTTTTCATTTGTTTACTCGATAAATAATGGTAATAATAAACAGTCAAGTATCCTCATTGATCCAAAGTCAACAAAATTATAATCATTCAGTTTAATACACATCCAAGACAATCAATTTAATGATAACAATTCCCAAAATAACTCACAATTAGCCATTTATAATTTACAATCAACCAGATGAGCTTTAAACAAATGTCTATTAAGACCTTAACAAAAGGACACTTTTAGCTTTTCCAGAAAATACAATTTCAATGTAAATTGGGTTTAAAATAATGTCCATTGAATGGTTTTTCAGTGTTAATTAACTTGCTGGACACTTGAAACAAATTACAAATCTAAACAAATGTAACACAATCACAACTGGACACGATTCATAGTTTATGTCAACAGTAAAACCAATGTAAAACCAGAGTAAAAAATGATTTGGAGTTGAGTTAATTTTAAAATTATTCAATGTAACAATCAAGGCAGCCTTTTAATTAAATAAATTATCATTGAGACAATCTTTAATTAGGCACAAATGGTGCACAAAAGAGCAACATTAAGCTTGAGGAAAAAGGTTAACATCTAAAAATATGGAAAGCAATAGATAGCTGTGTTTACAGGGAATATTTCAAAATGAAATCTAATTTGCTTTAATTAATGATTAAACCAAACAATCGTCTTCCTGTCAATCATCATCCTTTAATCAACAATCAGTAACAATATTGAATATTATATGACGTGGAAGCAAACACACAAAACCATCGACCTTTCAAAGTCTTACAATGACACAAGAAATATCAATATTAATCACAAAAATATTTAATTTAAGGTAAATCAAGATATGAACATGATGATAATGATAATGATTATAGTGACAAAAGATGAGACTCAAATGATACAAAAGAGGAAAAGGGAAGATTGGCTTGAAATTGAAGTAAAAATTGAAAAGCTGTTTGAGAAAAGATTTAACCTTTTCCAATTTTTTTTTAACCAACTCATTTCATCTTTTCATCAATACTGAATTATCTCTATCATCTTCATGTTCATCTATATCTTCTTGATCATCATCTCTATCTCGCTCTCCCTGTGTGTTATTTAAACATCACCTTTTGATTATCATCAATTATCTCCACCCGATCAAGAGTAAACTTGAAATGGTTCAACAAAATCTATTTGATTTTGATTGTGTATGTTAAACCCAGAAGCAATATTCAATTAATTTAATTAAATGTCATCAAATGTAGTATCTTTTATCCTCCCAAATCACTCTGTAACCTTATCCCACCTTCAACTCTCTCTCCTCCTCCTCCTCCTCTTTCTCGTCATCTTCAGTTTCTGTTATGAAAAAAACCAAACATTCACCGTAATCGCTGAGCAAGTTCACAAACCCTGAGTTTCAACACTCTTATAAGTTCTCGCCCATGTTAAGCTCAACCCCGTACTATTATTATTAACACGCTACTAGTAATATTGTTGATAACAATTACAATCAATTTGAATCCTTTGCGCAGTTAATTCACTTTCTCACTCCAAACAAAAATACATAAACTAAGATGATCAACATATATTTATAAATTATAATGTCCATGTGTATATAAGAGTTATCCTGTTTGGTTGATCACTTCAAGAAACTGTAAGAATCAGAATTTAAGATATTTAACTCTGATTTTTACCAAATTGAACAAACTCAATTTGCTCTTTGTAAATTCACAATCAACAGGTTAACTTATTGGCTATTTCATCCATTTTTTATCAACCCGATTCGTTCCATTTTTTGTTTAGTTAGATTATTGTTTCACTTTTTTTCCATCACATTTTAAAGATGAAGTTAATTAACGCCAGCAAACAGCTTAGTCATAACAATTGCTTCAACAATCGTTACAACTTCATCAGCATCATGAAGGTTTGTTTAATTTATATCTCATTTGGTTGTTTTTTTGTATCAAGTTTACCCCTAAATGGTCATTCATCTGATCCCGGTCAATCACTTGGTGATTACACTTTCACTGGACTAGCTGATGATTCACAACAAGATCCATCTTCACCTTCATTAACACCTTCCTCATCATCATTGTCAGGATCACCTTCAGCTGGTTCGGTTGCAGGTTTAATCTCGGCAAACGGTAATAACCTTGATTCAGCCAAGGAATGGATTCAGTTAAGAAATCTGCTCTCAGAATTGGGACAACAGAAAGTGTTAACTCCATCAACTTACAGGTAAGCTAATTGTTACACTTTCCCAGACTCCTTCCTCCTTGCACTATCCGGTTCCGTGATTTAGCTTCCTTGAAACTTGCATTTCCATGAAATGTTGCCTTATAAATATTTCCAATTTATTAACGTTTCTATTTTTTCCAATTTACCATTTTACCATTTGTACCACAATTAACAAAGATGATCTTTTGCTTGTTTCCATCTCTGAATTATTTAACCCAAAAAATAGCATGGTAACATTGAAATCCACTTAACTTGATTCTTCTGAGAATTTGAGTTCCATAAGCTGTCATCATTGAAATTATATCTTTCACTTTGAATTACTGTAGCTTCTTTCAGTTTAAACTCCAATCATGACATTTTGATTTTCAATCTGTCTCATTAATTTACTTGTTTAGATGATTGTTTTTAAAAGGTTTTAAACCAAGTGTGATCGACAATTTAAACAGTTACGAAATAATTCAGGTCAGGAATTTAGCAAAACATTTAGTTACACTCTCAATGGATTCCTTTAAATTGCTGGTAATATTTTGAGATCCAGGCTTTCATGGCATCATAATTAGTTGATGTTATTTTCAAATGAAATTAGCTTTCTCTTTGCCAATCATCCAGTTTGATTGAATGAAACAACTTTAAATTGCTGTTTAAACTGATTGACCACATTGCTCAGTATAGTAAAAAAAATTGGAACTGCCAATTGGAGGTTGACATTGTTATTGCAATTATTTGATCCAAGTTGTAATAGTTTTTTCCAAGTTTACTTGTTTCGATTACCATTCATTGGTAATTGCTTATTTGAAACCAAAATGATCCATGACTCTAATCATATTGATCGTCAGTTGTTGAAGATTGTGGCCAAGAAGATGGAAAGGATGAATAAATTCAATTGGATCAGAATCATGAACAGTATTAGCATTGACAATTTGATCCAATGGTCTTTAAATTTACGACAATTCATGGTAGCTTTGATGGAAAAGTTTTGAGGTTTATAAAATAAATTGCGCTTGATTGAAGTTCCATGTTTACCAGGTCTGTAGAAAAAGAAAGTTATTAAATATTTGGTTTCAAATGCTATGGTTGATCGTATAAAGTTGTTACCTCGAATATTGTATCTTTGAATGTTAGCCTGTGTCATGGTTTAAGAGATTCAAAACATGGAATTTATTTTTCGCATTGAAGACTTTTCCGGAACATTTGGATCTCAAATATTGTAATTGATTGACATTTAGTTAATGCAACCTCAGGAACAATTTCATGAAATAATTTTTAAACCATTCAATTGAGCAAAGGTGATAGAGTTGAACTGGAAATTTTTCTTAAGAGTAAGAATACTTTTCTTATCATCATGGTTAGTCTGGAATAGTTTTTCATCCTTTTTAGATAAAATTGAGTTTTCTTGCCAATATACAATACAATGTACGATGTACTTCTTATTTATGTTTGAAACTTTAGTTGTATCTTGAAATGAAACATTCAGCTTTAAAAATCCAATGATGCTGATTGAAACAAATTAATTCATTTTAATCTTTGAGCAAAAATGCTGCTAATTAAATATCTGTTGGAAATACGGAAAAAAGATAATGAGAGATTAAAGTCAATTAGTAAAATTTTACGCCTTAATTAGAGAAATTGGGTGATGAGATTTGAATAATTACCTGGTATAACCTTGAGGTGAAATAGAGTCAAATCAACTTATTGTTTCCTCTTATTTAGCCTTTTTATCACCTCTTTGTTTACTTATGTCTTTAGAAATCAAAAAGATAACCAGGTAATATTGGGTTGCTTGTTGATGATCCACAATTGTTTCAAGTTTATTGTAAACAAAGTCAATCCACGTCAAACATTGCCACCATGTCAGTTGAAAGAGTAATTTATGTTAAATGAGATTCAATATCACACCCACAATGTTTCAAAACTCCTAATAAAAAGTAGATGAAAAAGCCATGGTGCAAGACAGGAACTTATAGAGCGAATGTCAATCATTGATATTTGTTGTTGACACCAAGAAGACATAAGGAGTTGTGGTGAAATGCATAGGATGGTCAAGCTTTTAAAACCTGGGCTTTAAGTTGATTACATAAGTATGATTAGGATGGAATGAAATTTGAAACAAGATAATCAGGCTGGCATTTGTCTTTATCAGGAATTTACCCATAAAAGATTAGTCCTTGCTAATAAACCAATATGTTGAAATCGAAAGGTTTCATTCTGAGATCAGCCAGGTATGACCATGAATTTGATGACTCTTTATACGGGTCAACAGGGAAAATTCATTCAAGTTCAAAAACCTTTTCAATAATGGATTTACAAATGATTTATGATGGTGTTGTGATTTGTCTAAAGATGCAGAAGACTGCAATCGCAACAAAGATTCATAAAAATCATTAAATCCTCCTTTGATGTTGTTGATAGCTGCCTTTTTTCCGGTCGAATCTTCCAGACTAACATGAGTTATCATGAGAATTGCTATTTTTAAGGAAGCAACAGCTTTGATTAACAATAAGTGGATGATCCATTCAAGAGTTATTGTTATGTGGTCGCAGAAAGAATTGGTTGCTTCTTGATAAAAGTGATCAGATAGGTCGTATTGGGGGTCAACTTTGAACTAATACAAATATGTAATCGGTTTGGAAAGAACCAATTAAACTGTCAATGAACAAAATGCAAGATAATGATTGATTGAAGTAGAGTAAATTATGTAACTTGATTGCTTTCCATTGGAGTTCAATTCCATCGGAGTTCATTAAATTGTGATGGAAAAAAGTAGCTGTAAAAAACGGATGGAAAAAGATACAAGGAATAAATTAGTGAATAATTTAACACAATTAGATTGATTAGTAAACTATTGACAAACCTTAACCTTGAATCCAGATCATTCAATTAAGGTGCAAGTCCAGGTGGCATAGCATTAAATATACACACATAAGTGTACATAAACAAGAGTTGCAGGAGAAATTACACAAAAACAAACGAAAATGTCGACTATTGAGATCAAATAGCAATTTAGATCAATTTTGGGAACAGTAAACTACTAATGAGTTTAATTATAAACTAATATGGAAATAAAAAGCAAAACTAATGATGATTATCTATACACTAGAAATACAATTAACCGTTAACAATACATTTTGAAAAGCTTTCGCAACGGTCGCTACGTAATGGTTACAAAGAGTTGAGGGAAAAACAAACCATTACAATCTGTATTTTTGTATTGACAACATTAAGAGTGAGTCGCTATTTTTACAGAACCTTAACATTAAAAAGGCTGAAAATTGTCGTTTTAATGTACATAACAACAAGAAAAGTAATCAAATTGGTTCTGAAAAATGTTGAAACAATTGGATAAATGTGTAACTAAACAGATGAAGGCGTGAAAAGTAAATTTTAAATTTAAGGGTTGAATTGTTCAATGCAAGTTTACTGTTGAGTTACGTTTCTCTTCAATTTTATATAATTCCAATTGTTATGTAAAGCACGTCTAATGCATTAACAATTAATTGAAAAGCAAGTTCGCAAGATTAAACAAATGAAGTAAAAAAAGCAACACATAATAAACAGGGTTGTTGTTGAGGAATCCATCCATCAAATCATGTTGATTGAAAATGTTGACGTTTTATTAGTGATAATAATAACATCTAATGTGATTGACAATCAAGTGTAAACATTATGTCTGGGACAAAGGAAAAAAAGAAGCACAATGACAATTGAACAATGTTAATGAGAAATAATAAATAACTAGCAACAATCAGGAAAATACTCAATTGAAAGATCTAAAATTACAACAGTTTCTGGTCAAGATTATGGATGGATCCTAATCCATCATATCTGATACAATGGTATCGATCATCACAATGCGCCAAACAAAGAGTTGCAAGGCTTTTGTTTAAACATAACAGTTTGTATTGTCGTTTAAATAGTGATAAATATCTAAAAGACAATCATCGAAACAAGTATTTAAATTATTTAATTGTAATAGTTTATTGATTGGGCTGATTTGATGATTTGATGGTTTAAAGATCAATCCTAGTCAAGGTGAGTTGATTGATATTTTCAAGACAACCTTTAAGGTAAACTATAGATCGTAAAATTGAATCAAAGATATTTGTTGCCATTAAAGTGTTTTGAATAATTTAATTTTTATAATGAATTAAAAGCTTTAGTATTTAAGGCTTTCAATTATTTATAATATTTATGATCATTTAACCATTTACATTTGAATGTCTTGCCTTAGTTACCATTTTTTTGATACACAGTGAGTTCATCTATTGTTGCATGTTGTTTGTTTCAATAAAACTCTTGGATCAAGATTTAATTTATTGAAAATTGAATAACAATTGACTTTATAATTTAACTAAAGGACTTGGAAGCGCAGTTGCACTATTGATGCAGGAATGACTTACAATTGTGATTTCCGTCAATTACTATCAGCAGTCAATGCTCGTAAATATTTGGAATCCTCATTGACTCCAGGTCGAAGGAAGCGTCCATTTTCAACCATTTACAATCAACCCTTCAATTATTGATTGAATAGAAGATAATCTTGAAAATGATAACAGTTAACAGTTTATTTAAATTGTGCAAAGAAACGTAAACAAAACCAAAAGTTAAAACCAACAAACCAACAAAACCAGAAAACCAGAAAATAACAGTAAAAAGGCAACAAGCAAAAAAAATGGAAACGCAAAAAGTCATCAGAGTTGTTGTTTTGTGTTCACTTTAAACCACGTAAGTCCAACAATTTATTCGTTTACTAATCAAATTCCGTTTCTTTTACTTTCTCTTACCGATTGTCTACAAATTTACTTGGATCAACCCAAAAATGACCAAAAATGATCGTCAACCTAAAACATTGCATTGTTTTGTTTTACCAAGATTTCGTGAGATGTTGAAAAAATCTGATGACCACAGTAAAAAGATTATGCTTGATAGACTGAGTGGTCATCCGATGGGTAAATTTTTGTTTACTGGTAAGCGAAATGTAGGTCAAATATGTCTACCAGGAACGGGCTGTGAATACCTGGATATGGGCAGAGAGGCTGAAGCTAAAGAGTTTCTTAATCCAAGTAGTTCAACTAATCCTGGAAAGAGGAGGCGACGACGAAGCTTGAAGACATCTTAGTTGATTAACAGAGAATCAAGTTTCAAACAATCGAGCTTTTAATTGTTTCCAAAAACTATAAGTTATTATTTTATCAGATGTTCATTTTGCTTTACCAACCCTATCAAGTTAATCTCAAGCCCATCAACAATTTAAATTTAACCTGAAACGTAAGAAATTGCTTGTTTTAATAAGCTCACTTGGGTTAGCTTTTGGTGCTTCAATTGGTGCTGGTTTTAAATAATTGTAACTCACTTTCACCCTTATCCATTGGGCTTTTGCCATTAACTCAAAGATTGAATAATTTATTCATCTTTGATTGTTGATTTGCTTTTATTTTAAGTTAATTACTCTTTCAAGTATTAATTTTTTTCTCTTTCAATCTTTTTTTTTCTTTACTTCAGGTCACAATTTAACTTAATCAACAATTTATTGGTACCAAAGGATTGGGTCAGTCAAAGAGGCAACCAACTTTAACATTACCATTCACCTTACATACTCTAACCAACTCGCAATTACAATACTTGAAATACCTTTAATTTTGTTCGTCTATTGTTCTTGGTGGTAACATTTTTTGACCAATTATGATTTGCAATTTGATTTGGATTGACTAAACTTGAAACTGTTAATAAACTAATCAGTATAAATAATGTTAACCTTAAATAAAAATCTGTTCACTTTAGTTGACCAATCTAGGTTTATTTGAGTTGAAACAAATGGACAAGTTGGTCATGGCGAAAAAGATTTGAAGAGTTATTCATATTATAAGAATGAATTGAAAGCCAATAATGATAAATTTCATAGATTAATTTAATTATGAATAAACAATTGAAATTACTCGAATTGTGTACTTAAAAACGCGCAAAGATGATTTGCAAATTGAGATGCAATATTTTGGTACATTAAATGCAAACACTTCAAAACACATATCTTCAATTGAAGCGTTTGTCGAGCATTGAGAAAAATCAAAGTTAGGTTACCAGAAAACGTTTGTCGATGAGCATCGGTGGTGCTTCAAGTGTTTAATATTAGAAAAGAAAATAATTGCGATTGAATTTTTTCACATTATGTCAGTTCAATGGCCCTTTGATTGTCCTTTTAGTGTAATATGAAAAGAAATGGAAAGGTATTTTGGGCTCAAGCAGTATTGTTTCACGTTGCAATGTAATACTCTGCAAATGGATGCTTAAATTCATGACAATGTAGAAGTCAGATGAAAATCTTTCAACGAGTGTAATAGCTAGAAGATACTGAAGTCCAAGGTTTACTCGATGGTCTAGTTTCAATGGTTGTCTCGTTTGTTGTGTTCATTTTGGAAGGTAATATCTGTGCTTTAACCCGCGTTATAGCGCTTGTAGTTTCAAAATATTCTCTTTGCTTTTTTGAATTAGAAAATTTTCTTTTATTCTTATATGAATAGTATGTGGACCTTTTTTTGAACTGCTGCTTCTTGTACCTTGAATAGACTATCAGTAAGAATGAAATTAAGAGAGAACCCAAAAATAATAAAATGATGATTGATGAATATTCATGCTCAACTTCGGGCGCAACAATATCAACCTTTTCGGCTGATAGAGCACTCATACTTATAGCATCAGCATATCTATCATTTTGTAGACTAACACTGATCTTAAATTTACCCGATTCAGATAAGCGCATAGAGCAGTTGAAGATTAATCCGTTGTGATTTGGTTTTATGTTGGTGCAATGATTATGTGGACCAGCTTTGATAACGTAATAATCTTTTGGCACCTTAAGTTCCAGTGGTTTATCAAGCTCAATAGTTAGAGTTTCAGGTGATGAAGAGTTGAACATTAAGGGTGAAATTGAAGTTATTTTAAAGCAATAATTCACAGTTTGTGTAACATTTTGGTCTTTCCTTATTTCACATCTTGAATTGGACCAAATACAGTCCATATTTTGACCATACATCATACAATAATTACAACTGACATAATCTACACAATGATCGAGCAACGTGCGAAATGCTCTATTAGTATCTTTAGTAACGTGAAAAAAACCAAATGGTCGATGATTGAAATAATAATGAAGTTGGATATCGTCTTTAGATTTTTCATCGTTTTTATAACATGGTAAACCTGAATATTTGTATTGTCCACACCGTCTACTTTCATTTAAACGAACATTGTTATAACTTAAATATAACCAATAAAAAGGATATCCAAAAAAGAACACTTCAACATTTTGAATGGAATCATCTTGATTGAAGTTTTTGTCAATTTCAATACATATCTGTTTATAACCATAACCAATCCTTTGGTGGCAAAAATGAGTTTCATTTTGAGTATGATCATAAGCATATTCAAGTCCTGTCAAGTCGCTCATACCATCAGCAAAGATAAAGTGATAATCCCATATCTGGGTGAAATTGAGTTCAACTGAAGGTACAATATTCTCATTAGAAGAACAACTTTTAAAAGTAGTATTTTGACAGCTACGAACTTCTGATCTTAAATGGTATCGCATTAAAGTGTAATTATTAGCACCTGAAGCATATTCTTTACCAGTTTTGTCAAACAATGAAACGAAATCATTGAAAAAGTATCGCTTATGTATCAATGTCTGGTTAAGAGTTTTGTGTGTTATTAAAAGAAAAATTTTTTCGGGTATATAATACGATAAGCAAATGAAAATTGCTTGAGTAATCTGATTATTTTGAAATTCTGGCCGATTATAGCGAATTTCAATTGCACTTGAAATAAGTTCACTTCCTTTGTCGAGACACAATCGTATTATTGATATCTCTTGAGTGACACTAGCGGTCTTTTCATTCCAAATACTTCGCTTTATTAAAAGGTACAATTTATCGTCGAAATGAATATAATCCATCATTTTCCATTCCTTAATGAACTTCCAATCATCATTTGCAAGCATAGGTAAGGATCGAATCACAGAAACCTCTTCATCTTCATCATCGAAATACAATAATTCAATATAATTCCATTTGGGAAATGGTTCAGTTAAATTTGGATTGATTATTGTTGGAACATGAAGAGCTTCATTATCACTGAAAACTATTATTGGACCAGTTAAAGGATTAGTACCAGGTTTCAATTTCATCGGTCTGATTGTCGTTCGATTAATCAGAATTTGAGGCTTGTTTTTGTGGACGAACATCAATCGATCTTTTTTTAAGTTAACTACTTTCCAATTGAAGATGTCGGACAGATCAACTACACTTGTTGGGATGAGAATAGTTATTGACTCACCGGCAACATAAATATCATACGAAGGTAGATTGGCAGCACTTCTAAAGGAAACACTGTCTAGTGCTTTATAGTAATTAAATTGAGTGTGTTTAAATCTTCTGAACGAATATGAATACTCGATCGATAAAAAGAATTGCATGATTGTAATAAGATTTAGAATAATCATTTTAAGTTGTTGGTTGTAAACTGAATTAAAATAAAAGATAATAAAGTTCAAGTGAAAAGACTACATTGAGTGTTAAAACATCCCAGGATTTCATAAACTGTACATAAAGCTTTTAAGATAAAGGCAGAGTTTTATGTTTATTACCGTAGTTGCGCATATTATACTGGTGGGTTTAAAATGCGTTGGTCCATACTTACTTGTCGGGGATACCATTGGCAAAATATTTAGAAGCCAATTTTTGCACATTGCCCGGTTTTAAGGATCATTTATTCACAATTATGTCTAGCAAAATGTAAACAATGCATTAAAAGCGTTTATAATTTTTTAACTCTTTTTGTGATCGTTACTCATATCATTTGCAAATGCCGCGAAAAAGGTCTGATTCATTTTCAAGCTCTGCGCTATAATACGCGCAACTGCGGTTTGATATTTTGTTGGACAAACAAATGGACAAGTTGGTGATGGCGAAAAAGATTTGAATAGTTATTCAAATCGTGAGAATGGAGTGTTCCATATAAATTTACATGTTTATTATCAGACAGAAAAGAAAATGATTGCGATTTAATTTTTTAAGTTTAACGGCCCTTTGATTGTCCTTTTACTGTAATATCGCTTCAAAATAGCTTCAACTTCTCCCTCAATGTTCAACTGTTCATCACAGGAACTCAAGGTGAAAAAAGAGTATTTCGATGTCAAAGCTGGTCCACATTATCATTGCACCAACATAAAACCAAACATAAAGGAAACACTGTCTTGTGCTTTGTAGTAATTCAATTGAGTGTGTTTCAATCTTTTGAACCAATATGAATACTTTAAAAGGCGCGAAGATAATTGTTTGTTTTGTTTTGTTTTACAAAGCGAGTTTTTAAGATCTTTTTTTAGTGTCAAGAGTCGATATCGGATCAAAATTATTTTTAATTGAGAACTGCGTTCTCTTTGTGCCTACAACGTAACAATTGAAACTGATAAGTTCTGTAATTTGACGTATATCTGTGCAATTTGAAAATTATAATCATTATCATTATTAAATTATTCAGGAATGATTAAAATCTCATTTAACATTGAATCTCCATAGAAGTTACCTGTTTACTTTTTTGTGGACTTTCCGAGATTTTTATAAAAATCCTAGTGAAAAATCTCATGGTGGACTGTCAAAAAAGGATAGTTTCAACAGTAATCAGACAGAATATTTTAATAATGATAATGTTCTGAATTTTCAAATTTCAAATTATCAATTTCAATCAAAACATTGTAGGTACAAAGTAAACGCTGGTCTCAAACAAAGACAATTTTAATCCGAGATCGACTTTCGACCCTAAAATCGATCTATCAAAGCAACATTTACTTTGCATTGACCAACATTTTTGGCTCGAATAATGGTAGACACGATACTTGGAGTCCTCATTGACTCCAGGTCGAAGGAAGCGTCCATTTTCAACCATTTACAATCAACCCTTCAATTATTGATTGAATAGAAGATAATCTTGAAAATGATAACAGTCAACAGTTTATTTAAATTGTGCAAAGAAACGTAAACAAAACCAAAAGTTAAAACCAACAAAACCAGAAAATAACAGTAAAAAGGCAACAAGCAAAAAAAAATGGAAACGCAAAAAGTCATCAGAGTTGTTGTTTTGTGTTCACTTTAAACCACGTAAGTCCAACAATTTAATCGTTTACTAATCAAATTCTGAAAATAAAATAATAACTATAAGTTATTATTTTATCAGATTTTCATTCTGCTTTACCAACCCTATCTAGTTAAGTTATCAAGTTAATCTCAAGCCCATCAACAATTTAAATTTAACCTGAAACGTAAGAGATTGCTTGTTTTATAATAATAAGCTAATAATAAGATTTGAAGAGTTATTCAAATTATAAGAATGAATTGAAAAGCCAAGAATGATAAATTTCATAGATTAATTTAATTATGAATAAATGATTGAAATTACTCGAATTGTGTACTTTAAAACGCGTGAAGAAAATTATAAAATTGAGATGCAATATTTTGACACTTGTTCACTTGTTCATCATTAAATGCAAACGCTTGAAAACATTTATGTTCAATTGATAGTTTGTCGAGCATTTTGACAAGTTAAAGTTAGCTCACCAAAAACTTCCATCGATGAGCATCGATGGTGCTTCAAGTGTTTATTATCAGAAAAGAAAATTGCGATTTAATTTTTTCACATTTTGTCAGGTAAATAGCCCTTTGATTGTCCTTTCAGTGTAATACGAAAAGAAATGGCAACTATTTTGGGCTCGAGCAGTATTGTTTCACGTTACGTTATACACTGTAATGGATGCTTAAATTCATGACAAAGTAAAAGTCGAATGAAAATCTTTCAACGAGTGTAATAGCTAGAAGATACTGAAGTCCAAGGTTTACTCGATGGTCTAGTTTGAATGGTTGTCTCGTTTGTTGTGTTCATTTTGGAAGGTAATATCTGTGCTTTAACCCGCGTTATAGCGCTTGTAGTTTCAAAATATCCTCTTTGCTTTTTTGAATTAGAAAATTTTCTTTTATTCCCATATGAATAGTATGTGGACCTTTTTTTGAACTGCTGCTTCTTGTACCTTGAATAGACTATCAGTAAGAATGAAATTAAGAGAGAACCCAAAAATAATGAAATGATGATTGATGAATAATCAACTTCGGGCGCTAAAATATCAACATGTTCAGTTGATAGAGCACTCATACTTATAGTATCAGCAAATCTATCATTTTGTAGACTAACACTGATCTTGAATTTACCCGATTCAGATAAGCGCATAGAGCAATTGAAAATTAATCCGTTGTGATTTGGTTTTATGTTGGTGCAATAATTATGTGGACCAGCTTTGATAACGTAATAATCTTTTGGCACCTTAAGTTCCAGTGGTTTATCAAGCTCAATTGTTAGAGTTTCAGGTGATGAAGAGTTGAACATTAAGGGTGAAATTGAAGTTATTTTAAAACAATAATTCACAGTTTGTGTAACATTTTGATCTTTCCTTTTTTCACATCTTGAATCGGACCAAATACAGTTCATACTTTGGCCATACATCATACAATGAATGCAACTGAAATCAAGATCTCGACAACGATCACTTATCAACCTAAAAAATAGTTTATTGGTGGCTTTGGTAGCGTGAAAAAACGCAAATGGTCGATGATTGAAATAAGAGTGAAGTTGGAGACCGTCTTTAGATATTATATTGTTTTTGTAACATCTCAAAGGTCCAATCTTGGTTTGTTCACACCGTCTACTTTCATTTAAAAGAACATTGTTATAACTCAAAAATAAGTAATAAAAAGGGTATCCAAAGAAGAAAACTTCAACATTTTGAATAGAATCATCTTGATTGAAGTTTTTGTCGATTTCAATACATATCTGTTTATAACCATAACCAATCCTTTGGTGGCAAAAATGAGTTTCATTGGCAGTGTGATTATATGCATATTCAAGTCCTGTTAACTCGCTCGTGCCATCAGCAAAAATAAAATGATAATTCAATATCTTGGTGAAATTGAGCTCAACTGTAGGTACAGTATTCGCATTAGAAGAACAATTTTTATAAGTAGTTTTTTGACAGCTACGAACTTCGGATCTTAAATGGTATCGCATTAAGGTGTAATTATTAGAACCTGAAGCACATTCTTGTCCAGTTTCATCAAACAATGAAACAAAATCATTGAAAAAGTATCGCTTATGTACCAATGTCTGGTTGGCAGTTTTGTGTGTTATTAAAAGAAATATTTTTTCACTTTCATAATACGCTAAGCAAATGAAAGTGGCTCCAGTAATCTGATTATTTTGAAACTCTGGACGATTATAACGAATCTCAATTGCACTCGAAATAAGTTCAGTTCCTTTGTCGAGACACAATCGTATTATTGATATCTCTTGAGTGACACTAGCGGTCTTTTCATTCCATATACTTCGCTTGATTAAAAGGTACAATTTATCGTCGAAATGAATATAATCCATCATTTTCCATTCCTTAATAAACTTCCAATCATCATCTTTAAGCCTGGGTAAGGATCGAAGCACAGAAACCTCTTCATTTTGATCATCGAAATACAATAATTCAATATAATTCCATTTAGGGAATGGTTCAGTTAAATTTGGATTGAATATTGTTGGAACATGAAGAGTTTCATTATCACTGAAAACTATTATTGGACCAGTTAAAGGATTAGTACCAGGTTTCAATTTCATCGGTCTTATAGTCTTACGATCAATAAGAATTTGAGGTTTGTTTTTATGAACGAACATCAATCGATTCTTATCAAGATTAACTACTTTCCAATTGACGATTTCGGACACACCAACTACACTTGTTGGGATGTGAATAGTTATTGACTCGCCGGCAACATAAATATCATACGAAGTAAGATTGGCAAAACTTCTAAAGGAAACACTGTCTGGTGCTTTGTAGTAAGTATATTGAGTGTTTTTGAATCTATTGAACGAATATGAATACTCAATCGATAAAACTAGTTGCAAGATCGTAACAAGATTAGCGATGAGCATTGTAAGTTGTTGGTTTTTAAACTGAATTAAAATAAAAGATAATAAAGTTAAAAGACAAATGACTACATTGGGTGTTAACATATCCTCGGATTTCATAAAATGGTTATAAAGGGAAAGCTTTATATTAAAAATAATATTTGGCAGTTGTTTGATCTATCAATAACAGTAGGAGTTGGACTAAAGTTATTAGCTTTTCTTGCGTGGACAGGCAGCTTTTAAGGCGCCGTCTACCCTTGCTACCTAGGTGTTTTACCTACCCATAGGCACTAGGCTTTATTCCGCTTAGCTGGCAGTCCATCAGGAAGGGGGAGGAATAGCCCATGGGGCTTAACCTTGAGTAGGCCCTACTGTAAGATCGAACTTTATTTTGCCTATTGTTTAGTGTCTCTGAAAACTAAATATTAGCGAGATGGTGACACTGCAAAGAGCAACTTAACCCTAACAGAGTTTCTTAATTCATTGCGAGCGACACCTGAATGCGTAAGAACAGAACACGAACGCAACCTTCTGTCGCGAGAATAGTATTATTACGCCAATATTACAATTCATCAAAATAATTGCACTCGAAACGAATTCATCGAGATGATTGATTTTATTGTAACTGATTGTGCAAAGCGAAAACTAAGGCATCTAAAATATTCAATATTGCACTGATGTAAGTCGGAAACTACACAACTTGTCAGTTTAAAATTTGACTTCGTTGTACGTACATTGGAAAAGCAGAATTATAAGAATGAATTGAAAAGCCAATACTGATAAATTTCATAGATTGATTTTATTATGAATAAATAATTGAAATTACTCGAAATGTGCACTTTAAAACGCGTGAAGATAATTTTAAAATTGAGATGCAATATTTTGACACTTGTTCACTTGTTCATCATTAATGCAAACGCTTCAAAACATTTATGTTCAATTGAAGCGTTAGTCAAGCATTTTGCAAAATAAAAGTTAGGTTACCAGAAAACGTTTATCGATGAGCATCGGTGGTGCTTCAAGTAAATTTACATGCTTATTATCAGACAGCAAAGAAAATTGCGATTTAATTTTTTTAAGTTTCAGGGTCCTTTGATTGTCCTCTTATTGTAATATGAAAATAAAGTGCAAATATTTTGAACTCGAGCAGTATTGCACGTTGCTATGTACACTGTAATGGATGCTTAAATTCATGACAAAGTAGGAGTCGAATGAAAATCTTTCAACAATACCTAGAAGATACTCAAGTCCGAGGTTTACTCGATGGTCTGGTTTGAATGGTTGCGTCGTTTGTTGTGCTAATTTTGGAAGGTAATATTTGTGCTTTTACCGGCGTTATAGCGCTTGTAGTTTCAAAGGAGCCTCTTTTCTCTTTCTGCTGCTTCTTGTACCTTGAATAGACTATCAGTAAGAATGAAATTAAGAGAGAACCCAAAAATAATGAAATGATGATTGATGCATGCTCATGCATTACTCCTGGCGCTACAATATCAACCTTTTGAGTTGATAGAGCACTCATACTTATAGCATCAGCATATCTATAATTTAGCAGACTAACACTGATCTTGAATTTACCCGATTCAAATAATCTCATAGAGCACTTGATGATTGATTGAATTCGTGATATGTTGGTGCAATAATTACGTGGACCAGCTTTGATAATTAAATACTCATTTGGAATCCTTCTTTCCAATGGATTATCAAGTTTAATTGTTAGAGTTTCAGTTGATGAAGATTTTAACATCAGAGGTGAAATTGAAGTTATTTTAAAGCAATAATTCACAGTTTGTGTAACATTGTCTTCATTCTGCCTACATATTGAATTGGACCAAATACAGTCCATACTTTGACCATACATCATACAACGAATGCAACTGAGATAATCTAAACAATGATTGGCCGACTTGCGAAATACTTTATTAGTATCTTTAGTAACGTAATAAAAACCAAATGGTCGATGATTGAAATAATGATGGAGTTGGAGATCGTCTTTAGATGTTTTATAGTTTTTATAACAAAGCACGGCTGAATCCTTGGGTTGTTCACACAGTCTACTTTCATTTAAACGCGCATTGTTATAACTTAAATATAACCAATAAAAAGGATATCCAAAAAAGAAAACTTCAATATTTTGAATAGAATCATCTTGATTGAAGTTTTTGTCAATTTCAATACATTTCTGCATATAACCAGAACCAATCCTTTGGTGACAAAAATGAGTTTCATTGAAAGTACGATCATAAGCATATTCAAGTCCTGTTAACTCGCTCACGCCATCAGCAAAGATAAAGTGATAATCCAATATCTTGGTGAAATTAAGTTCAACTGAAGGTACAGTATTCTCATTAGAAGAACAACTTTTAAAAGTAGTATTTTGACAGCTACGAACTTCTGATCTTAAATGGTATCGCATTAAAGTGTAATTATTAGCACCTGAAGCATATTCTTTACCAGTTTTGTCAAACAATGAAACGAAATCATTGAAAAAGTATCGCTTATGTATCAATGTCTGGTTAAGAGTTTTGTGTGTTATTAAAAGAAAAATTTTTTCGGGTATATAATACGATAAGCAAATGAAAATTGCTTGAGTAATCTGATTATTTTGAAATTCTGGTCGATTGTAACGAATCTCAATTGCACTTGAAATGAGTTCACTTCCTTTGTCAAGACACAATCGTATTATTGATATCTCTTGAGTAACATTTGCGGTCAATTCATTCCAAATACTTCGCTTGATTAAAAGGTACAATTTATCGTCGAAATGAATATAGTCCATCATTTTCCATTCTATGATGAACTTCCAATCATCATCTTTAAGCATAGGTAAGGATCGAATGACTGAGACTGATTCATTTTGAGCATCGAAATACAACAGTTCAATATAATTCCATTTAGGAAATGGTTCAGTTAAATTTGAATTGAATATTGTTGGAACATGAAGAGTTTCATTATCACTGAAAACTATTATTGGACCAGTTAACGGATTAGTATCAGGTTGCAATTTCATCTCTCTGATAGTCTTTCGATCAATAAGAATTTGAGGTTTGTTTTCATGGACGAACATCAATCGATTCTTATCAAGATTAACTACTTTCCAATTGACGATGTCGGACACATTAACTACACTTCTTGGAATGTAAATAGAACTTGTCTCACCAGCAACATAAATAGCATATGGTGTTAGTTTTTTAACAGGAAAACTTCTGAAGGAAACACTGTCGGGTGCTTTGTAGTAATTCAGTCGAGTGTTTGTGAATCTTTTGAACGAATATGAATATTCAATCGATAAAAATAATTGCATGATCGTAATAAGATTTCCAATGAGCATTGTAAGGTTTTTAAACTGAACCAAAATAAAAGATAATAAAGTTAAAAGACAAATGGTTTCATTGATTGTTAACACATCCCAGGATTTCATAAACTGTACATAAAGCCTTTAAGATAAAAGGAGAGTTTTATAAGTTATTACCGTAATTCCGCGTAATTCATTTTCAAGCTCTGGGCTATAATACGCGCGACGACTGTGGTATGGTATTTGATTGTTCAACAAGTTGGAATGCAAGAAAAATGCTTTATAAAGTTGAAACAAATGTAAAGATTTCGGAAAAACTGTGCTGATAGTTTCATGATTCATAAATGTTGTCTACTTTAAATAAAAATCTGTTCACTTTAGTTGACCAATCTAGGCTTATTTGGGTTGCAATGGACAAATTGGTCATGACGAAAAAGATTTGAAGAGTTATTCAAATTATAAGAATGAATTGAAAAGCCAATAATGATAAATTTCATAATTTAATTTAATTATGAATAAATAATTGATATCAAACGAATTGTGTACTTTAAAATGCACGAAGATAATTTTAAAATTGAGATGCAATATTTTGACACTTGTTCACTTGTTCATCATTAAATGGAAACGCTTGAAAACATTTATGTTCAATTGAAGCGTTAGTCAAGCATCTTGTAAAGTAAAAGTTAGTTTATTAAAAAACGTGCATCGATGAGTACTAGTGGTGCTGCAAGTGAATTATCAGACAAGATATGAAAATGATTGCGATTTAATTTTTTCACATATGGATGAATGGTTCAAGTCATGATGAAGTAGGAGTCGAATGGAAATCTTTCAACGATTGCTCAGATTTCAACTCTTGTAATACACAGAAGATCCTGAAGTCCAAGGTTTATTCGAAGGTTTAGCCTGAATGGTTGAGTCGTTGCTTGTGTTCATTCTAGAAGCTAGTATTTTTGCTTGAACACGCGTTACAGAATGTATAGTTTCAGCGGATCCTTGCTTCTCTTTTGAATCAGAAAATTTGCTTACTTTCCCCTTTGTAACTTTTTTCGGACCTTTCGACTGTTGCTTTTTAGACCTTACATAAACTATTATGAATGATATTAAGGTTAAACCTGAAACTAATGAAACGATTATTGGTAAATAATCAACTTCGGGCGCAACAATATCAACCTTTTCAGTTGATAAAGCACTTATATTAGTATCTGCATATTTATAATTTCGTAGACTAACACTGATCTTGAATTTACCCGATTCAGATAAGCGCATAGAGCACTTGAAGATTGATACGTTGTGATTTTGTGTTATGTTAGTGCAATGATTATTAGGACCAGCTTTGATATCTAAGTACTCTTGAGTGTCATTAAATTCCAGTGGTCTATCAAGTTCAATTGTTAAAGTTTCAGGTGATGTAGAGTTGAACATTAAGGGTGATATTGAAGTTATTTTGAAGCAATGATTCACAGTTTGTGTAACATTGTCTTCATTCTCCCTACATGACGAATCAGACCAAATACAGTCCATACTATGACCATACATCATACAATGAATGCAACTGAGATGATCTAAACAACGAACGATCGTCTTGCGAAATACTTCATTAGTATCTTCAGTAACGTGAAAAAAACCGAATGGTCGATGATTGAAATAATAATGAAGTTGGAGATGGTCTTTAGATGCACTATTGTCTTTATAATAACACATCAAAGATGTATTTACGTATTGTTCACACAGTCTACTTTCATTGTAACGCAAATTGTTATAACTCAAAAATAACCGATAAAAAGGAAATCCAAAAAAGAAAACTTCAACATTTTGAATAGAATCATCTTGATTGAAGTTTTTGTCAATTTCAATACATATCTGTATAAAACCATAACCAATCCTTTGGTGGCAAAAATGAGTTTCATTGAAAGTATGATCATAAGCATATTCAAGTCCTGTTAACTCGCTCATGCCATCAGCAAAGATAAAATGATAATCCAATATCTGGGTGAAATTGAGTTCAACTGAAGGTACAGTATTCCTATTAGAAGAACAACTTTTAAAAGTAGTTTTTTGACAACTACGAACTTCTGATCTTAAATGGTATCGCATTAAAGTGTAATTATTAGCACCTGAAGCACATTCTTCACCAGTTTTATCAAACAATGAAACAAAATCATTGAAAAAGTATCGCTTATGTACTAATGTCTGGTTGGCAGTTTTGTGTGTTATTAAAAGAAATATTTTTTCGGGTATATAATACGCTAAACAAATGAAAATGGCTCCAGTAATCTGATTATTTTGAAATTCTGGTCGATTATAACGAATCTCAATTGCACTCGAAATAAGTTCCACTCTTTTGTCGAGACACAATCTTATTATTGATATCTCTTGAGTGACACTAGCGGTCTTTTCGTTCCATATACTTCGCTTGATTAAAAGGTACAATTTATCGTCGAAATGAATATAATCCATCATTTTCCATTCCTTAATAAACTTCCAATCATCATCTTTAAGCCTGGGTAAGGATCGAAGCACAGAAACCTCTTCATTTTTATGATCGAAATACAAATATTCAATATAATTCCATTTAAGGAATGGTTCAGTTAAATTTGGATTGAATATTGTTGGAACATGAAGAGCTGCATTATCACCAAAAGCTATTATTGGACCAGTTAAAGGATTGGTACCAGGTTTCAATTTCATCGGTCTGATAGTCTTTCGATCAATAAGAATTCGAGGTTTGTTTTTATAGACAAACATCAATTTATTTCTTCTTAGGTTAACTACTTTCCAATTGACGATTTCGGACACATTAACTACACTTTTTGGAATTTTAATATTTATTGTATCACCAGCAACATAAATATCATATGATGGTAGTTTATTAAAAGGAAAACTTCTAAAGTAAACACTATCTAGTGCTTTGTAATAAGTATTTTGAGTGTTTTTAAATCCTCTGAACGAATATGAATACTCGATCGATAAAAAGAATTGCAAGATCGCTATAAGATTCAGAATAAGCATTATAAGTTGTTAGTTGTTTAATTTAAGTGAATTAAAATAAGAGATAATAAAGTTAAAAGACAAATGATTACATTGATTGTTAACACATCCCAGGATTTCATAAACTGTACATAAAGCCTTTAGGATAAAAGGAGAGTTTTATAAGTTATTACCGTAGTTGCTCGTATTATAGCGGTGGGCTTAAAATGCGTTGGTCCAAACTTCCTTGTTCGGGGAGCCAATGGGCTAAAATACTGAGAAACTTTTGCACATTGCTCGGTTTTAATGATCATTCCTCCACAAAATTGCCTGACAAAATGTAAACAATACATCAAAAGCGTTTATAATTTTTTAACTTTTTTTGTGATCGTCTTTGTCCAATCTTTATTTGCGTTGGGACAAATGGACAAGTTGGTGATGGCGAAAAAGATTTGAATAGTTATTCAAATCGTGAGAATGGAGTGTTCCATATAAATTTAAATGTTTATTATCAGACAGAAAAGCAAATGATTGCGATTTAATTTTTTAAATTTTAAGTTTAACGGCCCTTTGATTGTCCTTTTACTTTAATATGGAAATAAAGTGCAAATATTTTGAACTCGAGCAGTATTGTTTCACGGTGCGATGTACACTGTAAATGGATGCTTCAATTCATGACAGCGTAGGATTCGAATGAAAATCTTTCAACGATTTCGCAGATAAGTTACGATTATCAGTAAGAATGAAATTAAAAGTAAACCTAAAATAATAAAATGATCATTTGCAAATAATCATAATCAACTTCGTGTGGAACAACATTTACCTTTTCAGTTGATGCAGCACTTATACTTATAGTATTAGCATATCTATAATTTCGTAACCTAACACTGATCTTGAATTTACCCGATTCAGATAAGCGCATAGTTGGTGCAATGATTATCTTTGATATCTGCAAGTGTAAGTACTCTTGAAAGACGTTAAGTTCCAGTGGTCTATCGAGTATAATTGTTATAATTTGCTCCGGTGATGAAGAGTTGAACATTGAGGGTGAAATTGAAGTCACAGTGCATTGCAAAAGTTTAGAAATCGCGTTCTTATTCCAATGATTCAGTCGTTACATACTTAAAATTGATCAAACTTGGCAGGAATATTACAAAAAGGTTAAAAAATATTAGCAAAAATCATCAAAAATATAAAAAAAGAAGTGGCCATTTTAGCAATTGACTCAGCGAGCGAGAAAGTTCATTTTATAAGTTTCAGGATTTCATAAACTATTACATTACACTTGTTTGTGCGTGTTTAACTAATAGATTGAGAATGGAATTTAAAATGTAAGATGAATTATAAAGTTTAAAAGAATCCATGAATTTTATAATATAAACGCTTTGTGGAGAGCTTAATTCAAATTTCAACGCGCCCTGTTTAAAATATTGAAAATGGCGTTTAAATTATCATAGCGATTTTTTGAAGGTATCACAAACCAGCTAGGGAACGATCTGATTCCAACGAGAATCTTGTTTTATAAGATCGTTTTTATTTCCATTTTGCCTACAATGTAACAATAAAACCCAGTAATTACAAAGAGAAAAGAATACCAGGAAAAGTGATTGTAAATCTCAACAATGAATAATGGAAACAACTCGGAGAGAAACTTATTATTGAAGCAAATCAAACATTCAAAGATGATAAAATGAATCAATCTTTGAGTGAACGGTAAAAGCTCGGTGGATAAAGGTTACTGCTTACTACTAACTTATTAGGATCATGCAACTTGATTTATCGATTGAATATTCATATTCGGCCAAAAGCTTTGCACAAAACGGTATACATACTACAAAGAACTAGACAGAATTGCTAGCTTATCAGTTTCAATGAAGACGTTGCAGGTACAACGGAAACGCAGGTCTCAAACAAAGACAATTTTAATCCGAAATCGACTTTTGACCCAAAAATCGATCTTTCAAAACAACATTTACTGCACATTGAGCAACATTTTTTGGGCTCGGATAAAGGTAGACATAAAGTTTAAAGATTGTAAATATTCATTTGCACAAAAAAGTTCGATTTAAGCCTGAATTTACCCAAAAATTCGA